ATGACTGAGGGCAAGACGAGCAAGCAACATGATAGGATGGCGCAGGGGCAGGGCTGAGTGTGGTGGCCGACGAGGGGACGACGGGGGGGAGGGGGCGCGGCAGGCAAAGAGGCCCAAGGCGAGTCCTGTTTGCATGTGCAGTACCCAATGTAGGCAGCTGAATTCGGAGGCTGTTGGCCATGAGCTCCAGTGGACGGTACCCCCCGCACGTTACTACCGTACGTAAATATGGCAGAGCCTGGGCAGGGCATTCATTGCCTGCCCCTGTACAGAGTTATGTATGAAAGGGTGAGTAGGGGGAGGGGTGTGCGGATAGGCGCGAGAGGGTGATTGAGTGAGAGTGTATGAGGAGGTATGAGGAGGTATGGCAGGCATGTGTGTGTGTGTGAGCATGTGTGTGTGTGTGTGAGCGTGTGTGTGAGCGTGTGCGTGTGCGTGGATGCGTGTGCAGCTACGATGCGCCACCACCCAGTGCTTCATACTGCCTGGCACAGGTCAAGCACAGTATCTGCATGTGCATTGCCCGGCATAGGCAGCAAAGAGAACCGTGGCATGCATGGATATTGTAAATACCTTTTCGCCGTAGTAGCGTGTACGGATACTTGTGCCGGCACCTACACTCGTACATACGAGTAGTCGATACGCACGCACATGCATACACACACGCACACGTGCATACGAAACAGCATGAAGCTTTTCGTTGCAATGCATGTGGGCCCGGGATCCTTGTTGCGATCGATCAAGGGAAAAGGTCAACAAGCCAAGACTGCCAACTGTGGCGGCACGTACGGCGCCTTGCCGGAGACGACGGCAGCCGTACCCGCAACGTAGTATCTCTAGGCGCCATACTGTATCTTCTTTGCACATTCACGCATGGATGTTTCCTGCACCGCCATCCAAGGTGCCAAGGTTATGTCAGGTACGGCTGTTGGCCACAAGAAAAGAGACAGGAAAGAGACAAACCCTGGGCCCGTGCAGCAGCGTTTGGCCTTGGGTCGAGGCGGCGGCAATCGCTCCGGAAATGTCCAACACACGCGCAGACGAGGTAGAGGCGCTGGGCGCCAATCGACAGCCGGGCTTGCTTGTCGTCGATTTCTCCAGTTGCTTGCTAGTCTCTCCAGCCTCGACGTTTCGTCTCGCGGGAAGGGCGCGGGGATCCCTGCCAGACTAGAGCCAGCACTAAGGCAATCGCTTGTTACACGGCGGCTGCCATCGCTTGTTACTTGACTGGGGTCGGCTTGCTGCTAGACTGACCCTATGGCTCGTCGAAACCCCGTCCTCAGGCTTGCCATTCCACCCGGCATAGGCTCTCAGTCGTGGCCAGGCCGCCCTACGCAAGCTGACGGTGGCAAGGTGGTAGCACTCACTGGGTAGGCGTTAGCTCATCTAATGCTCTGTACCTTATTAGTGAACAGCCAAGACCACGCGTTGTCTGTCGGAAGCCGGAGAATAAAAGAGAGCTTGCGGGCGTTAGTATTGCACTTGGGTGGTAGCGCATTTTTGCGAACCGTCTCGCCGGGTGCCGCTGCCTCCGGCCCGCGTCGCACCGTCAGAAGCGTCGAGACGACGTCGATCCAAGGCCATGGGAGCCCAAGAGCATTCGCACATTAGCCCTGCCTCGGCAACTTCCTGAGCCCTTTTGGTATGTTTTTCCCTTGGAAAAAAAACCCCCCATCTCAGAAAATAGACCCGCCGCTCCCCTCACGCCCTCAACCACCAGGCCCTGTACAGTAGTACCACGAGGATGTGAGGTCGAGTTCGGTACGGACACATGCACGCTTACTCTCAAGGAGGGCATCCAGGCAAGTCTCGGTGGGTAGCTGTACTTGGTCAGACGTTTCGCTTCCGGAGGCTTTTGCCATCGCTGACCCCAGATGGTGCTCGAGCGCTGAACCACAAAGCGACAGGTCTGATTGGGCTGACATGTCGTGAAGAGGCCAGGGCGAGGGAGACCCCGGCCCTCTCTTGTCGCCTGGCATGGAAAGGACGTTGCGCGAGGAGAGGAAAGAGAAGGAAATGATGAAATCAAAGAGAAGCAAGGCTGCAGATCCTACGCAGCTGGGGAATCGGGTTGGCGCACCGTGCATGGGGAAAACCTTGGCTGCGTCCGAGGTACGGAGCAGATACCTCCACCGCCTGGTCGGCACCACTGCTTGCGTCGGGGCGCGGCAAGTAATGCCATGTACATCCATTCCACGGACCGACGCCGGCCAGCACCCACCCTTGTTCCTCTACGAGATTGAGCAGCGCGTGCCGTACAGGTACACGCTCGCATACAGTACGGATACGGGTAACTTTCCTCTGCCTCGGGGGAGTTGGCGCCCGCAGCAGCACGCAGCTGATGGATTACCGCGGTTCCATATTGCCATGCTGCCTTGGCTTGTTCGCCCGTCGTTGGGCCAGCCACTTTTCTTCGCAGAGGTTCGCGACGACGCCTCACCATCCCGGTAGCCAAGTCAGCTGGGGTCGCGAGGCAATATCCATATGACCTTGCCCTAGGGTAGGGGACCTTGGCGGCCATGCTCAACGTGGCCCTTGTACTGACTGCCACGGTACCTAGGGGTAATCACTTAGCGCAGCAGGGCTGCGCCGTCCCTTCTTTCGTGATCGAGTCCGCAGTACCCACCTACCTTACCTTTATCTCCTCACCTTATCACTCTTCTCGGTCCCGGGCATCCAGTACCCACCCGTCATGTGCCGTACCAGGTAGGCGCTGGTTATGTTCACGACCTGACCTCGACGACAACACCAGCACGAAGTCTTCCTTCCAGTTGCTCTGCTTTCGCGCGTGGGCCCTTGCTCAATGTTCCCTGGTGAAGTCGACCGGGGTGATCCAAGGGGGCCAAGAATCATGACAACCATGGCGCCGCGCTGCGGGACAGACAGGGATACGAGGGTACTGGCAAGAGGTTGAGCAGTACCTGTGTCGAGCACATGAAGACGTGGGGCCGACAGGTATCTGGCAAAAGACACCGAGGTATTTGCCTTATTCTGCCTCAGTACGGATACCGTACACGGTACGGAGCAGGGCCTCGTTGCCTCGTTGTGCCCTCCCACAAAGTTGCCAATTGGCCATCCAAATTTCATCCAGGAATCAGCTTCGAGCAAAACCCCGGCGCCTTTCTGCCACCCATGCCTTCCTCCCTCATCCACTCCCGGGTTGGCTCACCAGCCTCGGTGACGCCGTGTCTGTGTCTGTCTATAGGGCTCGTGGGCACGCAGGTACTCTGTACATGGCTTGCGCCTCCAGTCGTGCACTGTACTGTACTGGCAAGGGGGAGCACGCCGAACGCAGGCGAGCAAGTCCCTTGTACTGTACTCCCACAGTGCACAAGCCGCGGGCAGAGTCCAACACCTGCTGCTTCGAATTTTCCTTCCCTCTCAAACCCCGTCCTCCCGTCTTCCTTCCGCATCCACCGCTTCTCTGTCAGTCATCTGCCTGCTGTATCCCACGGCTTGCTGCGTCCGGCTCCCCTTGCCCTGGGATCCGGGACATGGAGATATAAGAATAAAACGATCCATACCTAATCAGCCAGAGCTCGAACACGATCCGCGCGGGACAGCACCAGCCCTGCAGAACGATTCACCAGCTTCGCGCGCCCGCCCTCTTGCTCGCAGGCGAAAATAAAGAACAGAGCTGTTGACGCTACCTCGGAGGCGATTCATTCGCACGCCCCCCCCTTTGGTGGCCCCCCCCCCTTCACCTCTCCCCTCGAGAAGCCCATACCGCCGCTTCGATAAGCGCATCCCACCACTCCGGACTGGCGCCTCCCCCCCCTCCCTCCCTCCTCTCCCCCCACCCCACGTCTGGCCTGGAAAATCCGGAACCGTGCGTGTGTGCGCTGCTCTGCCTCTGCCTCTGCCTCGCCTCTGCTCTGGTCTGCTCACGGCTCAGCTGTGGCCAGTCCCACCCTCTCTTCTCTTTCCAGGCGTTGTGTGGCCACGCCCAGTACTGCGGAGTTCGCCTTTATCCATTACCCCGTCATTCATTTTTCGTCAAAGGACCGTATAAATTTTCGCCTGTCCCGCGCGCCGCGCCGCACCGCAACGCACAACCGCTGCCGCCTCGTCGTTTGTTGTCGTCCAAGACGACACGACCAGACAAGAGAAGCTTTGCACGGCACACGGCACACGGCACACGGCACACGCCCTTCACCCCTCCTAATCGTCTGCTGGCACGGCCCTGCCAGCCCTGCCAACCCTTGGCAACTCGGGCTTGCTACTGTCGCCGGAGCGCGAGCCTCACCAGCGTCAGTCAACAAGCTTCCCCCAGAGCCAAGTCGCGCACGCACACACGCACGCATCTTCGTCGGGAGAAACGTGCTGCCTGGCTACACGCACCCCCTTGATCCATCTCCGAGTCAGGCGCTAGACTCAGTTGAACCTGGGTCCTCGGCAGAGTCCACTCTAGTGCCAACCCCAATCTTCTATACCGCACTATAATAGTGTCGTACTCCCCAATCTGTACGGAGGCCATTTTAGCCCCTCGACCTCTTCCTGTGTTTGTGGACGAGCGCAAACATCCTTGGCTTGTCCCCCAGCAGAGATCCGCGCGCCAGACTTACTTGGCTCTGGTTTCTGCTGTCATCCTCCCTCTGCTGCAAACATAATCTTCCGTGTGGCCTTGCAAAGCACCGCAACGCCGCCCCATTCGCGCCGCCAAACATATACATAACCGGACCGGCTACCTTACCGCCCTGCTACCCCGAGGCTTTCTTACTTCTGGACTCGCTCCGCCATCATCCTTAACTACCCCTACCACCGGACGGACCAACGCCAAACCAGCTTGACGCGGCCCTGGAAGCTAAAAAGACTGGCCGGCCTCCGTCTCATACAAAGAGATCTGTGGAGACGTAGCATGTTCCTGGCGCCAACGCGATAGCATCACGCTTCCGTTGCATACCGTCCCGACTGCTGCTTCCTTGCGCATCTCTTTCCTCCAGGTTCCTCGGGCGACCCTCAAAGGCAACACCACGCGGCTCCCTCACCCAGCTCTTCTTATGGACCGCGGTGCTCAGGAGTACTCGCAGTCAGGTTTGCCCTCGCCCTATCCCAGCAACTTCGGCGACACCCATTCTGAAGGCTCGTCGGCAGATCACGCGTCTGCTGCGCAATACCCGGTCAAACAAGAAGTCAATTACCCGACCTCGGCCACCCCTAGCTCGGAATACAGTGTCTATCCACCTTCGGCGCGATCAGGATCTTTCCCGGACCACATCCAGCGTTCATACCATCCAGCTAGCGGCACCAGCGGCGGCGGCGGTATGGCGCAACAGCAGAACAGTCCGTCAATGCCCCAGCAGGATGGGCGTAGCCATCAAGCCCACGCGGTCAATTCTGACAACGATGTACCTATAGATCCGTCCATCGCGGCGCCCAGTCCAACTTATCCCTACGGGCAGCACTCGCCGTATGCCGCGAATCCAGACATGGCACACAGTTACTCTCACCCCAGTGGCAGCATGTACGCTCAACCGCGTCCGGACTGGACGGGCTACGGACAGCATGGAGGACCCCCCTTGACACCTGGTCACCCCGTGTATGCACAATCGCCGGCCTCGGCACCTCAGCAGAGACCCAACCAGGTGAGTTTGCGACGCAAGCCTTTTTACACGGAAACCTGCAAGCACTCGGTCAATGCCTTGCTGCGTCGTCGACGGAAGATGCGACTCCTCCAGCCACGACATGCTCGCTCTCCAGCTGGCGATGCTGTCATGTTATGTGGTGGATCGAGGGCCCTTCTGCGGCGGAGAGGCGGGATGCTCGGGACCCCGGCATCCTTGGCAGAGGCTCGACATCCTCGCAGGCATTCTGGCACCTTCTTGCTAGTATCGAGGCTAATGCAACCCGATCCAGGTTTACTCCTTCGTCCCAATCCCTGGAGCGCAGCAGCACAAGCGACCGCGGAGGCGATATGAAGAGATCGAGCGGATGTACAAGTGCGGCTGGAACGGTTGCGAGAAGGCCTACGGCACGCTGAATCACCTGAACGCCCATGTGACGATGCAATCGCATGGCCCCAAACGAACCCCTGAAGGCACGTGGCTATTTCCTTTTTTGTCTCTTCCTCCGGCCTGGCACACATGCTCTAGACGGCAGTGGGATATTGCCAGCGCACTTGCGTTTCTTGCGTCTGTTTGAATATTCTCAGCCTCATGTCTCACGGTCGTTGCCTGCACTGCGAGACCCAGCGACTGTCGTGCTCGGCGATGAGGTTTGCGGGAAGTGACTCCAACGTCACTTGCCGTAACTCCTGGCCCGGATCTCTGCTTCAGACATAATCTTTTCCGCCCTTTTCGCGAGAACCACTGAGCTAACTTGTGCAATTTAGAGTTCAAGGAAATCCGCAAGGAATGGAAGCAGCGAAAGAAGGAGGAAGATGCCCAGCGCAAGGCCGAGGAGGAGCGACAACGGCAGCAGGCGGCAGCGGCGGCTCAGAACGGCGGCCCAGAGCCTCAAGGACCAGACGGAACGCCCACGACGACATACCCTGGCTCTCGTCCGGTGCAACTGCCTCCCATCGGTTATCAACCCGCACAATACCCGGCACCGCCATCTAGCACAGTGCCTCAGCAGCCTTTACCCGACTACAACACCAGCCACATATATCCCAACTACCAACCACATTCTCCTTACGGCCAAGCACACCAAAGCATCTACAGCCAATGTACGTAGCTTCGAGGGAAAATGTGGCGACTCGCGTTGGGCGTGGACCGGCTGACAGATGAGCAGCAAACGGCGGGCAGCCCCCTAGCCACTGAGCGCTCTTGAAAACCGTGGCAAACGTCTCATCGTGCATTAGGCCAAACATGACTGGGCGGAAGGGAACGACGGCTGTATATTATCGGGCCACTGTTTGGGACTGCAAGCACCCCTTCCCGCTTTGCTTGTTCGCGTCTGCTGCCCCACGTCTCCAGCTACCGTCGCCGAATGGCGATCATGGTCAGGGGACGTATGACTTTGGCAACCGGCTCTGACCGACGGATGCTTTTGGGTTGAAATTCATCTTGTGTACACACGGAGTCTCGTTGGGCTGGCGGGCGAAGCACACGCGGACCGAATCTGGTCTCTTTTCCTGTTGTGCGTTCTCGTTTGATTTTGTTATTCCGAGTATCCATCCTGGTTTCATTGCCGTCATATACGCGCGGGCATCGGATAGGTAAAACTGGGTGGAGGCTTTGCATTTTCAAGGGGATTTCCCTTGTTGCTTTGTTTCCTAGCTGCGAAGGGCCTGCGGCAGTGGGGAGGTGCTCGGCGTAGCAACCACGAGGCGCATCGGTTTGTCAGCTTCGCAGCCAGCGCATGGGGATCTTTGAGGAGCCGCGCCGTTGGCAGGAGACGGGGGAGATTCATGATCAATCGAGGCCGCGAGGCAGTCGAGAAGCTGGCGACGTGTTTTTGGATGAGACATGAGGCGAGCCATGGACGGTGAGGTTGATACAAGAGGCCGGTGAATTGGACGGGCGCTTGAGCCGTGTAGGAGTTTGAAGGCAAAGCAGAGAAGAGGGGTTGGCAAGCAAGGAAGACGTGTATGACGCTTTCTTGCAAGACTGCACTTGCAATAGACACGAAATTAAAGGTGACTACGAAGGCAGGCCGATGAAGGAGGCGGATGGGCGACGGGGATTTATAATTGCGTGACTGGATTGACTAGCTGGGCCAGCTAAATAAGAGGCAAGACGGACAACAGCCTAAGGTAGGCCGAGCCAAGGTAGGCCGAGCCAAGGTAGGCCGAGCCGAGGTGGTGGTGTAGGTAATTAAGAAGAGATGGAGGTTAATAAAGGGCGGTTAGGGTGTACGTATTGGAGGTATTACAGAAAGGCGGGAGCTAAAGTGGGCGAGGGCTCTAAAAAATGACCTGCATAAGGAGCCACGAGGGACGGCCACGCGGCGTTTGTGCGACGCGACGGGGAGCTTAGACAAAGAGGGGGGCGCGCCAGCATGTTGGCTCGAGTTCTTGGAGCCAGAAAACCGTGAGAGTGAGCGTATGCAGAGTAGATTTTTCGACGCAAGGTCGGGAGCCGGGTTGGCGGATGTAGCTCGGCGTCGGGTAACCGAGAGTTGAGCCTGGGTGGGAGTCGGTACCCAGCGGTGCACCAGTGTGGGGGGGGGGAGCTCCGACGACTGCGGTGCAAAGTACTGTACTCCCGTAGACGGGGGGTTGAAGGAAGAGTTGCGTGTCCTTTGCGACTGGTTGCGATTTGGCTGCGATTTGGCTGCGATTGGAAGAGACAGTTTGATGGACGCGAGGTGAAGAAGAGGGACGAGGTTGGGAGTGGGCGGGCTGCTGTTTAGCGCGGGCCCGTTGCGCTGGGACGCTTGGGGTACCTGTTTCGGCTCCGAACATTTGGTAGAGGGTGGCTCCCACGCCCCCCTCCTGTCCATGTATGCATTATCGAGCTTGTGCTACCAACGGGCGGCGCGCCGGGGAATTAAAAAAAAGGTTAGGGATGGCGGATTTTAGATTCGACATGGGGGAGTGAGAGCAGTACGCCGGCAGCATTCGGGGTGGTACAAGCAGCCTTGTGCGTCTTGTGCGTCTTGTGCAACAGCAGCAAAGCGATCATGATGAGGTCGGGGGGTCGGCCGTCATGTGCATTTTTCACTTGGGCTCGTCGACGAGGCTCTGCAAAGGCAGCCAGAGAGGTTGCTGACGAGGACAAGGTTTACAAGACATTTTGCGGTAATGGACAATAAGCCACCGCCAAATGCATTTCTTGCTTCTGAAGTATGTACAGCATGCATGTCATGTCTCTCTCTCTCTCTACGGGAGTACCGGCCACCTAGTCAATATGCAACCAAAGAGGAAGAGCTAGCTTTCGTGTCCACGTCCAGGATGAAAAGCTACGGTGATACGGAAACGGATAATTAGCTGTTTCTCTCTTTCCCTCCTGCCGCCATGGCTTGACTTTCTTCTTGTTTTCCCCCCTCCCCCCTCATCAGTGTATAAAAGCTCCCAAAGAAGGCTAGGAGGATACGAGCTCGGCCAGCCGTACGGATACAGAGTGTACTGTGCGCAAGCCAGCTCAGCCTCCGCCACCACCTCCAACACGGCTCGATTACGCCCCATCAAAGTATAAAACAGCTGCCCGAGTGTCATCGACGCATCACGACGGCGTCGGCGGCCCCTCGACACAGCCGTCAGATTTGCCTTGGACGACATGCAGCCGCCGAGGGTAAACGACACGACACGTAGTGCGAAGCTGGCGGCTGACTCATCATCACCAGAGTAGAGTTGGTGACTGCCTCCACGATGACGCTTCCCCCGCAGCTTCTCTTACCTTTGCCTTCAGGAGCCAGAACTTACAGGGAAAAGAAAAAAACATTGAGAGAGAACAGCGAGGACGAGAGGGATGGGGAAAGGTGTCCTCGGGCGACATGGCAACAGCACAAAACCAGGCACATGGCGTGTGAAGAAAATCCCTGACACACAAAAAACAAAGGCACCATCATCATCATCATCGTCGGCGACGCATCACCATTCGTCGACAGCATCCGTGGTCATCGCCCTCCGCAGCTGCTGCAGCAGAGAGACCCCCGTTCCAGTCGCAGGGCCAGCAGCAGGACCGGGCACTGCCTCTTCCCCGATCCCGCCTGCTCAGCATCTCCTCTTCAGCTGCCAAGCAACCACGGCGGGGAAAAGAAGGCCGGCCAGGACGACGCTCGTTTGATTCATTCTTTCCTCTTCGCCCGTCAACCTTTCATCTTCACATCCCTTGTTTCATCGTCATCATAATCCCCGTCCCCCTGCCCCTCTCTCTGGCAGAGCCCAAGGCCGCACGCACACGCGACCACGATAGCCAGCCATGGACTCCAAAGCCTCGTCACTGTGGATGCCCAAGGGCATCGCCAAATCCAACTCGACCGCCTCTACCAGCGGCCGCTCTACGAAGTCATACGACTCGGTCAAGGGCATTGGAGTCTACGCCTTTGGCACTCTGCACCTTGTCCGGCACGATGACTCGCCTCGTCACTCGTTCGACGGCGATGAAGACGATGGCCCGCCGCCGCTGGAGCCCCCATCCGCAACCACGCAGTACAGTTTGCTACCCCAGACTAAGCAGCCTGCGTCGCCTCGAAATGCAATGCTCCATGCCATGGGAGGCGGCGATATCGTCCTCGTCCTCCACCTGCCCGAGGCTTATACCATCGGCTACGACACCATTTCCTTCTCAGCCAAGCACTTCATCGGCATCAGAAGCCTGCCCGCCGGGCCCCACTTCTTCTGGGCTTCCAACTCTGCGGCCACTTCGGTCCGCAGCGGCTTCTGGATCATGAGCTCGGGCGTCAACAGAGTCCACGTCGTCCAGTGGCACCGGTACAACGAGGTGTTTGTTCGGCCCACTCGCACTGAGACGCGCATCCAGGCAGAAAACGTGGACAAGATCTTCGACCAGCTGCCCCAGTATCGGGATCCCACCGCCTTGGGCCGCGCCGGCGGCGAAATGTCCCCTTTCAAGATCCAGACCAACATCAACTTGTGGAGAGAGTTGACGTGCAGCCTCGATCAGACCATCCTGGACCGCATTATGGCAGAGCAGGAAGAAGGATGGAATGTGCACACGTGTGATCGCGTCAAGGGGTCGCTTAGACTTCCCGGCGACATGGACCTCGACAGGAGGCTGGCGCATCCCGTCTTCCAGTCACACGAACTCAAGTTTAGCTTCGAACAGCAAACCAGAACATACTCCCTCGCCCTGGTAGGGCGTGCCCGTACCCGCGACGCGAGAGACTCAACCTCGCACATCATCTCATGGATGACTGATGCCCCAACAAAGCGTCTCAGCGAGGATGACATTGTCGGCGAGCTCCAATTCGCCTACGTCGCGGGCGTGTACATGGGGAACAACGCCTGCATCCAACAGTGGTGGTACATGGTCCTCAGACTCTTCCTTCGGGCCTATCGCCTCGTCCTTCGTCGGCCCCAACTCGCTGCGGCGCTGCTCCGCACAATCGCTGGCCAGCTTGCCCACAGCATCGGATGGGTCGATGAGTCGATTCTGGACTACAGCGAAGCCAACGCCCGCAAATTGCGCGTCGCTCTCATCATCTACAGGCGCCGCATGAAGGAGCTTATCCTAGGCACATCCCGGGATGCCAACGTTGATCGAGCCTCCGTCTCCGTCGCCTTTTCGAGGCTCGAAGGCGTTGTCGCGCAGCTGGGCTGGGATCTCCAAACCGAGTACCTCCGCAAGGGCAAGATCAGGTTGGAGGATGGCGAAGACCTGGACGTGGAGTTGAGTGAGCTCGAAGACGAAGACGAGCGTGGCGAGTGGGCACCCGAGATTATCGAGCTGGATGAGTACGGGCGCCAGATTGGCCTCGTGTCACTGTCGAGCTAGACGAAGATCTCGAGATTCTCGCCAGACCGAAGGCGGTCATGGAGAGGGGGCATTGCCCCGTCACTGACACTACCCCCCGCCCACTAGGCTCATGAGTCTGGCGTTGTGGTAATGATAATTCGTGGGAGGGCTGCGAGAAAGCGTCTATGGAGTCGGAGGCGAGTCACAGCGTTTGAATTTCGGTATTGGAAACACGAGACATGCCGGAATAGGAAGGGAAGCTGCATATGCACGGCACGGAAAAGGCTTGTGTCTGGGGAGTCCTGGGTGTTTTGGCTGTTAGTTTATGCGCATTCAGTATAGCAAGGCTGATTGATTCATCACGCAAGTTCCCCGGCCCGGTTGATGAGCGAGGTTGAGGCACGAGCCTCATGGACAAGACTGGCGCGGGGCTGATGCTCTGACTGTTCTCGTACGGCCAGTGCGAGTAAGCTCGTGCCTCTGCGGCCCTGTACGTAGATTGCTCAACCACCCGCTTCCAGACAAGCCGTAAGGAGCCTGAGCAGGCTTCCTACGTCCAAGCAGTTCATGAGACGTGAACTGGGCTTCGTGTGGTGTCGAGTTGCTTCTCCATCTTCAACGGTCGACACCAGCCGACCCAAGGCGTACCTAGAAAGAGACTCGACAGTGGCGGCCATGCAGTTGGCTCCCAGACCTTTCACCACGGGCAAGCACATCATCATGGTATTCTCTGTCGTAAACGTTTTGAAGACTTCATTTGCCTGTCAGGCCCTTTACTACCGCCCAAATCAAGACCATGGAAATGCCCAGTGGAAAGCTATTCCCCACGCCAGGGAAGAAGAGACTCCGATTCCTTTTGTCCACGCCGCGACGTGACCACGTCCCCTCCACTGCCAAGCGGACCATTCCACAATGGCCGCCGCACAGGCGTGGCGTCGCGCACTGTCCCAACACCCACGCACACATAAGCAGCATCTCCCTTCCATCCTGTGCCCCGGGACAATTGTCCGCTTATCGGTAGGACTTCTGGAAACGGGCTCTGGCGCCGGGACCACCAAACTTCTTGGGCTCGCAGCGGCGGTTGTCGGCGACGAGCAGGGTGCGGTCGAACTGGACGAGGGCCTGCTTGAGCATGTTCTTGGAGTGCTCGTCGACGTACTTTTGGTAGTAGGCGATGAGGGACTTGGCAATGGCCTGACGGACGGCGTAGATCTGGGACGTGTGGCCACCACCCGTGACGCGGACGCGGATGTCGACGTTGGCGAACTTGTCGAGGCCGACGACGAGCAGGGGCTCGTAGACCTGCAGGGCACGGGAGTGTCAGTTTCGCAATCTCGAGGACCAGAGCTGACGTTCGGACGGCCCCGTTCGGGTGGCAACTTCGTAGAGTGTAATGCCAGTCACCCGACTGCGAGTGACTGCTGGACAGACAGGAGCGAGTTCCCCCCAGGGCTGGGGCTTGAGGGATGTGGAAAAGTCGTACCTTGAAGCGCAGGATCTCGGGCTGCACCAGCTTCAGGGGACGGCCGTTGACCTTAATCAGACCACGGCCAGCCTACAGACACCAAGCAAGCGAAGTCAGCCGTCCGCCACCCTCTCGTTGAATTCGGCATCGTCGTGATCATCACCGCCGCCGTGACCCTGCCACCTCTCCGCCCACCGCGGCGCGGGCCAGGCGCGAGAGCACGACGGCGAAGGCAGGCGGGAGACGCGATGCAGCGGACGCACCTTGCAGTGGGCGACAGCCGTGGCGGTCCTCTTCTTGCCAAAGCATTGCACGCTCTGCGTCGTCGACGACATGTTTGCTGCTGTGTTATTCTGGCGTTGGCAAAGGAGCGCTTGCAAGGTCTCTCTCGATCGGTCGGTCGGTCGGTCTGGTCGGGAGGGGGTCTCCGGCTTGAGCTTCTCTCTTCTCGCCTGCGGTCGTCGTTTGCCTGGGCGGATTTTTTTTCGCCGGGAGAGGGTTTGTGCCCTTCCGAAGGGCGCTAGTCCGCTCTCGGGCTGGGGCTACTGTGGGCCTTCTCGCTCTGCGTGTGTGTGCGCGTGCGCGGGGCTGAGCAAAAAAAGGACGGGAGATGGGAAAGAGGTGGCTGCACGTGACTGAAGCCCTAACCGAAGCCCTTTTGGACATTGGGGAGTGCATCGTTTCGGCTCCGCCCAAAATTTCGCCTCGAGTGAGCACCACGTCGGCCAACTTTCTCAGCCATCAGACCCAGGAGTAACCGCCGTCAAGGTATGTGCATCGATGCTCGCTGATTCCGACAGATTGGAATCGCCGTTCTGACCGGCTTGTCCAGATGGTTTCCGCCAAGAAGCACGTTCCCATCGTGAAGAAGCGTACGTTTTTCTCGGTCCCTCCATCCGGCGATGCATCATCCCCCCCTTGGCCGCCTCCTCTCGTCGCCCGCCTGCTATCCGACGTGTACCACTCAGGCTTCGGCGGTTTGTCTGCGATATACGGCCGTGCGAAAAGGATCTGGCGGGCGGCGGCTGCGGAAGGGGGGGAGAGGGAGGCCCAGCTGGAGCGGATGTGGGCCGTCTGGAGTCGAAAACGCACATGTTAACGCGAGGTGTGAATAGGCACGAAGCGCTTCAACCGTCACCAGAGTGACCGGTTCAAGTGCCTCGATCCCAGCTGGCGCAAGCCCAAGGGTATCGACAACCGTGTCCGGAGACGCTTCCGTGGCACAATGGCCATGCCCTCGGTACGTTTTTTTTTCCCTTTGGAGCCGCCTTCCACAAATTCCCTCCTGGGGCCTGGAGCTGTGGCGGGAGACCATTGCTCAGGGAGTCGATGCTGACGAGCGGTGCGAATAGATCGGCTACGGCTCCAACAAGAAGACCCGCTACATGATGCCCTCGGGCCACAAATCCTTCCTCGTCAACAACGTCAAGGACGTCGAGCTCCTGATGATGCACAACCGAACATACGCCGCCGAGTACGTTGAAGCCCTTTGCATGACCACACCCATCGAGGGGGGTTTTTCCAAGCCTGCTGACATGTCGTCTCTTCTCCAGGATCGCCTCGAGCGTCTCCTCCCGGAAGCGAATCGACATCATCGCCCGCGCGAAGCAATTAGGGGTCAAGGTCACAAACGCCAAGGCAAAGGTCACGACCGAGGTGTAAGCGCGCGTCAGCGCATCCAAGATTCGGGTTTCTGGGGCTGGTTTTTTACGGACGACATCGGGAAGGGGAGTGGGGAGGTTTTGCGCCGCGTTAGCAAACGTCCCTGGGAATTCTTAGGCCGGGCGCGGGATTTTGGCAGGTCCTCGGGCAATGTATCTGTCGAGATGATCCGACGCTCCGATGAACAAAACGCATCAATGTCAGTCACTCTCGTGCTTCAGCAGACGGGGTGCATACCCAGTTGAGCCTTGGCGGTGAAGTCGGCCATGAAGTCGATGAACATCTCGGTGGTGGTGGTCATCAGTGGATAAGCCATGCAATGGTACACTGAATCCTGGCAGCGATCAACGCCCCTCTGGTGCTATCGAGGTGTGAAGAAGGAGAGGGAGGCTTCACATGTTTTCGCAAGGGGCCTCCTTTCTGATCCGTACCTCGCCCAGCGGGCGTGCTTGGGCTCCCAACGACAAGCATGTGGGCATTTGGTTCCTCCAGATCGAACGAAAGCCACTGTGTTCGCTTCCTTATGGGCAGAAAGGGCAAAGTTCTAGCCTTGACATCTGCTTCGGAGACGAGTCAAGTGGCAGCGAGGGACACGGTATGTCCAAGGGATGGCTACCATGGCCCACGCGACTGAAACTGAATGGCCGCCCCGGCTGAAGCTGCGCGAGCAGCCCATGTCGCGGGCTCGATTTAACGACGGGCACCCTAGCAGGGAAAACGCGCGACCCAGTCCAGAGCCACAACAAGGCAGAGCAGGCAGCCCAAAGGCGAGGTATGAGGAGGAAAAGGGTCGAGTCATTCCCATCTCCCCTCGCTGTGTTCACAGCGCCCGCCTCTAGGAGTAAACACTCGGGCACACACATATTGCAACAACGCCTAGTATACAAGACAGCAATAAGCACTCCACATCTTCTCCTCGCGCTCGCAGCCTCTTCCACGGCCCCGGGTATCAACTCACCCAAACACGGCCAGCCTGGCTGACCATCCTCGTCCTGAATCATCACGAAAAAAAAGAAAGAAAGAAAATTTGGGGGACAGGAGCCAGGAGGGAACAAAGGGAAGACAGGAGACAAGCAAAGCCAGGCCGGGCATCCGCGCGCCTGTGCCTAGGGATGCCGCCGCATGCTCAACGAGGGCAGAAATCAGCATCACAAAAAAGAAAGCAAAAAGAGGGGCAAGGGGTGCGAGTGAAAGCACGAGCCAAGGCGGCGAGCACCGAATCAGGGACCTCGACAGGACCCGGCGCGCGCGACCGTGCTTGATGTGCTCTCCCCAAAGCGTTCGTACATCCAATGTATCTCATATCAGGGCATGTCGGCAAAAATCATTACCCATATACAGCTCAAAAAGACACCAAAAGGCAGAATATGTGACGGAAGAGAAGACACGCGGATGACCGCATTGCATGAGCAGCGCGTAACCTGACGCCTTGATGCTCCGGGGACGCTCAGTGCCTCCTCCTGATTTCATGGTCCGACAGACAGTCAATGGTGATGATCATGGAGGCCAGGTGTCGTGTTGTTGCCAAGCCCTGGCAACATGCCGCGGTTTTCGACCAAGCTTCAGCCTGTCCAGTCCGGGGCTCTGTTGTTGCGTGATAAGGGCCAGCCACTCAGTGGTGCTATAGCAACCACAGGTTCTTATATCGTCCCTCGGAGACGCTGTTTTCTCGCCAGCCAGTCTCCCAACATGTTATCCAATTGCTGCCCGGATTCCGAGTTAGCTTCCACATCGCAGGTTTGTTTCTCCGTCACTTGGCCTTACCGTGGTAATCTCGGCCAACTTGGCATTCTGCTCCCGAAAGAGCCCTCCCATGACCGGATGGTCACTGCCGGCGGGCTCCACATCCGTCTTGTCGTAGACGACCGCCAACAGGTCTCGGATATGATCGGTGTCGTCGAAAAAGGCTCGCAGCTTTGTGTCGTCCCAGCTCGGCTCTTTGCTTGCCGAGCCGCCGACTTGCTGGCCGCCACGCGCGGCCTGCGTCTGGTCAGGAGACGGCGAGGCTTCGGGCGAATCGGCCTCTGGCGATGACGTATCGACGACAAGCGGGGGCGGACTGGATACGTGGGCGGGAGATTCTTGAGCCTGCAACGTCTGCGTCCGCTCCGTGTGGCCCGGCAGCGGTTGCGGCGGCGGGGTGGACGTCTTGTCGTGCGCGGTCGCTGGTGTTGAGCGACTGCTGTTTTGTTGATCGCCAGCCGCCTGGGATATCGTAGAATCATTCGATCCGCCTTGCCATCCTTTTGGTGGAGAAGGCCCACGAGACGTCTGTTGGGTCTTGCCCTTGCCAGACCCTTCTGCCTCGGAATCGTCCGAGCCGTCCAGCTCTCGCGTCTTGGCTTTGACCGTCTTTTGCCCCCTAGAATCCGGACCAGCGCTTGAGCTCCGAGCGTTCACAAGCTTGGAGGTGGCAGACTTTTCGTCTCGCGGGGCGGCAGCCACGGAGCCGGATCGCTGCCGCAGGGCATCTTGAGCCGATGGCGGGTGCTGTTGATTGGACGGCACCTCCTGCGTCTCCCGAGTGTCGGGGTGGACGATGCGCATGGACGCTGGCGGCACGTTGGACACGTCGTTTGTGCGCCCCTCGGCCAAGTAGGACGCGAGCTCAACAGACTTGGGCGCCTTGCTCGCCGGGGGCGGTTTCTGCAATCTGCTCGAGTTCCGATGGGTGCTGCCGGGCTTGTCGGGAGAGGCCTGGTCTTCCACCATGCGATCCTCGCTGTCACGCGACTCGGAAGTGGTGTCCATGGACCGCTTGCCAATCGACTCGTCGTCATCTTCGAACACCTTCTTTTTATCTTTTCTCGAGAAGAAGCTTCGGATGGCGCTCGGCTTCTTTTCCTTTTCCTTTTCCTTCTTATCCTTGTCCTTGCTTTTCTTCTTATCCGGGACGAGTTCCTTTTCCAACTTATCCAGGCTGGTCCTCGCCTTTGCATCCCGGGTGGCGGATTCCGTCGACTCTCGAGGGGTGTTGTCATCTCGCAGCAGGTTGGGGGTGAGCGTTATCTTCTTGGTTTCGAGACTTTCGTCCTTGAAGAAAGAGTCGGTGTTCCTAACTGTGCCGTTTCGCGACCTGCTGGGACCGCCCGCCTGGTTGTCAATAGCGTCGTCGCCCTCTCTGGCCTCTTCGGCGTCGACCTCTTCTTTCGAGCCCTCTGCCATAGCGTCTTCCTTGCTCGCCCGGGTCTTTAGAGGTTCGACTTTAGCGCCATCGTCGCCGATTAGGTCGTCGGTCGAGCTATCCTGCTTGTGCTGATCTGCCGACTGCTGCGCACTGGGGCTAAATAGTTCGTCGCCATCATCGTCCTCGGTGGAGTAATCGAAATCGGAATAGTTGACGTAGGTTGGTTCAGCAAAGGTGACTGTCTTGCGCCTTCTGCGGATGGCCTTGAAGGAATTCTTGGGTTTTTGCGCCTGATCGCCCAGCATCGTGGCTGAAAGCTGTGGCCGTGTTAGGATTGGTGAGCTCAGGATGGTCTCGAGATATGCTTACGTCGATGTTCCTGTGCTTGTTCAAGCGGGCCAGTCTCTCCGTCGGCGTCTCGATGTGCTCGGCAGGCAGATATCCTGGATCGTCGTCAGACTCCATTCAGGCATCAGGGGTCCATCAACTCACCGATACTGCTGTCCTTGACCACTCGCACCAGCCACCAGTAGCTGTTGCTGTCATCCAGCAGCACCATGGTGTCGCCCTTGGTCGCATTTGCTTGGCCTTCGACGGTAGCCACAAAGGTATGCAGCGCGTAAACGAACTCGAAATCGATGTCCTCTGAGTCTTGTAAGCACTCATCCCTCCAGCCAGATGCAGTATAACGTGGATTGCGGGGAAGGGGAAAGTCGGAACCATCGTCTTCCTCGATTGACGGCTCGTAAGGGATCGTGAGCGGCGAGCCATTGGAGTCGTAGCGGCCACCATCCATCTCGTCCAAGACTGAGTCCGAGGCCATCGAGGCACCAAGTCCTTGGTGGGCAGTCCGACGTAAGCCCAGAAAGTGCCCACCACTCTGCACACCAGGCCCGGGCACCGTCGTCAACGTCTTCTATCCGGACTTGGGTTTGCCCTGCTGGGAGCGACGGTAGCGTCTCCTTCTCCCTTCCCTCCTGGCCCCGCGAAAGGTGGCGGGGCGTTTGGCGTTGCGCCGTCGATTGCGCCGCGGGACAGAGTCGTCATCGTCGTCGACAGTGTTGTTGGCCCGAGCGGTATACTCACCGCGAGGAAGAAGAGGACGGTTGCAGTGCCACTCAGCAACTGCCACTCCGACTTGATGGAGCTGCACACTTGTCCAGTAAACGGGAATAGAAGGTACGGGCACATTCGGGGTCAAGCACGAGGTCCTGGAAGGACCCGGGCAGGGCAGAGGCCGTGGCAAGCAAGATGGAAGGGAAGACAGGCGCGGCGGCCAGGCCCCTGGGGTGGTGGCGGAGTAGTACCCACCATCTTCGATTGAAGGAGAGCTCGAGATCTTGTCCATCATGTCATCTTCGTCGAGGTCGCCATCGCCGTCGAGGTCGCCTTCGTCCGAAGACGATGAGGTGCCGTCATTCTGAGAAATAGCGAGGTCATCCTGGTGGTCGAGATCGTCGTCATACATGTCGGCAGTGGTGGACCCCCCGGCGAGGTCTCCGGGTTGGGCGCCACCGGAGCCCGAGTAGGCGCCGTGCTCTTGCGACTGGGCGTCACCGGGTCTGCTGCCCTTTCCACTCATCCATAAAGCCCTTGGGCTATGGGCTTCCTCTTCGGCGGTCTCGTGAGCGACCTCGCGGAGGGTCTCGGCCTGGTGCGGAGCGATGGGAGAGAGGGAGTAGTCCGAGGCAGACTCGAGCAGGCGGTGGTGGTCCTTGGCCGACGGGGGACTCTGCTGCTGCAAATCGATTGTATCTGCAGAGCAGAGGAAGAAGAGGATCTTGTTAGCTGGAATTGGTATGACAGCAGGCGACAAAACAAAAAGAGAGAGAGATTCAAACAGAGCCTTGGCAGGGGGGCTGGAATGTGTGGCCCGTTGATACGCGGCACCACCCCGGCCGCTTGGTCGCAGACGAACCAAGGTCTCGTGGAGGCAGAGAGGTGCGGCAGGGTCAAGCAGGGGCCAGTCTCGGAAGAAGGGGAGGGGGATGGGCATACGTACCCGCGCGGATGATGGTAGGCCTAGTCATGGCGATGATTGTTTTTTTCCCCCTGGGAAATTCGTTGCGGGCGCGCGCGGGGATTCAATGCCCCTTCCCGGGCCCCCCCCCGTCGCCTTCGTCTCGGGTGATGGGCGTTCGGAACTCCCAAGTTTGGCTTGTCGAAACGCTCTTAATGCTGCTGGTGCATGAAATGTCCAGGCTCCCCTGGTAGCGACGAGGAGGAGAAAGGGTCGACTACTCCGAATTCAATGGCGACGGGTAGCCCGGCGTCATCGAGGGATGGAAAAGCTCGGTCGGGTCCGACGAGAGAAATGGGAGGTTGGAGAAGGAAAGGAATGGTCGCGCTGCGTGTGCTGTCCGCGGCTTGGCCGTCGTCGGTGCGCAGAAGCAAGGAACGTAGGTAGGGCGGCGTCGTGAAAAGAAGAGCACAGCTCGCTCTCCGAGGTAAGGACGTGTTGCAATGGCCGGCCCGCCTCTGCGTCGAGTGCTTTGGCTCCAGCAGAACGAAGCCGTCGAAAAGGCGGCTCAGGGGGGGTGATGCTGCGCACGCACTCCACAACCAAGGGGGGACGAGTCGTGGCGGCTCTCCTCATGGTGGCTGGCTGAGGGGCTGAAGGCTGAAGCGGGGCAGGCAGGTTCCGTACCTTTTCATTCATTCTCATCGATGCCGATGGGAGATTAATACCTCTGTTCTGGGGATCAACGTGCGTCTTCTCAAGTACCGTGCTATCGGGGCCGGCTGGGATGGGCGCATGCCGGGTACCTTAAAGGTTAGGTACAGTAGGTGTTTACATGCGCGGAGTATCTGTACGGAGTAACTAAAACCTTCCCTGATGCGCTAGCACATACCTGGCCTTGGGCACTCTCGCGCGGCCTGGGCGTCGGTACCTGACTATCAGACCTCATTAATTACAGGACGGATATCCGTACTCCATACTCCATCGGGACATGGACGACTGCCGAGGTGTGACCCCATTGCTCTCGTCAGTACGGAGTATCCGTCCGTACAGTAGTACAGTGGACGCTTGCCTCCCTGGCCCAGCTACTTAGACCAGACACCACACACAATTTGAAAAACATGGGATGGGCCGGCCGTTTCCAACGGTCAAACGGCTGAATTACAAACGTACTGGCACATTGTTGGATGGGAGAGAGCAGATGATACCTGTCGACTCCATATGGGTCCGCATCCAACTAACAAAACCTCGTTTCCCATCCGCAAGGCTCATGGGTGACCATGAGTGACGCCTCCCTGCACGACCGTCGCAGCCTCGCAACAGGCGCGCCTTTCAGCGGTACAGCCCAGCAAAGTACCGGTACCCGGGTCATTGCTTTGGCCCAAGCCGCACAGCCGCTGCTCTCGTCATGAATCCTCCGAGACGCCGCCCCATGGCGCCAACCCCTTCCCTTGGTACTTACGCGTGGCCCTCCTGACGCACCTCTCCAAATCCCTTCCTTGTTCAGGGTCCAGTAGCCCGGGCACCACCTACGCCAACCCGACGAGCGATAAACCGGACGAGCGGTATAGACCCAGCCTCCGCACAAATCACACTCATGAGACAGACATGTGTCTTTAGGGGCGCAAACTCTTATTTAGCGACTGACGTCTGACTGGCTCATGCTGCCGTGATCCGATACCCGCAGACCATACTATTATTTTCCTCGTACGTACTGCCAATCTTCCTTCGTTTCTGCCTTCATCAAAATCTTCCCCTGACCCATGCCTATCCGTGAACCCTAATGCAAGTAGAAACCATCCTAACCCGTGCTCAGCTCCTTGGCTGCTTGATGCTTTCAACGCGGCGTTGCCCTCAACGAGGCCATATTCACCGACAAGTTGTGGAACTGCGCCCTCAATCCGTCCTCCCATCCATTCTTGCCATCCGCTTCGACATGCTAAAGCATCCGTTAGCAATTGTCTCTCCCTTCACGATGCCTGCTGGCGCCAAAACTTACAAGTCAAAGAAGGCAAACTGGCTGGGCTCGCTACCAAACTCGTAGACGAACCGACTGGCCAGGTAGCTGCCAAAGATGCTCCTCAGATAGCTCTCGGGCACACGGGACACAATCGTCTCCAGCCCAATCTTCTGCAGCAGTAATGCAGGGAGTGCGTCCTTGAGCACGTCGTGCCGGATCTTCTCATTAGTCCAAAGGTCCGACTGCTGCAGCTCCTCGTCTAGGTCCGTGATGGCGAGCGACAGCTTGTCCGACAAGACGGATCGCGGCGTGCCAGTGGCCTCGTGCTCGCGCCAGATGGCCTCAAACTCGAGCCGAGCATTCTCGCAAATCTTGGCCTGCACCTCGCCGACATAGTCGTTGTAGAACTGCGGCGCCTCCCCGGTATTGGCGTCGCAGCACATGTTCTGCACGAAGCCATCGTCGTCAAACGAAAGGGAAGCCAGCACCTCGAGCGAGGATGATGTGACTCCACCCTTGTTCGCCGAGGCATCCTTGTACAAAATGCAGCCTGCAGCCTCGAGACGAAGCTTGGCGTCCTGGGTTATGAACAAGTTGGCACCTTCCACAATGTAGGGAATTGTCGTCTTGCCGTCCTTGATCAGCCTGCTGACCGAGATGAGATCAATCGACTCGGGGCGGCCGCCACAGGGCACAAAGGCGTCCGTCATGCCCGTGTCGCGCAAGTGGAACGTGTTTCGGAAAGACGTCCCGTTGGTGATCAGCTCGCCGCTGGGAAGGACCACGTTGTTGTCGTCGCATAGGACGCGGAACCCATCCTTGGAGACTTTGGACATGTCGTACTCGCTTATCATGGCACGCTTCTTGGCCAGGCGGAGCAGCTCTTCCCTGTCCAGGCCGTTGGGGTCGGCCAGCACGCCGGAGCCATCGACAATGGCCGTCCACTTCTCGTTGCCCAGCAGAATTTCGTTGCTGCCCAAGTCGCCGTCAGGGCCGCCAGTCTGCATCTTCCTGACCTTGGAGGGGTCCAGGTTAAGCTTCCTGTAGATGCCCTTGACGTACTCGCGCACCGACAGCGTCGTCATGCCGTACTTGTCGTGTGGAATGCCGCCCAACTTCGGCGACTTGCCAGTGAAGAATGACTTCCACCAGGGCGCGCCGCGGGTTCTTGCGTGCTCTGTGGCCCAGTCGACCAAGTCGGCCGTGTTCTCGTCGGGGCCCATGAAGATGATTTCCTCCTTGCCGTAAAGATCCACCAGCTTGTTCTTGATGCCCGGGCTGACGGCCGGCAAAAGCAGATCCAGGATGCTGTCAATGTACTTTTCAAATGCTTCCTGGGCCTTGTCCTGCTGCTTAGGATCCAGGAGAATGACGCCCTTGGAACCGCCTTCGGGAATGTCCTTGTTCTTGCGCTGCTGTGTGTTGGCCAGTCCGTAGTTCTCGTCAAAAAGATTGCGCGCGTTGATGCCGTACGCCTCCTTACTGCGGGACTTGACAATGCGGATACCGCCGCGGGAAATGTCCTTGAAGCGCAAGTGGAAGCCCCTGGACTCGGCACCAATGACGAGGAACATGCCGTAGAGTCGGCGAGGGTACTCAACCTCGGGAAGGAAGGCTGGGTCCAAACGAAAGCTGAGAGCAACCTTGGTCGGGGTGAAGTAGTTGGTCTTGAGAATTGCATTGTTGAACACCCTGAACGCAGTCATGACCATCTCGTCGTGCTCGTTGGAAACCGTCATGGAGATTGTTTCCTTGAGCTTCTCGTCGGACAGGATCTCAACCACGGGTGTCGGCGGCACCGTGTACATGTTCGCATCGGGGCCGCCGCCGAGATGAATGCTGGCGAATGAGGCATACAATGACCTCACGAGGCCAGGGTATGTCTGGATAATCTCCAGGATGTAATCAGGAGTGAAGGTCTCGGTTCGCAGGCGACGTTTGAGCCTCGACAAGAGGGCAGCCTGTGCCGTGTTGCCGGGGTTCAAGATGTCGGACAGGGATGCATACTCGGGACCCAATCGGTTGAGGAAGTGCTGCACGAAGACCCATGCGGAGTGGGCATAGACGGCCTCCTGAAGACTCAAGTCTCCCACAGCAAAGAGGTTGTGGAACTTGTTCTGAGGCAGGCAGTAAAGGAGAGAAATCTCCTTTGCAATCTGGTGGATCGACTCGTCGATGGGTGGGAAATAACCCTCCAGGTGCATGGCGGGTCGGAGGTAGATACTCATGATAGTGATGCCGTTGGAGAACTGCTCCACATACTTCCTCGAGCTGGTGATGCCGTAGTAGTGGTAGAGGTCGCTCAGGGCCGAGAACATGCCTCGGGCCGTGCGGGTGCGGAAGGCGATGACGAGGCGCTTCTCGGGTGAACCCTCGATGTCGAAGATTTCAATGACGGAGCCAGTTCTATTGACCGCCAACTCAATGATTTCCTGGTAAATCTGCTTGGTGTTGTCCGTGGCCTTTTGCCAGAAGCCGGTGTCTGAGATGAGCTCAATGTTGGTCTCGTTGGGATCCGTCGCCTCCGGGCTCTGCTTGAACTGGCACTGGTAGACGAAATAGCATCGGAGAGTGGCCTTGGAGGTGGGACTAGCACCAATGACGGCCGGGGAGCGGAAGGTCTCGACGCGATACTTGGTCTTGCCCTGGTGGTCCAGGTACTTGGCCTCGAGACGCGACTCGTACCTGGGGCCGCTGACGTTGCGCGTGCCGGGCTCGCTCGTGTCGATATAGATGGCGTGGTCATTGGCCTCCATGTCGAGGCGGATCTCCTCTTGCTTGTCTTCGCGCGAGTAGGCTGCCACCTTGGCGGCGTAGAGCGACGTGATCTGGCTGGCAATGACGTCTGGGGTCTCGATGTGGAAGTACACGTCGTCGATGCCGAGCTGCTCGTAGAACCAGCAGATCTCCTCCTCGACGAGCGGCTCAGGGATCCATCCGGCCTTGATGATGATGTCCTTGACTGCAACGGAGGACCCAGTCAGTTGGGCAACAGGTGCGGAGACAGGGCATCTTTACCAGTCTTCATCTGCTCGACCTTGCCGGTGAACTCGGGAGCAACGTAGCCGACGGTGGCCGACCGCAGTGTTCGGTGGCCATTGCCATTGGGATTTGATGCCAGGGGAACGCTGAAGTGCGTGGGCTGTGGCGAGGGGCCGCGGCTGGACTCTTCCGACTGAATATGCAGCAGGGGCTTGGGCTTGGGGGCGATGGACCCCATGATGGGCGGTTCGCGGGGCTCGAAGGGATCAAGGTAATCGGGGAACCTGTCGAGCAATGCGAGGTCAGTCTTATGGGTGTCCACGACAAACATGGTGTCTCTGCGTGCGACGAGGATGAGAGCAGTTGCAAGGGCGCCAACCAAGCGCGGTACCACGAGCCAGAAGGGACAATGCAGCAAGGCTTTGGACGAGGGGCCGGCGAGCTCGCCTCGGACGGCAACGTCTCGCTATATAAACAAGGGCATGGGGCCGGTGGCATGGCTAGGCCAGCGGGCGTGTGTAAGTGGGCAACGCAGAAGCCGGCGCTCTGCGAGAAAGGGGGGTGGCCCGAGGCGATCCGAGACAGGGCACAGGCGTTGCCTGGGTCGGGCCCTTATCGTCCACCACAATAACCACAATGGGGGCCGGACGTTATCTCAGGGGCTGACAGAGAGGGCTCTCTTCCAAGAATTGGCCGCGACGACAAAGACGGAGAGAGAGGCGCATTGACAGGCGACCAAGGCCACTCACCTCGTACTCTATGTGCCCCTGCAGAAAAGAAAGAGCGGATATGCTGCCCTGGGGCTCGGGGCTCGTCGTTTGAGGCTGATGAGGTCGACACCGGCCTGGCCGAGCGGCAAGGAGACGGATTTGGTGACGTAGAAGCAGCTTATCGATGGCTGCAATGCACGTCGGAATGCGGCTGCCGAGCGCTGGCGGGGCAGTTGGCGGGGCAGAGCAGAGAGCGCGCCTACCAAGGGCTCGGGAGAGGCGGCAGGCAACAGGCAACGAGTGATGCGAGCGAGGTATGGAGGGAATTGGCACGCTGCTTGAGCAATTTCTTCATCAGCAACCGGTCAGCTTATACACAGGGAGGAGCAGGTTGCGCAGGAGGAGGCTGCGCAACCCCAAATGCACCACGGCCCGGTCACAGCACAGCGCAGCGCAGCGCAGCTCAGCACAGCACAAGCACAGCACAAGCGAGCACAAGCACGCACAGCGCAGGCACAGCACAAGCACTGCCCTTCCATTCGATAGGCATGCCGCTGAAGGCGGCGGCAGGGGGGATTTGACGACTCACCCGGTCGGTGTGACGAGGCAGAAGGGCGTTGGCGAGCTGAGGTGCCAATTGGCAGCAGGGGCAGCAAGCAGACTCGTTGAAGGGGCTTGCTCTCATCAATCTCGCCAGCTGAGTTTGCAGAGGGGATGGGGAATGGAGGCAGAGAGAGGTGACGATGCCTTGGACCGCTGAGACAGAGATAAGGAGACGCCACTGCCTTTAAGTATCCATTGCCCTCGAGACGGATCCGGAACCAAGCCCAAGCTGTTGTTCTTTTTATTTCCCGGCATTATGCTCCCAAAAAGGACGCTTTGCGAGGGCAACGGCACGGTAACAAAGTACTCGTACAAGCAGGTTACCGCTACCTTCTTGCCTGCCCGTGGAGGGGGAGACGTCTCGTGCCCCTCGTGTGGTGGGCCGCGAGAGCGGCGGAGTCGCCCAGACTGGTCCACAGCCCCTGGGAGTCACCTGCCAACGAGGTATTTCGGGGCGCCCTGTTTACCCTGGGTCACGGGGTCCGCATGCATTCATGTACCTCGATTGAGGGGTACTTACCCCACAAGCCCCGGGTTACCGCGCGCCCGTTTGCAGGTACCTGGGCGTGATTGAGGTACCCGACATGCGGGTTGCTCGGTACGTACAGTCGGTACGTAGGATACCTAGGTACCCGCCTAGGTAGGTGCGGACACCTTGAGCAGAGTCGATCGATGCGTACCTACCTTTAGATACATGGGCTGTACCTGCCTGTACATTTCGCGCTACACCTCTTCCTACTAGGGTACCTAGGAAGGTACCTGGTTACCTACTTACTGTACATAGGTAGGAAGGAATTCAATGCATATGCTTGTCATGGCGTGCTTGAATTCGCACGAGCCCTTCATCGGCTTCAGGTGCCCAATTCCTCCTGCCCACAAGCCCTCCAAACCTGTTGCGTGTTGTTCTTGGCACGGGTAGCTTTCGATTTTCTTCGGATACGAAAGTATAACGCCTACTCCGTAGTAGTTACGTGCATGCATCCATGCGCAGCATTTCTGTACTCGGTACCATTCAGGTACGGTATTCCATGAAACGTGTTTTCCAAAACACGGCGTCGTGTCCACTGAGCTTCCACAACTGGCGCTTTTCCTCTGCAACTCGCCTTGACACCGACACAGTCCACGTCACGCAGGACAATGCGGCGCCGGGGAACCAAGGCTCCTTGCATGCTCTCAGAGGCATATAGTGCCCGAGCAAGTTTCCCTTCAAGTTGGATCGCCCTCCGCTGCTTCGTGGCCCGGCAACTGTTACCTAAGGAAAGGTATCCATTACCAAACACCAGCAGGGCGCTAGGCTCTCTTTGGCAAGCAGGCGTGCCAGTTGTCGTCAGGCACGAGTTGTCGGAGAGACCTTTTATTTTTAGTGGCCGCCCCACCCGAGATACTCGCAGGCACCGGCTGAAGTACCCAAGGTACCTACCTAGCGTACTCTGCCCTGTAGGTACGGAGTACCCCCCCCCCCCCCGACCAGGGACCGGCCCACGTTGACGGGTCGGCTATTCGAGGCTCTGCAGCAATTTCATTGCTTCCTTTCGCTTCCAGCTTCTTTTTAAGCCTCACTCGCTCTATGAGGCTAGACCCGATCGGTGGCCACCGTCCATCGTGCACCGTATGTATGTACGTACACACTCCTGCGGGGAAATCGTCGGTAAGCCTGTGTGTGCTACATCAGCAGACTCATCAGAGATTTCCTCTCTGCAAAAAAAAAAAGTGCCTCGCAGACTCGCACACGACGATGCCGCGGAGCCGTGCGTGTGTGGTTGTCTTGCCCGTTTCAACAGCCCCAATTCGCGAGCCAGCCAGCCGCTCTCGCCCCCGCTGTGCTTCTAATCACATGCTGTACCCCCATTAAACGCGCTCTCCCCTTTTCACCTACACAATGACAAGCCAAGACGGCGGGCCGAGATGCGGAGGCGGAGAGAGCGAGGCCAGACGGGGATCAGGGGCGCTGACACTCCGGGGGGCGCCGGAGAGGCGACCAGAGACATTCAAGGTTATTCACTCTCTGCAGCACCAGTCCAGCCGCGCCCTGGCATGGCTCCGTCGCCGGTCATGATGCAATTGGCCCATTGCGTGGTGCCATGATGTTGACGTGCATCTGTGCCAACCACCGTGCCGGGGGCCGCCTGCCGTCGAGTTCGCTGCCAGAGGAGAGACTCGGCATCTTGGGTGCCGTGGCTGTACTGTAGGTACCTACATAAGCATGCATATGTATGCGACCTTGGCCATCACACACAGCTTGCGCCCGTGTTGGTCCTGGGCCGACGTGGCGATGCAAGTGCTCCCTCGCGTTTCTCCGCTGCGCCTCCAGTGCTCCCATGCCTGCCACGAGGTGCGTTTCTTCATCGGATCAACACCATCGTCGGGATTTATCCGAGTCGGACCGCTGTTGGCAAGGGGTGCCCTGTTCGGCCTGAGGAACTGCCTCATTGTCTCGCTGTCCGTTTGCCATGTGTTCAATGACCCGCATGTAGCAAAATGTGCAGCAACGGATGCAACTGACTGCGGTTGGCTCGTGATAGTTACCCCTTCTTCCGACTGTTTCCTGCCGCCCTTGATCCACGCACCTAGGTGTGAAGGGAGGCGTGGCCTCATGATCCGACAAGACTTTACTTACATACATGCAGGTACTCGGGGAAGATGGCCTTTGAACACGTCACAAGGTTGGCAGTCTCAGTCTGCCAGTTATTGTTTGGTCATGACAAAAAATGTCTCGTTCTTGTGGCCAACAGCACCATGGCGGCGTTTCTTGCTCGCCGGGACATCCACGAGAGACACCAAGTTGTGCGCGCGGCAGTGGATGGATCGGGGCTTCGGTGGATCTTTGGGCTCCCTCGCGCGCCCGCCCGTACGTGCCAAGGCGACGAATCCTGGATTCGCCGCTGCATTCTATGGCGAAGCACGAGGTGGAAGAGACTCTCGAGGGGGAGGCCCGTGGAAGGAGATCGACCAATCCGCAGCTGGACTTTTTTCTCATGGTTGGACGGGGCCGCCCGCATGCGCGCGTGTGTACATGCCGTTGACCTGGGTATACATACAGAGGGAGGAGCAGCCGTTGCAGCCAAGGTCGCGGGAGAGGGAGGGGAGTCCGCGGGGGTCTCCGGAAGCCATCGGAGTGGGAGGCGGGGACGGCACAGGGACCTATTCTGTTGTTGGTCGGGCCTTCGTTGTGCGATCCGTGGCCGAGTACCTGATACTGCGATGTACGAAGGCTAGATGATAGTAGCTGTACATGCAGCATTAAGGTGTCTATAAGAGTGATGCGGCCGGGACGCGGCCGGCAGGACTGTGTGGACCCGCTTTTTTGGCCTAGGCGCCGTCGGCCGGGTCCTCCGAAAGCTGCCCCGGGGTCTGGCTCCCACGGCCGTCAGCGTTTCCATTACCCCCAGCTTTCTCAGCCCGCCCGTTTCCATTACCCCCATTTTACATGATGGCGGCGGTGCAGCGTTTTGCAGGTGCACACGGCACGACGCGTCACTTGTTTTAGGGGACTCGAGGACGGTGGCGGTCTTTAGTCTGTAATGAAGGTAGGCGTGTGTGTGAGACCAAGGAAGCTTCTCCACGCCAAGCAAAACGTGCCGCAGCGACGCCTGCATGCTGCATCTCGAGCGTGGCCGGTGCCAGTAGTGTGTGCCCTTTGCCCTGTTTCATGGCTCGTGGCCGGTCCAATCCCCAAGCAGAGTACACCGTGGCGTGACCGGCCGTTGTGCTCTGCAGTTGGCAACTGACCACGTGCTGACTCGAGAAAGCCCCGATTACCTAACCTAGTAGTCAACGGCTGACGGGGCCCCGGCAGCTGACAGTGCTTTGCCTGAACCCCTGCCAGCTCGTGTCCCTGGGGGGTCGGGCCCAATGCCCCGGCGTCGGGAGCAGGCAGGGAGAAGAGGCCCGCCCAATCAATGGCAATTGACGTTCGCTGCATCACGAGGACGGCAGAAACCGAGTAGCGGCTTCGTGTCTCATTGGCCACGGAAGCGCATCCCTGCCATCAGGTCACGATGCTCTGCCCCAGATGGACTCTTACGTACAAGATCTATCGCTTCCGTTCGAGGCTCTGCGCCTGCTTTGCCAAGATCCAGGGTTGCGGCATACAGCATGGGATGAACTGACACGTCTCGTCGGCGCCTTGCGGGTTGGACAGTCATGGTTTCTCACAGCCTCCGGCACTGGCCACCTCCCCTGCCTGTCTGCATCGATGCATGTCCGGGGATACAGTACCTGAGCCTCGGGCTCGCGCTTCCCATCCGACGTCGTGCAAAGCCTCTGTCGGGAATTTGTGCGACCTCTGCCGCCCTTGGCGCCAATGCGGCTGACCATGTGTGCTCCCTCTACTCCCTCTCCCGGCAGTTGGCCTCCCGCAAGCGAATGCGGGTCAATGGCTCCCGGGAGTTCAATTCTTGCATGAAAGGGGGCCTGCTTTCTATCCCGGATTCGTGGTTGCAATCGAATCGTGAGCGCCGCGCATCGGATTCCTTTCCATTGAATCATCAGCCAGCTGACAGATGCGGAGCAAATCTAGCAGCTCCCTTTGATCTTTGATAATAGCACCGCGTCAGAAAAAGAATCTTTGTCTTGCAGGTGGCTGCGGAAGGGAGAGTGGCGACGGAGAGAGTGGCGAGGAAGAGAGTGGCGAGGGAGAGTGGCGGAGCACGTGATCCCAGCGCCGTTTCTTCGGCTAATCCCCCATACCGACGAGGACCCGCGCTCTCAGCCCGAGCTGCCAAAAATTTCCACCCGTGACGCAGCTCGACGGAAAGTTTGTCGCCGCCCAGCTCGACTCGCAAGAAGCACCGTCGCCCATCTCCCTCGATCTTCAGCTTGTTTGACGAGCAAGCCCCTTGGCTGTTGCTTCGCCATCGTCCCCCAGCGAGCTTCTCGAGCAGCTGCCTCGAGCACTCCACACTTCATTGACATAGCGCCGTCGCCGTCTTCGCAGCCCGACTGTCGCACTTGCAGAGCTTCCTTTGCGTCAGCTCTTCGCATCTCCCTCCGACGCATCCAATCTCTCTCGCAAGTGTCGCAAAGCCGTCAAAATGGTTACTCTCACCGAGGTCGAGGATGAGCACTTCCAGAGCACCCAAGCTGGTCCCGACGTTGACGACGAAGACTTTACCGACACAGGTCTGTCCATCCCTCGGGCGGTTCGCAGAGGTGTATGAGACGCCAGCGTGCTGACCACTTTCCGTCTGTCTAGACTCTGAGATCTCTAACGAGTCTGATTTCGATCCAACGAGCGAGACGCTCGCCGAACGGCTATACGCCCTCCGCGACATCATCCCCCCAACCACCAGAGGCTGGGTCTCGAGCCGGGTCAGCTCCATCTCCAGCAAGGCCTGGAACGTGCTCTCATTTGGCGGCAAGGGTGCTTGGGTCATCACCACCTCGGCCCTGTTCTTCGGCGTTCCCTTTGCCCTCTCCTTCGCCGAGGACCAGCAACTCACTGCCATGGAGCAGGAGTACAACATGCGGCAGACGGGAAGCGAGCTCCTGACTGCTGGATCAGAGCAGGGCACCGCTGAAAGGGTGGGCGCTGCGCTGGGCGAAAGCAAGGCGCAGCCCGAGCTATGAAGCGCTCAGCACGTGGATCTGCGAGACACTGTACAATCATGTCGAATGTGAAATGCCGCATCTCGGGGCCATCGAGAGCATTCATCTGTACAATAACTAGGGATGGGCAGACTCGATCATTTCCTTGCTCGAAACACCGACTGGGGCGACGCGTCTTTCATGGGTGCGGACGAGGATGCGCACGGGTTAGCACTTTGACCTGCATGAAAGGGGGCGTCTTCGCCACCTACAATCTCACCTCCGTGGTAGTTGGATTGGCGTGAAGTTGTCATGGAGGCATCGTCTCTTGATGAATCTGGACGCCGTGGGCTGTGGATTAGGGAGGGCTACAACATGGCTATGCGCCTGTTGTGCAGACAACGGCCGTGGGGACAAGATTTACAAAGAGAAACGATGAATCTGGAGCTTCAGTATCTGCTGTGCTTGCTGTGCCGGGAAATATCAATTGAGCATCGGCCATAGCCGAGGTGCCGTCTGGGCGAGGTTAATGTGTTGTTTTTTCGTCCCCGAGTCCGTATAGGGTAGCGTCACGGCGGGGGCACGTCTTAAGGCCTCGCGATCATCAAGTCTTGTGTCTCACTGTCAACCATCACGAGTTGGAGCAAGTTTGAAGCAATGGATTACGTGGCTCTCCCCAAAATCGAGGTAAATCTGGGCGTCTCCCGACAACCTGGGACTCTTCGCTGTGCCGTTGTTCCCTCCACCCCTCTGATCAGAAGTAGGCGAGCGAGCAACTAACGAAATCCAACGACAGTTGCACGCCCATCTCACGGGCAGCGTCTCGCGCGACACTCTGCACCAGATATGGCTGCGGAAGCACGCCGCCGGAGAGACGGACCTGGAAGACCCGCTCAAGGTCATGCCCGAGGGCAAGCATGATTACAATCTCGAGACGTGAGCAGCCCCCTCTCCCCCATGCCCCCTCTCACGCTCCACCGAGTTGGCGCAACCAGCCTCGAAGTCTGACGACCGGGGGAAGCCGGGGACGGGTGCGGCGGCGGGGCTAATCGGGCTTTATGGGGGTGGATGTCGTCTCTCCAGCTTTTTCCCGCTCTTTGGCAGCTACATCTACGCGCTGCTGACGGACGAGGCCTCGATCCGGCACGCCGCGACGTCGGTGCTCGAGCACTTCCTCGCCGACGGCGTCGTCTACCTCGAGCTGCGCACCACGCCCCGCGCGGCGGGCAGCCTGTCGGCCGAGGCCCACGTGCGCCTGCTGCTCGACGTCATTGCCGGCTTCGAGGCCGCCCACGGCGACGCCATGCACACGCGCCTCATCCTCTCCATCGACCGGCGCCACGCCCTCGACACGGCAGAGTCCATCGCCGCTCTCGCCGCCCGCCTGCGCGCCGAGGGCGGCGTCGGCGGCGGCCGCGTCGTGGGGCTGGATCTATGCGGCGACCCGACGGCCCGCCCGGCCGGTGCCGTCGGCCTCTTTACCCCCGTCTTCGAGCGTGCCTCGAGCCAGGGCCTCGGCGTCACGGTCCACTTTGCCGAGGCAGAGGCCAGTGCCTCGCCCGAGGAGCTGCGCATCTTGCTGGCGTGGAGGCCTGCCCGGCTGGGCCATGTCATCTGGGAGGACGACGAGTCGAGGAGGGAGATTGCCCGCCGCGGGCTGTGTCTCGAGCTGTGCCTGAGCTGCAACGTCAAGGCCGGCATGATCCGGGGGGGCTTTGAGAGCCACCACCTCAAGCACTGGATGGGCGTCGACGGACCCAAGATATCTCTGGGCGTGAGTTTCCAACCCCCCCCCGTTTCCCTCCTCGTCTCCCAGAATCGTGTCTCCTTGCACACCGCGGACGTCGAGTCTTTCATCAAGCTCGCTCGTCGAACCAGGTGCCCCTCCAAAGAAAGCAGAGGAGACAACGCCTCGCCCGCACGCACGCTTACCTGGCGGCAACACGCAGACCGACGACGTGGGCGTCTTTGGCAGCCCCCTGTCCAACGAGTACCGCCTCGTCGCCCAGCACTTCAACCTCGACCGGCCCCGCATCTGCGCCCTCGCCCGCCAGGGCATCGACGCCATCTTTGGCGGCGACAAGGAGAAGCAGCGGCTGCGGGACATCATGTGGACGTAAGTCTTGCGTGGTCCGCGCCGAGCAAACGTCGCCCGTCAATAGGGAATCCGGAGATGTGTAGATAGCGATGAAAGGGGCATACATTCATGTACATAGGTAAGGTCTAGGTAAACGTGAATCGTGCAGGTTTTGCATCAATCTGAGCTGACGGCTGAATGCGGTCAGAGCATGAGAAGCCGAGGGGGCAAAACCAATAGAAACAACACACTCGCGATCGAGAGGAGAGCTTTTTGTCCCATTCGAATCTGAAGGCGATGCAAAGCAATTGGTTCAGGAAGACCCTTCACGTCGACAACCGGCCCCATATTAAAACGCCATATCCCCCCCCATGCCCATCAGTTACCGTGTCATCATAATTCAGTGCAAGCCTGGAGGAGGAGCGTCCAAGTCTACTCCCTCAACCTTAATCCTCTGCTCCTCGCTCCTACTCACGAGTTTGTGGAAGAATTCGGCTGCCATCTCGCTCTCGCCCTTGATCTTGGCCGTCTCATCTAGCCGGTTGCCCAAGTCTTTCACGCTCTGCTGCAGCCCGGAGCGCAGATTGTCGGCCGGAATGCGGAGAACCTTGCGCACCGACGAGGAGATTCGCGTTGAGTTGGAGTGGACGTAGTCAATCTCGGCGAGCTGCACTGATATTTTTGTGGCAAGCCGATGAGGCAGCGAGTTGGGAATCTGTTGGAGAACGTATGCGGATGCGGCCACGGCTACAATACGGTCAGTGTCAGGAAACAACGGGGCAGAGTGACCCGACATCTACTTACCAGCTACAATCATGCCGGGGATGATGAGTTGCCGCAGGTTCCCATTGCCCAAAAGACGTGTCGCAGTCAGGGCCTGGTCCATCCACGTGCTCATTCCCATCATGCGAGGCACGACCGCGCCGGCGACGGTGAGAGCCATGCCGGTTCCGGCAAACTTCTCTTGCCGTTGCAAAAGAGTCGACCAGTCGACAAAGTCGGATAGTTCGGTGGAAATATCGACTTGACGAGCGAGCGCATCGCGCTTACGGCGAAACATGACGCCGGAGCGGAACTGAAGATTCTGAAATTCGTCTCCGACGTGCAGGAGCCCGAGTTGTTTGACGACATTTACGCCCTGGACGGTCTTGCTGCGCGCATACTCTTCGCAGTCGCTGACGGCGTCGGCTATGTGAGAGAGCATGGCCTCCTTGAGATCGTCGGCATACTGGAACGCGCCGAGAAATCCGGGATACGAAACGTCGTAGTTGGTCTTGCCCGCGTATGTTATGGCAGCGTGGAGCTCGGCACGGGTATGGTCATACACGTCTTGGCACGTGTCCTCGATGTTCTGGTCCACTTGGTCCCCGACTTCAGACTGCGCCTTTCTGCTCGTTTCCAGCTGGGGCTCAAGCGCCTTGAGTTCCTCAGTAACCCGGTCCAGCTCTGACTGCGCCATGCCCTGGTTGACTGTGGCCAGCATGTTGACGTCGTTGAGAATGTTCAGCAGATAGGTCCTCGCGGGGGCAAGTTTGGACCGCGCGCGCTTCTCCAGGACGAACCGCCGCAGAGATTGCTCCAAGGCCTCAAAGTCGCGAACCTTGTCCATGTCCGTACCCTTGCCTTTGCCATTCGTGCCGTCAGTGTCATCGCCGGGGTCATCTCCGCCACCTCCGCCGCTGGAACTTCCGCTGCCGCTGCCTCCCGGACCACCGGGGGGGGATGGACCTGCGGGGATCGCGTTGCTCGACACGAAGTGAACAAGCTCCGACGACTCTTTGTGCGTTTGCGGGCTCAGGTCCGAGACCTGGTCCAATATCAACTTCTGGCACCGCTCTTTGGCTCTGATTGTGTCGTAGCCATTGACAACCATGAAGAGGTATGCCTTCTCTGCGGCGGCTGCCCAGATGAACTCCTTGGCCGACTGCGTGAAGTGGTTGGCCGCAGACACGACGAAAACCACGACGTCAATCTCTTCTTGTCTGGCAAAGATGGCCGTCGTCTTTGTCGTGTCTGAGTTGAGGCCAGGTGCGTCGATGAGCGCAATGTCCACGACGCCGTTGTTGAGCAACGACTGATCAATCGTTCTGATATCTTTGACGTAGACTTTGCACTGCGTATAGGTTTCGTTGTCAACCACAATCTTTTCTAGGTCCTTCAAAGGGAACACATCAAAGGTCGATTCGTCGTTGCGGTTATAGGTGGCATCTTTGTGCACGGCATGCACCTCCTCGATTCCGGCGTTGGCCCTGGAGTCCAGCACCTCGCAGAATATGGCGGTACACGGTTGCTGATCCTCGGGCAAGACCTTGCGCCGCAGAAGCGCATTGCAGAAAGTCGACTTTCCGGCGTTGAGGTCCCCCGTAATGAGGACCTTGCTCGAGGTGTCTTCGATGCGTTCTCGGAGAGAAAGCAGATGCTTGATGCTGGAGTTGATTTTCCCGTCCAGAAGTGACGCGATGGAACTCTTCTCCAACGAGTGCACTAGTTCGGCTTGGTGCAGGGACCCCAACTTCAGGTCAAGCTTCAATATTGAGAATTCTTGGGCAATCTGGGCCGAGACGAGTCGGGGTTCGGAGACTCCTCGATTCTGGGCGGCTCGACTCGACTCGGCTGACGGATCTTCGACCGTGGTCATTGCCCTCCGCAGGGTCGGCGGATTGTCGGCGGTGGGCGGCGTACTGGAAGTGTCCTCCATCATCGAGTGCCTGTGGGCGAAGCCGGGGCGCGACACGGGTCGTTCGGAAGGGACCGCAGAGGCCAATCGCTGAACAGATGGATAGTGAGCCGGCCACGCCGTGTTCATCTCTTGAAAGGAACCGAGGATTTCCAAGACTTCATTAATCGATCGACCCAACCTGCCGCGCTGCGCGTTGTACCACATCTGGTGCAGCACGCCGGATTGCGGCCGATCATGATGCAGAGATCCGTCCCAAGCGGGTTCGGACTTGGCGCCCTGATAGTCTTCGCCGGAGATGCTGTCTCCATAGCCGGAGTCGACGTCCATCATATTCCGTAGGTGTGTTCCATGTTCCGAGACGGAGCCAGTGCCGACGGTCATGTAACTTATGCGGTTGGAAGTTGGAGCGGCATTGCTCGGCGCGTTGGGATCGGGCTCGCGGCGGGCAGGGGCCTTGCCCTTGTCATTAAAATAGTCCTGGCTCATGTCGACTGATGTCGCGCGGGGCGCATGGTTGAGAGAAGCCAAGGTCGGGAGGGCGGGCTGATGGGGGGGGATGGCGGGCGCGAGAGAAACTTGAAAGATTCGATGGAGGAATGGGCGACGCTGGACGCGAAGGAAGAAGGGGCGATTGCATGCTGCAGATTATTGTATTATGCGGCCGGCTCGCCGCCCTGATTGGCCAGAAAAGCGGCGGAAGTTTGGAGAATACTGTCAGTCCTGTTTACTTGTACTTGCGATAGTATCCGAGGTATCTTAACCGCAATCTCTTGCCCCGCTCATGCACCTGGATCACCAGATCCTATCTAAAATACATGGGTATCTCCTTGTGTCCTCTCCGCCACGTTTCGCCCGCCTCGAGAGTACGTACTTCATGTCACTACCTTACCTGGTAGGTAACCTGAGCTTCCGCTCGTGACGTCGGACGACGACAGACAACTTTGTTCACTCTCACATCATCTCTTCCATTTGCCGCGCGACTGTTCCTGGCCCCGGTCCGTAAGCTGGTACGGAGAAGTGGAAGACTTCAGACCAGCACGATGAATGCGAGTGCCTCCCTCAAGTCTCTGCTCTGCTGCCGCCGCTGACTGGGGTCAACCAGATTCTAGAATGGGCGTTTGGAAAGCGCATGACGCCTGCGGAGCGTCTGCGCAAGAACCAGCGCATGCTCGACAAGGCGATACGAGAACTCGACCAGACCCGCGTCAAGCTGGAGAAGCAGGAGAAGACCCTGATACAACAGATCAAGACAAGCGCCAAGAACGGTCAGATGGGCGCGTGCAAGATTCAGGCCAAGGACTTGGTTCGTACCCGGCGGTATATCGAGAAATTCTTTGCCATGCGAAGCCAGCTTCAAAAGATTTCACTGCGGCTCCAGGTATGATGATTGCGTCGAGACATGCGACTCGCAGCCAGTCGCTTGGCGCTGACGGCAGTAACCACCCAGACCTATCGTACCAACGAGCAGATGATGCAAGCCATGAAGGGAGCCACCATGGCTCTTGGTAGCATGAACAAGTCGATGAATCTTCCTCAACTCCAGCGGATTGCCATGGAGTTTGAGCGCGAGAACGACATCATGGAACAGAGGCAGGAGATGATGGATGACGCCGTCGACGATGCCATGGACGTTGGCGTCGAGGAGGAGGGAGACGAAGTTGTCGATCAAGTCTTGGAAGAGATTGGGATCGACTTTAACCAAGCTGTGAGCTTGCTCCCTGGCCCTGACTCTGCGAAGACGGAATACTTATGACATGTTTTCTCACAGCTCGGCGAGACACCGACAGCCCTGGGAACCTCTGCTGTGTCCGAGGGTAAAGTTGCACAAGCGGTTGGTAGCAACACCGGCGGCGGCGGCGGCGATCCGGTTGACGATGATCTCCAAGCCCGACTTGACAGCCTGCGGAAATGATGTGCAAACGGCCATCGGATCGAGAACATATACGAGAGGGACACCGCCTGCCCCACACCCTAGTGGTGATATATGGTTGTGTAGCGCCACCACTACTGCTATGCTTGGTGCGATTGTGAGGAAGTTGCAGATGCATTTATGATAGAGTCTACGGGCGATCCAAGGTACGAGGCGAGCACTTCAGCTCACATTGCCCCCGAGGTCAGGCTCGCTAGAGAGGAAGTCTTGGAGTGCTAGGCGTTTGCTGGATTTGACGGTATTGACGATGGCGGTGGAATGTTTGGTGCGTGGCATGGTGGTTTGCCTAGATCAAACGTGGGATAGTTCTACAACTGGTCCATGAGTGCCGCGGAGAGTTGATCCCAGCATGCATGACTGCCCGAAGGCGGAGAAAAGGATCAAGAAAGAGGAATAAGCAATCAACAGCCGCACAAAGGAGGCTCTTGCGAAAACACGCAACATTGCCGGTGAACTATTTGCCAACCTGGCTCGATGCGGCTCCAGTCTTCGCCCGCGGGATAGTCCAGCCTCTGGTGCTCAGTGGACTTGAGCCCACACATGCTTCAATGACGGAGGACTGAGATGGGACTGCAGCTGCGCCGTGGGAGATATCTGGGACTCTCCGACGGACACTCTTGGGTATGGCCTGTTACGCAGCAACAGGCCCACACGTCAGCTCCACCGCGTAATTACACAATGTCAGGCAGGCTCTCGGTACATCAGGCATGGATGTGCTACACATCTGGCATGTATGTTATAGGATAGGTAGTGGTATTGCCTGGCATCACTTGATTCGTTGGCTTTGGTGTGCGGTAGGTCGATGGGAAAAGGGAAAACGTACGAAATAGTGATGGTGACGACCGCAACTCGGTGCATATCAAAGCCCCTCCCTAGTCATGGGGCGGCGACCAACCATTCCAGGTTCTACATCAACGCAGGTTGCACAGCTGTCTTGGATGACGAGGGTGATTCAGGGCAACCCCCGATGACGCTACAGGGCAGAACCCTTATGACCACCCATCTTGAGGACCTTGAGGCACACGGGCACGCATGTAGGGCTGATATCGTCGGACGGAGAGTTGAGATGGTTCGGCCGAGTTGCGGGAACCCGGCGCCAGCGTGCTCGATTGAACCGGGCAGGACCTTCTGGGGCGTCTGCCCTGAGCTGGCCGTGGTCTGCCGCAGCATATGCGCCCGCCTCAGGTTCTGCAGGTGGCTTTTAGGCACCCAGGCCCTGTACCTGCCTGATTCGGGCAGGAACTGCTCGCGGAGTTGCCTCGGTGCCCTGCCCTGCCACTGCCTGGCCACTTGAGCCTCCAGTTGGCGCTCCCCTTCGAAGTACGGGGAACAAAAAGAAAGTGTTTCCCAGGCCACCGCTCATGTACAGGTACACACGTGTGCGCCTGCTCCATCTCGCGGTGGGACAGACACTGCCCTTCTCTTTCGTCTCTTTCGGGCCCTTTTACCAGACAAAGGGAACATCTACGGAGTACAGACAGTCTCGGTACAAAGAAGGACCACATGACGAGTACGTCTCGGGTACGGTGACAAGCAGGCCCCCAAGAAAGACTCCCGCGTCGGAGGTTGGAAGGTGGATATCGACGGCGCAGTACTGTACTTTGCCCGACAGCCACATACATACACTTATTACCTACCAACCTACCTGCTAACTTACCTGCTACCTACCTAGAGCCGGCGGCCCCCCCCCACCACCATCATTCGCATCTCCAACATCCGTCATCACCACTGTCGCCCAGGGGAAAAACGACGCTTACCAACTCAAAGCGACTCGCTTGGCCCATCGGCTACACCTTTCCAAGCGCTTGAATCGCACTTCGACACAGGCTCGCCGCGACTTCGCCAAGGTACGTTGCATGGTGTATGGCCCACTTGTGTCCCCGTTCGCTCGTCATGACGCCCTTCGCGGCTGGATGCACGACGCCGTGGCACTGCCATTTGACCTTCGTGGCTCCCAGGCCAGCGAACAAGAGGCGCCACGTTTCTCGAGGCGATGATTCATGGCAGAGGCTCGTCACGCACAAGCTGGCAGCAACTCTTGGCCGGCCGGCCCGCCTCCCCCCCCTTCTCCCTCCGTCAGAATAATCGCCCATTGAGTGACGATGGCTCCCTTTCCGCCTCGGCCGCAGTGCCTCATGACTGACACATTCGACATGGCAGAACCCCCGACCAAACGACCCGAACCGGGGGTGTCCCCTCGCTTGCCTGCATTATACTCGCACGAGGACGCTCAGGCTCCGTGTTCCCGACCAACATCCCCCCCTCCCGCATATTACGCCGTCGTCTCGCCTCCTCAAAGCACGACTCTTTCCAACTACCCATACCGCACGTCGCGCGTCTTTCGAGCCACCCTGACCGCCCTCAAGTCAGCAGTGTTCTGTTCTTTGTCCGCCTATACCACCACCCATACATCGTACCCCACAGACCGCAAACTGGCAGGCAACAAGCGCCGCAGTCTCTCCTCACAAGGGGGAAGCCTGCTAAATAGGATGTTTGGTGGCAGTTCCAACTCATCGGGATCCAAGATTGAGAGCGAGTCCAAGGCCGAGGGGAGGTCGCCCTCCCCAGAATCGAGCCCCAACGCCAACGCCGCGACGCCCATCAAGACCACGGATCAGGCAGCCAGCGGAGAGAAGCGCAGTGGAAATGGCAGCCCCCCGGGCCGAATTGATAATGGCGCCTCCACTGACAAGAAGCGAAGGAGCAGCGGCGTCGGAAGCAAAGCAAGCAGCCTGCTGGCCTCGGCCAGGAACTCCCTCAACTTCTCGCAGAGCGGCCGCGGCAATTCGGAGTTGAGTACGCAAACGCCTCTCCAGAAACTGGGCAAGCAGGATCCTGCCCTCGCTGTTCCCCAAGGCCAGCACAACAACTCCGCTGGCGAGTCTGCTCCGGGTCCCAAGTCTACGTTCTGCGTCGGCGTGTGGGAGGATAGAAATAAGAAATGCCGACGGACCATGGAGGACACGCATGCCTTCCTGTACAATTTCCTCGACACCGCCGCGTCCGCCGCGGACGCTGCCGAGGCCGAGAAATCCGGGCGAGACGCGGCAGAGGCATCTGGCCAGGAAATGATTCAGTCGGATAACGGCTATTTTGCCATTTTTGATGGTCATGCGGGCACTTTTGCTGCGGACTGGTGTGGGAAGAAGCTGCACATTATCCTCGAAGATGTTATACGAAAGAATCCCGACGCCGCAGTTCCGGAGCTTTTGGACCAGACCTTTACCACTGTCGACGCCCAGCTCGAGAAGCTGCCTCTGAAGAACAGTGGCTGCACGGCGGCCATTGCTGTTCTGCGTTGGGAGGACCGTGTGCCCAGCGATCGATCCATCACCGGTTCTGTGCCCATCGCTCCCGCTGCCGCGGCCGCGGCCAAGGCGGCATCAAAGTCCTCTCCCGGATCCCCGCCCAGAAAGGACCAGGAGTCCTCCGCGACTGTTTCCGACAACACCAATGCGTCATTTCCTGACACACCGCATGCAAGGTTAAAGGGGTCTGCCGGTCGGCAACGCGTCCTCTACACGGCCAATGTTGGGGATGCACGCATCATTCTTTGTCGTGGAGGCAAAGCACTACGGTTGTCGTACGACCACAAAGGCAGTGACGAGAACGAAGGCAAGCGCATTGCCAACGCGGGCGGTCTGATTTTGAACAACCGCGTGAACGGCGTGCTGGCGGTTACAAGAGCCCTCGGGGACGCGTACATGAAGGATCTCGTCACGGGCCATCCCTACACGACAGAAACCGTCATCCAAGCCGACCTCGACGAGTTCATCATCATTGCATGCGATGGGGTAAGTCCAGCCTTTGACGTATATTGCCTCTCCGTGATGCTGACTTTGTCACAGCTATGGGATGTATGCAGCGACCAAGAGGCGGTAGATTTGGTCCGGAATATCCAGGAACCCACTGCGGCGTCGAAATTGCTCGTCGACCACGCACTTAGCCGCTTCAGTACCGACAACCTTTCTTGTATGATTGTCCGTTTTGACATGGAGGCCGCTTTGCAGAGCCAGAAGAAGAGACACGGCAGTGCCGAGTCGGGCGGCTCAGCGGCCAAGGTCAGCGAGGTGGAAAAGATTGTCATGGATACCAAACAAAAAATTGCGGATGGCAGCTCCGTGGCTGTGGGTGTCTCGGCCAGCAACAGCGGCCGCGGCTACGAACCCATCGCTACTGATGGGGGCGATTTTGTGCCGACTGCACTCGATGGTACGGTCGAGGAGGAGCCCGTCGTCATTGGAGGGGGCGATGGCCCGGAGGTGACGACTGGGAAGGGTGCCAAGAAGACCGATCCCGAGCAAGGGACGGATTCTAGCAAGTCGTGATGCACGCGAGGAACTTGGCTCGACCGATATGCTAGCGAGCTACAGGCTCTCAAGCCCTACATGAATTCTTATTACCATTCCTCTAGTCGTTTGCCGCTGCGTCCTAGTCTTTTTTTTTGTCTTTCTGTTGTATGTTGCTCACGCGGCCAAGTCTTGATGGCGGCACTCGTTGTACCAGCGAATACCTTGTGCAGTTCATGTACGATAATGTCACTTTCTAGTATAAGCGTTGAAAGGTTGGCGGGTCGCGCATGGCGGCCGTGAACGTAGGCCGAGGACAGATCCGCCATTTTGCGAAGCACCATTACTCCGTACGGAGTACACAGTGATGCTATCCCCTTGGCAGTGGAAGGGGAGCCCCCAGGTCACAGAGCCCACAGTACGTAACGTTCGTTATGCGTTGCTAAGCGGATCAAAGTTAAAGAGGCCGCAGGATTCTAGGAACTCACCACGAAACGATGAGTACCTATCGACAAGGCTAGCGAGAACTTGTTTTATAGTGAGCTTCACTGGTAAGTTCAGGTACCGCTTAAAGCACCGCATTCTCATTGGACAACCCTACAACCCTCCCGGTCAGCGACCTGGGGGCTCCCCCTCCATTCCCAAAGGGTTTCGTAGAGCTCGCCTGTTGGTCTAGCCCGTTCGTGGCAGGCTTTGTTGGAGCGTGTCGAGTGGAACGAGTGACGCATTGCAATGGCATTGTGAGAACTGTGGGGACGTCTTCGACGCTGTGGCAACGGCATTATGAGCCTGGTTGCAATTACGCGTCTTACTGTACCCGGGTACTCGTTTTCTGTTGAAATGACGATCCGCTCAAGCCGACAATTCTGCATCTCGGCCCAAAGGATTTGTAACCTCGTTCGATGGAGATTACCCAGCTGCCAAGACCCTCTTGCAAGCCATCACCTAGGAGGGCCTAGGCAGGTAGGGAGTGTCTATCCGCACTCCAGGTACGGATACAGTAACGCTGTAACGTGGCACGCCCCCACAGTTTGGGATACGAAGTACTACCTACTACTGTACGGAGTACGGTAGGCACGGTTTGCGGCGTCCAACAGTGGCGGCGTCAGGCAATTATTACCTGTAGCCGCCCGTCTGCGAGACGAGTATCGAGTATCTGCATGAAATGCGTGATAATCAACGGCATGTTTGCTGCAGGGGCGCAGTTTGGCGGTGGCTGATTCCCTGGTTGGACAGATGGACAGGTTCAGTTCTCTACAAAGGACTCCGACGGCACAGCGGTCAGCAAGGGTCAAGTGCTGGGCCCAGCTGGGGTCGTTGGTGCACGGGCGCACAGGGCTCCCCTTTGGGTGCCAGTGGCCGCCTGTGTTGCTAGTATAGGTAGCTGCCAGCACTTAGCGGAAGCCCAGGGCCCGAAAAGGGAACGCTCATTTCCCCCCCTCGCCCCCCAGCGGCGGCCCCCTTTCCGATCTGCTGCACAGGACGGCATCCTTTTTTGCCCACCTCGCTCGTCCAACAGCCGTGTGCTACGCGTGCTTTCTGGGGATCTTCGCAAGTTACTCACTTTGTGCTGTACCTCCACTACGAAAATTTCTGTGTGTGTTTGTGCGCTTCCCGCCGTCGTTTCAAGGCGTTCCGAGGCAGCGCGATCGACCCTTCCAGCCGTCGTCGTTGCTTTTGCCTGGTGTCTCGGCCTAAAGCACTCGATGATCCGTTCCGGTGCGCGACCTCCTGGCTTTGAAGGCCCGCCTCGATCCTGACATTGACGACCAGGGCGTCTGGAAAGACCTTTTTTCTTTGCTCCTCCCATGTCCTCCCCTCCGCCGCCGCGTCGTCGAGCCCAACACCCTGAGATATCCATCTGCAACTGCCCTTGAGTCCGCTCACCGAGCGCCCCGCCCCCCGGGAAAGGCGCTTTGCTGGAAATTGTCCGCACCATCAAGTCGACTCGGGAGTGGGGTATAGACGGAGAGATGTCGTTGAACGGTCTGGACGATCCAAATATCGTCGAGGCTCACGAGACGGCGGCTTCGGAGCCGGGGGGATGGTATGCCATACTTCTCTAGAGCCCCAAACATGCAGCCCTTGTCGCAAACGAGAAATTGGCTGACTCGACGTCCCTCGATGCAGGTTCCTTCTCAAGTACTCCGAAAGGGATGCCGTTGAGCTCTTGAGTCGCGGCAATGGAGGTGTCGTCGAAATGCGCAACGCCGTCCTCGACTACGACGAGACAAGTCCGCTGTATGGGTTTTTGAAATATCGCAGGAGAAATGTCATCGTCAAGCATCTCCCAGAAGATTGCTCTCGGCTGATTCAAGGTGGGTTGCAAGCAACGTCGACAACCAACCCCCCGGGGCAGTATATGTCGCCACAAGCTTCGTCAAGGCCGACCTTGGAACAACCAGCACGCTGACCTTTCATCTTCTCCGCAGCTCGAGTGGCTGTCCACTTCAATGCCATCTGCGAACGTTTTTCTCCCTACGACACCATGTTCGAAATCGCCGCAGCAAGCGAGCTCAAGGATACCAAGTTGTCTTCAGCCTGCTCACTCCATGCCGCATCCTGCTCTACCTCGTCCTCCACAAGCTCCTTGCGCAGAAGACGCCTCATGGAGATTGCCGAAGAGGAAGAGGAAGAACAGCGAGCCTCGAAGCGTCAATCGGTTCACGACTTGAACGGAGACCGGCCCAGGTCGCCAGCTGCCGGCAGTATGATCGCGGACCCCGTAGCCCTCGATTCGCAGCTTGCTGCCTCCCCTGAGCATGCCAAATTCTCGGCCGACTCGACTGCCGAACTCCCTACCTTCATTGGCCTTGACCACCGGCCAACCTCGTCCGCTAAGTCGAGTGATACCGGCTCGATCCAACCTCGACCCGAGCTCTTCAGCAGCTATTCTGCACCTTACGGCAAGCCCAAGGTGAAGCTCGGGCCCCGACCTTCGCTCGACGTGAGCGGCCGGCCGCACACCGCCGGAAGTTTTCGACCCATATCCGCCATTCCGGCAGGTTTCAAGCTCTTTGGCAAAGGCATCAAGAAAGCCAAAGGGAGCAAGAACCTTGGCGCCCTGGCCGCAGCTTCTGCTGAGGAAGGTACCGCTGGCCACAACCTCGACCCGACTGCCACCTCCATACCCGAAGAGTCCCTGCGGCATCAGGGTGACACTGCTGCGCCGGCGACGAGCTCCGACGCCTCCGTGGACTATGCCACGACGTCTCCACCCCCGTCCAAGAAAGCAACTGTCTCGCCCGAGAAGGCGAGGCTGATGAAGGCCATGCAGCTGCGAGAGAAGAGGAAGATGATGAGCCTCCAACCTCCCATCGCCACGCCATCTTCCGTCGACGAAGATGCTCCAGAAAGCAAAGAAGTTCCAGCTGATGCATCCGAGGACAACACACAAAAGATGCCAGCAGGATCTCAAGGCGTGGACGATCCCGAAATCGTCTCGATCCATAGCGATTCTGGAGACGTGCCGGACACAGCCTCCTTCTTGACACATGCAGATCAGAAATCAGACTTGACCCAGTCCGACTCGCGACCGGCGAGCCCTGTTGTGACCTCGTCCGAGGCCGACCAGTCCACCAAAGCGTCGTCACTCTCGGAATCAACTGACGAGACGGTACGAGCCAAGGATGACGGATCCGCGCTGGGCAACGAGGACGTTACACATGAGACCACGCCCGAGGAAGATCTCAAGGATAATGAGCTGCCTCCAGATGAAAGTGTACCTCTTTCGGATGATTCAGGGCTGGAGGTAGCGGCCGCGAGGGCGTCTGGGGGGACCAAGCCTCATGGCGTCTCCAAAAATGTTGCCAGTGCCGCTTTATCCCTTGGAGACGGTAAACAACAAGACGCGCTCGTTGCACACTCAGATGTCGAGGCTCCACGTTCCACCGCTTCGGATACGAATGCTGCCGTCAATGTGGTGCACTCAGACTCTGAAGCTGTTTTCGATTCGGAAACGAAGACTCAGGATGACGAGCCTCAGTCTGCCGAGAGCACGACATCAACGGATGCGAATCAGGCATCTACTTCTAATCACGACCTCGTGGCAACTGCAGATGTCGTGTTGCCACCAAGAGCGGTATCAGCGGCGCCGCAGCAGGTCGCTGAGACGATGACAATTGCGGCTTTGGACAACCAAACTGCTGCCGCCGAATCTCACAAGGGAGACGCCGATGAGATGGAGACGACATCGGCTCAGTCCGGTCAACCCAAGCGCAAGGGGCTCATCGAACCGATCCAGACCGATCTTGTTCAGCACACCCGGCATACGTCGCGCTCCGAGATGAACTTTTCAGACGACGAGGAGTTGATGGAGGAGCTACAAAGTGCGACGGTGCAGGAAGCAAAGCCAATGCTCGTAGCCAAAACGCCAGTTTCGGCGACTTTCTCCACTGGCCCAGCCAAGGGCCGAACAGCATCGAGCGCACCCCATGCCCACACAGTCCGCACAGTATCCAATCCGGTCCGAGGCAACCTTGTTGTGCCGACAGACGTGAGCCAATCCTCGGCGCGATCTCTCAGTAGCGGGGCGGCATATTTGCACCAGGTCACGCAACAACAGCAACAGCAGGGCGGGAACTTGGCGAACAAGCCGAACATCGGGTCGAGCATCTCGCAGCGTATCAAAGCACTGGAGAAGCTGTCTGCCGCGTCGGGTGATACAGGGGCGCCCGGCTCGCGGGAGCGGCCATCGTCAACCTTCTTCGCCGTGAAGAAGCGGGAGCCGTCGAAATCACCGTCTGTGCTGGAGAGGGCTAATTCGCTGCGGAGGAATACTCCGGAGTCGCGTCCCCAATCTAAGGAATCTTCATCAGAGTCGGGAAGGATCAGCCGACGAGAGCGATCTGTATCGGTAACGGACCGCCTTTCTTTATTCGAGTCGGCGCCTGCAGCGGGAGTCAGCGTTGTAAACCGCTCGACTAGCATCTCACGACGTGGCCGCCCCGAATCGGTCTCTGTCACAGCCAAGATCATCCGAGATTCGAGCCAGAACGTGCAGGCAGGCTTCGAACCTCCCAAGGATCCGTCGGAGTACAGCCGCCTGGATCTGAAGCAGTCGCCCCTGCTGGTAGATCACCGCAAGGCGGTGCCGGAGCCCACGCGAACAGCTGCTGTGGAACCACCGCCGGAGCGCCGATCGACGTCCGAGGAACGGAATAAGTCGGGCAAGTCACGTCAATCTTCGCTGAGCATTGTCAAGGACTTCATCAAGGAACGTCGCAGGTCCGTCACCTCCAACCAAGGAGACGTCCTCGTGGCGCCATCTGCAGCTCTCCCGTCGCGCTCCCCGTCACGCTCCCCTCCCGTCATTCAGAACAGCACCTTCTCCCCCCGTCTCTCCATCAGCAGCCGTCGCTCGTCTCTCAGCCAGGATCGTCAGTCTGTCACTTCGCCAATCGGAGAGGGCTATGGGGACGACACGAAGTCGGCCAACGGCGACAAGAAGCTGTCTCGAGCTGGACGGTTCATGCGCCGCTTGTCCACCCTCTCCGGATCACGAAGCAGAAACTCGCCGCACGGGATCGCGCACACAGTCGCCGAGGAAAGCCTTGAGCCTGTGGTGCCACGACCAGCGACCACCGGCTCGCCAACCATTGTCTCGTACATGGGCGATGTTAATGTTCAGTTTCCCGACACTTTACTCTGGAAGCGCAGGAACCTAAGCCTCGACTCTCAAGGTTTCCTTATTCTGAGCGCTCTGCCCGCCCATAGCGGCCGGCCGGCGCAGGGAATCAAGCGATACCACCTCAGCGAATTCCGACCACCGTACATACCCGACGTGGAGGTTCAGGAACTCCCCGACAGCGTCGTGCTGGACTTTATCGAAGGGACTAGCATCCAATTCGCCTGTGAAGATCGGGCAGGCCAGGCGAATGTGCTGAGCAGTAAGTTTCGCGATACGATGGCAGGCGGTTTATCCAGGATCGACAGCTGATGTTCAATCTAGTTCTGCAAGAGGCTCATGCCACCCGCGGCTCGACTTATGGGCTGTGAGCGTTAGAGAGACTTGACTCGACTCTCCAGGATCAACATTAATGTTTTATACCCCCTGGATTCTTTATTTGTTCCTGCCGCGAGGGGCTTGTACTCTCCACTGACTGCTCACCGAGCCATTTTGTTCTCTCCTTTCTGTCGTCTTCCCAAACAACCCTATATTGAGCGTCTTGTTTTTTGAAGCAGAGGGCTACGTGCTGGCGTCTGGTATCTTTTCACTTTGCCGCTTCATTTCTTCCTACTGGCTTTACTTCTTCCGTGTTCCGTTTCTTATATGACCACTTTCAGGGACGCTGAATAGAATGATACCAGCCAGCGTTTTCGTCTTGGCGCCGTCATGCTCTGGGTTTTCCTCCCTCTGCTACTCCAGGCCGGTGGTGAGGCTGTTGCTTGTCGGTGTCAAGCAACGGTCAACACATACTCTGCTGTATTTTCTTGACTCGTGTTCCAAGGTCTTCTTCGCTTCCTTTCTGGTTCTTCTTTTTTCCGATTCGTTGTGCCTCGTTGCCGCGAGAGTTGTACTCTTTATCATGTGAGGAGCAAGAGGTTTCGGGAGGCGGCCTTGCTTTCAGATACCCTTTCAAAGAAAGCACTTCTTTCCGTCTGTCCACCTGCTGCCATGTGTTTCCATCCAGTTGTCTCTCGCCTGTGAGCCGCACCTGGACTGCGTGTCCCAGATCGGGGGGAATGCGGGGACTTGTGAAACCGTTGCAGTAGCCTGGGTTGACGGTTCAACGGACTTGTCGAACACGTTGTACAAGGCAGATCTAGTCAACGGGCCTGGCAGCAAGCAAGAACTTGACAGTAATTGATGCTCTATAGCCTCGTACTTTGGGGTGCGGCACTGGGTGGACCACTTTTCTCAAATCGATGCCAGGGTTCCAGGTTGCCAGCGACGCCCCCCTCGTGACGAGAATCAAGAACGGGGTTTGTTCAGCAAGAAGAATGCTGCTGGGCTTGAATTCTCTCCATCACACCTCCCTACATTCAACGTCCCCTAGTCCTCGCCCTCGCTCGACATGCCTGTCCCTGCCGGCGGCGTGCCGGTGCTCCCCACCCACCCCCCGGCTCCTCATTAACGACGACGCCACGTCCCTCTTCACAAGAAGTTGGGGCCAAGAGCCAGCCTCCGATGCCGCATCCAAACGCCATCCAGAACAAGCACACCTGTTAAAAACAGGGTTGAAGAAGGAACAAGAAAACACCAGTTCGCCAAAAAGGCCCCGCGCTTGGCGGGAGCTGTGACGCGCATGCTGGTAGTAGTAGTCAAAGAGCGCCGCCACCCAAGTAAACAGAAACACACGAGCTCCTTCGCTGCCTCCGTGAACGGAAGTCCTGCCGTGCGCGCCAACAGCAACAAATTACAGCCCCAAAGGGGGCCGTGGTATCGACTCCCGTTTTCGCCAATTCTGTTCCCCTTGCGGATCATCCGTGCCTTTCTTTTTGGAACATCAAATCGAAATGGCCCATTTCCTATCGTTTTCAAGTCGTGGCCTAGCTTTCTGTTTTTTTTTGTTCCTCTCTCCTCGAGCTTCAATAGCGCGTCATCGATGTTTCGAGGCCTCGTCAGTCATTGTCTCATCCGCATATCGTCAACACCTCGCGAACATGCTCTCTCGTCTCAGACGGCGGTCCCGCCACTGTTGTCGTTGCCCGCGCCTGTCGTGGACCCCGATCCCTCCATGCCGGAAAATTGCACGGGGTCCATGGCCATGTACTCCAGCAAATCGAGCCCGCCGACATTAACACCCTCGGCCGTCATGGCAACCGCGCTGTTTTCCATGTTTTGGAAAAATGCCGGCCCAGTCGGCAGGTACCACATTTCGTTGCCAGGGTTGTTCCACTCCTCGAACAAGTGCATATCCACACCGCCGCCCGGGGCTGTGGGATTCATGTCAACATGCGGTGCTGGCGTCGAGGGTCCGATTGAAGAGGCGCCGGGATAAGGAAAGTTGCCAGTGGAAAGATCAAACGGCGTGGCAGAGATGTTGTTCGCCTCTGCAGAGGGGGATCCCGCTCGGTCTGCAGCCAAGCCGTCAGCAAGAGTCACGAATCAAAGAGACCAACTATAATGGGATTACACAGGCCAAGGCGCTTACACTGTCCATTCAGACCCTCCCGCAACTTTTGCGCGTGCCCGCTCACCCAGTTGGCGGCGGCATCACTATTCTGCTGCCCCGTCGCGCCTCCAACACCATTGGCCCCTTCGGGAACTGGACTTTGTCCCTTACCTGAAGAGGACTGCTGCATCGTCGGCGCTTGGATGAACCGGTTCCTCAGCCGGCTCGTCAGCGTCTCGAGCAAATCTGCGAACCGGATGCCCAGGTGGACGTCGTCGACGACGCAGTTGCGCAGTGCTTCTACGGTGGCGTCCATCAGGTCGATGCTGATCTTGACGTCGGATCGCGGCGCGCCGAGCGCAAACGTCTTGAGGAGAAACATGGCGCCGCTGATGATGCGGAAATACGTCCGCACAGGCGCGTGCTTGAGGTATCCGCCCGGCAGCAGGCCTTCGACGACGGTGCGGAGCAGGTTCCGGGAGCCGCCTACAACTTCTCGAACGTATTCTTGATCGTGAACGGTGAAGCCACCGAGTTGCCCCAGCGGGAGCTTTCCGTAGTTGATCATGGTCTGGGGCGACAGCTGCTGCATGGGCGCCTGCCCGTTTCCGTTGGCCCCGTTGGCCGCGTGGTTTGTGCATCTCTCGACGACGGCTTGCAGGGACAAGGAGTTGACGTAAATCCGCACATATTCGTATTCGATGGTAAGGATGTGCCGAATAAACTGGGGCAGGCGAAACAGCTCAAACTCGCGATACCAGTCGCGCAGCATCGGGCCAAACTCTCTTAGCAGCTCAACGTATTTGCCGCTCTGGATGATCTCCGTCGTGTGTTTCCGGGTTCGAAACAGCTTTTCGTTGCCGAGGTGCATGGCGTTGCTGATGCCCGCCCAGCAGTGGATGATCTGATCGTCCATTTCCAGGTCCGGCACGTAGTTGAAGCCGTTGATCAGGGAGGAAGTGCTGGGCGTGGCCCCGTCGTTGGACATGGTTCGACGCCGCATCACGGCCGGGTCGCTCTTCCGCAGGTGCTCGGGGGTCATGCTCGTCCAGCCCAGACGGCCGGCCAGCTGAGAGGTGTAGATGAGAAGCAGCCTTTTGATACGATTGGCCCTCATCCGGTACCCCTCGTCCTGGAATTCGGGCCGCGTAATGGCGTCGTCTTTGAGCATCTCATCAATGTCGTCAAAGACGCCAAGCTCATAGGCCAGGCCCATGGCAGTGCTGAGAAGCATCCAGCACATTCGATCGCTTCTCCACGCCGGCTCGAGCCAGCTCTCGATTCTCTTTCCACCAAACCCAGCGCCGACATTCCTGCTCGCATCAAAGGACCCCGACATGGGCGCAGAATCGTAATCGGGGAGAATCAGCTCGTCCGTCGCCTCCTGTGGTGGAAAGTGCAGGGCCCGGGGGTGCCACTCGGTCAGGATCAGCAAGGACTCTATGGTGCCGAGAGTCCGCAGGCTGCCTTTGCGCATGCCACGCCAGGGCGCGGTGCTGCTCGTGTCTGCCTCCTCCATGATGAGGGATGACGAACCCCCTGAGCCACAGAAGCCGCCGCCAAAAGCTTCCTGGCCCCACAGGCAGCGCTCGATCATGCCGCGCAGGTAGGTCCAGAGCTGCTCGGGAATGGCATGCGATCGGCAGTGGCCTCCAGTTCCGGGCATTTGGCGGTATCTCGAGGCAATTGTGAGCAAAGTCACGGTTAGGATCGGCTCCTCGGTGAGGAGCGTGAGATGCGAAGCGGGATCGCTGAACGTGGGAGGAGATATGGGGGTCATGGGCGACAGGTATTTGTAGTAGCTGGGGGGGGGAATTATCAGTGCTGCAGTCAGGGCAAAGGGGTCTTTGGGGCAAGCCGCACTAGTCGATGTACTCAATGGCCTCTTGCGCCGTGAACCAGCCCGCTCGAACGAACCGGAACCGACTCCACGCCCTCAGGGCGTGGATGTAGCCCGGATTGCTCCTCAGGGCAGGTAGCTGCTGGGCCAGCTCTGGGTCGACCGGCTGCGGTTGCGGCTGCGGCTTTTGCTCGTGGAGGTGATTATGCTGCTGGTGATGGTGCTGTTGCACCTGTTGTTGTTGCAAGTGTTTTGCGTGCTCTGGTCTGCTGGCGATGGGTGGCGGCGGAGGGTGGTTAAGGCTTGCCGGGTCCTGCGCGGATGCTGGGGGAGGGGCCAAAGGTGTAACAGACGTCGTACTGCCCTCTCGCCTGTGGTCAGCGGCCGGGCTGGTCAAGTCAGCATTTTCTGGCAAGGGTTGGTTCGACTGTCCGGCAACCAACCTATCCGTCGCTGCCTTGTAGAGGAGATCGAGGGCGTCGTGGGGTCCGTACATGCCGCGGCGCATGACGGCCTGGGCCTCGAAGTTTTCGAGCGTCTGGTTAGCGTCGCCCTCGCCATCCAACTCGCTGCCTCTCCTGTCCCTGGGCCTGGTGTTGTCGTCGGGGCGCCGCAAGGGCTGCGTCTGGCCATGGGAGCCGCCGGGGGTCAGGGGCACTTCGCTATAGTAGCGGCGGTCGAGAGGGGCGGGTGGGCTGCCAGAGGCCTGCACCCTCTTGCGGCCATTGCGAACAATGTACTCGTCGGCGTCGCTGCCCTCGTCGTCGTCGGTCTTGCGCTTGCGCCTGGTGGCGCTGAAGAAGCACTCCTTGCTCTCGCGGCGGCAGCGGACGCAGGGGGGATCGTGGGGGTTGTCGACGCTGCCGAGATCGCAGCGCACCTTTCGTCGACGGCAGGGGATGCAAGCCTGGTAGACTCGCTTGTGCTGCGGCGGCAGTTGTCCCGAGGCGGGGGCGGCCCCTGCCGTCGTCTGAGACTGAGGAGGAGGCTGTATCTGCTGGGCAGGAGTCGTGACGGCGCCGGGGCTGGAGTGCGCGGTGCCGTACTGAGACTGGGCCATGATGGGCAGGCCAAGCGTCGAGGACTATGCTGGGCGGTTGGCGGCGGGCTGACGAGGCCGGGCAGAGGGTTGGAGCCGCGCAGGGCCGAGGTAGAGCGTTGTGCCAAGCTGGGGGAGCGGGGTTCATCAGCAGCGTCCTTGGGTGTCTGAGTCGGCGGCCGAGGCGAGACCTGGGACACGGTTGCTGTTTTTTTGGGCGGAAAGAAGAAAGCAAAAAGTCTGCGACAGGGCAGATGAATCAAAGTCGGTCAATCGAGCGGCGTGCGGCCAAGGGGGGGTCCCCAGCCAAGCTCGACCCTTGGCCCAATCTCCCGGGTTGGCAGTTGGTGAGAAAATGGCAGAAGAAGACCAGGGGCGGTTGGGTCTGGGCCTTTCCTCTTCTTCTTCCCGTTGGATCGAGAGACTAGGGCATACTGTAGAGCGACGGGAGTGCGAGAAGGGGAAGAAGGTGAGGGAGAGAGCGCGGGCGCGAGAGCGGTCTCCCTAGGTGGTACCGAGATTACAAAGGTATTCGGCGGTAGATGCCCAGGTACCGAGGACGGGGAGGGCACGAGCTGGTGTCACCCAATTAAAGCACGGCAAATTTCTCGAGATACCTCCGGACCTTGCCCCGGGTACCTTGAACGGCCTGGCAAGGGACTCTTAGTCCAGCCATTTTTTCCCTCTTCATTTTCACTGTCGTCCACCGCCTCCTCCGCCGCCTGAGGAAGGAAAAAGAAACAAGGCAAAACCTTATATCAACGTCTTCTCGACTCTTTGTGGGGAATCGCGATGCCTATCCGTACAGTGGCTCATCGTGATGATTGCAGTGGGTGCGGAGCAGTTCTCGACGGCACAAGCGTGTCCAGTATAAAAAGCAAAGAGACGCATGCACATATGCACTCCTACCTGCCTATGCATACACACAATGCCATCAACAAGGCAGGTAGGTGCTGCATGGCCATGTTTATATTGGACGGGCAGTAATAATAAGAGTTTTCTAGTTGGTGATGCGGGAGCCGTCGTCAAGGCAAGAGCTACATACAGCATGTAACTTGCCCATGCAACCTCTGCATCTGCGCCCTCTCGCATCTTGATCTGGCCAATCAAAACGCGCGCCTTGACCAATCGAAACGGCCAGGGTCACGCTCGATAACGGTTCTCTCTTTGGGAGGAAAGAAGACGCATTCAAACAGGAGAATGAAATACTGTGTCGACCGTGTGCATGTCCCAGTACATAAGGTATGTATGTCTACTGTACATACAGTAAACCCCGACGATATCCAAGCCACAAAGGGTCCAGCCAGGGTATGTCATTATGTACCTAGTCTTGTACTCCGTACCCCGTACCGCGCATGTACTTCTTCACCTTACCCACCATGTTTCCCCCATTCATTTCTTCACTATCATTCGCTCTCCTTGCTCGTCCAAGATGATCGTCGATCGATCGCGGTGCGACAGGACAAGACAAGTCTCTTGGACTCCATTTTGTCTGTCTGTCATTTCCCGCATGCAAAAAGGGCGCGCTCCCCGTCGCCAGGGACCAGGCTGAGCGCATTAACGCTCTCTCCCAGTGATGCCTGCATAACCGGCCTTCTTCACACGGGCGTGCATGCAGTACGGCTCACTCTGCCCTCCCCCTCTTGTTCTCTAGTTCCTAAACGGCTGCTCCTTACGTACAATAAACACCCATGTAAGTACAGTCTACTTGTCCCGCCTGTTCCCCTGTTCCCCTGTTCCCCGGCACACCCACACCACGCCACATGTACTGCACAGTATAATGCTCTTGATTGACCAGTAGGTACCACTTACGAGCAAGCGAGAGACGCTCTCAAACACAGACCGCCTTGGCTTGGAAAGCCCCCCAATTCTCCCTCGCGCCCTCTCAACAAACACAAAAGGGTCTATTTACGTCTTTCAGATGTACGGATACCCTCGAATGGCAAGTCCACGCCCTGCCTTGCTTCCCTCAATTTTGACACCGCAAACGTCGTATCAACAAGGCCTCTCTCTCTCTCTCTCTCTGTCTGCGCAACCTCCCCTACGCGAAAACACACACACACACACACACTTACACCCACGCCCACACCCACACCCACACAAAAACACACAAACACACAAACCACACCACTCCACTCCACACCACTACGACTCGCCATCCATCCCTCCCCCGTGCCAGCATCCCCAGGCACTCCCCAAGACCCTCCTCACGTACACGCCCCTGGCACTTCGTCTCTGTGTAGGCATGACCGCTCCCGTCATGGTCACGTAAACGACAAGAAATAGTCGGTCCATTGCCATCCCGACACCTATTGTCATCCCATGTGCCTTCTGCTCCGTACATGACAGCGCGCGACCCTGCGCAAAATTCCTTGTTGCTCTTCTCAAGCTCAACTCAACGCACTGAGGGCTTTCCATTTTGTTTGCCATGTTTCCCTTTAAATCCATGTTGGGATCCTCACATGATCCCCTGGACCCCCACCATTCTGCCACAACTCACCTGGCCGCCAGCCATCGTCTCGATAGCCCCAGCCGTTGGCACCGCCCGTCTAGCTCACGAGGCCTTTCTTGGACTAGTCGCCTAGGGTCAGCGCATTGTGGCACTCACCTCTCGCCGGCCCACTCACCAGATGCTCCCAGAGTTTCGTCGTCAACATGTCGGGCATCGTGTACAGGTCGATGGAAAACTCGCCGGCTTCAGCCAGATTGTCCACTATTAGCCCTCATGTATCAACAAACGAGGGGACCCAAGTCTCCCGTAGGAGCGGACGTGCAGCCCTTACCTTCCACATCGCTCCGGATGTACGTGTCGGGCCCTTTGTTCTCGTTGATGAGCTGTATGACGCGCAGCAGGTCCTCCTCCCCGAGCTTCTCCAGGGCCTCGGCAATCTTTTCGTAGTCAAATTTTTGCGCCCCCTTCTTGGCGGCAAGACCTTTCTTCTTGGGGCGGTCCTCGTCCGTGGGCAGCGGCCCCGTCTCGCGCAGGCGTTCCTGCAGGGCCTGAGACGGGTTCTTGAACACGACTGTGTGAGTCGCCTCGTAGTTTTCCTTGATAAAGTTGAGGTCGTGGGTAATGGGCGCTAGCTTCGTCTTCTCCGTCGTAAAGCAGTCGATGGTGATTTCAAACTCGCCCCAACCCTCGTTTGTGCAGGTAAAGGGTGGCTTGGTAAAAGCTGTTTGCCGCCATGTCAACCGTCAGCAAGCGAGCACGCCACAGACCAGACCAGACCAGCAGGCCAGAGCGGAGCAAGGCGCGCGCAACAGGGCATGGGAGCAGACTGACTCTGAATAGGGTTCTCGAACGTGGGGTGTAGGTGATAGACGACCTTGGTGAAGACGTCGGCAGGCCGCTCATTGCCATCCTCATCCAGAATGTGCAGCCGCATGCTCCATTCTCTCATGGGGAACTCGGCCACGGGCGAGGGTTTGTCGCTGCAGGAAATGCTCAGCATTCATTTCCACCAAGCTTCGGCCTCGTCGGGAACAACTCACATGACATGCTGGTCGGTCACGACCTTGATCTTTCGCTGCAGGTCGTTAGTACCCTTCTTAGACGCGCCCATCGACGTCCTCTTGCGAGTCCTGGGCGCCATGACGATAGAGACCAAAAGAAGGCTGTGGGCGGCGGTGTGGGAGTTGCTCGGTTGTGGCCGTGAGGCAGAGGCGGGGGAGGGAGAAAAGGTCTGGATTGTCTGTTCCGTGGTCGGGCCAGGAAGAGCCGGGACGGGCAGGCGACAGAAAGCAAGGCGAGAGCCAGACGGGGAGCGGCGAGCAAACAGGACAAGACGTTGCTCTGCCGCGTCGCGACACAGGCAAGGGGCCCCAGTTTGCCAGACGGGAGCTGTTCACAGGCCCGGGGCCAGTTGCCACCTCAACCGAGTCCTCCTCAGCCTCGTCGTTGTTGGCGGCTGGCCGTGAACAGCATCGCCGTACGACACTCGGCACAAAGCCCTCTCCCCCTGCCGCGTCCGTCCACTGCCGCGCAAATGCATGTATTCCGACTTACCTCGACTAACATGATTACCAGCCTTTATTTTCTTCCTTCTCTTCTCCCTTGAAGCTCGTCTGGTTTCCCGTTTAACCTTCGTACTCCCGTTCAGCAGAGGAAAATGCAAAGCCCCGGGGGAACGACGGGACGGAGGGACGTTGCGGTGGGTGGTGAATAGGGTGGTGAATAAAGAGAATAAAGAAGAGGCCAAAAGAAAATCACAAAAAAAACCCTACACGCTGCGATCCGGACACAGGGATACACGGGGGATTCGCGTTCAGGCCCAGGAACTGTATTAGGGTTGGAGCATCAAGGGTTTGTATTCGAGCGCAACGGAAGCGATGGAGTGGGTGATTTGCCGCGGGAGAGGGACGGGTTGTCGTCGATTTGCCGATCGGGATTCGTAGGTAGTCGGTAGTGAGAGAGAGAGGGAGGACGTGGGAATTAGAAAGGCAGCCTGGTCCCGAGGCTGAAAAGGCTCTTTGGCCTTAGCGTCTCTCCTCCGCCGGCCCCTTCGCAGCCTGGTACCAAGTCTCGTCGGGTACAATACAGTACAAGCTGCACGGACGAAAGTGTGCATAGTACTTGCCGGCACGCGACAAAGGCGCAGTGCCGTCAGTGCCTGCAAGGTCATCAGGTACCTTTCCGGCCTGGGCTGGTACCTCGTCCTCGACCACAAGTCGGCCCCCTGCGGGAACCAGGTGGAAAAGGAGAAAAAGGACAAAATGACCTGACTGTTTAATAAAGGAAGCCTCCTTTTGCCATCGCAGGACGCCCTCCTTGATTCCCTTCCATTTCCTTCCATTCCCATCCCCTCTTCGTCCCCTCGTGGAAAGCAGCTACAAGCTCACCTCGTCTGTCGCCCGGGTCCAACAACCCAGAGACGCAACGCACCTCATCTGGCATTCAACATCACGCATTGCCTCAGCCTGACACTCTCGTTCCACTGCAATTCTTTAGAGTCTTCCGACTATGAGTGATGTGACCTGATACTCTCAAACGCTGTCCTCCATTCGCCATACCTCCCTCCGGGCATGCACCACTTGGTGCTCCACCCCCACGGCCAAATGCCATGCTTCCCCAGCCTCGTCTTTCTCTCCCCTGCGACTCGTTTCGGTGTAGTGTGTGGTTGGGAGGTCCTTTGTGGCCTGGGGTTGCGATCATCGCTATGACCATGTGTTGATGTGACTATTCGGGAAGGGGGAAACTCAGGTCGGTGCCAAGCACCAGCGGCTCTGCGTGTGCCGAGTGACTGCAAGCGCAGTCGAGGTGGGGGCGAGAGAGGTTTCAAGCGGCCGTTTCTTCGCCTGTAGCCTGCTTAAACAGCGCCTCATTCTCCCCCTGCGCCTTGAGGAAAGCGTCCTTGAACAGGTTGGCATCTGCGAGCAAAGCGTTAGTAACGCCCAAGGAGAGGCTTCGTCGGCGCCTAAAAACCTACTTTCCGAATTGGCGAAGCGGATGGCAAGCGTCACAGCCTCGGGCTCGCCCTCGCTCACGTCGGCCGCCGCGTTCCACACCCAGCTTCGGTCAGAGCCGACGTTGGGCGACAGCTTCATCTCGGGGACGACTACACACTCGTTAGACACTGCAAAGGGGGCAAGTGTGGTGTAGAGACTCACTATAATGGTTGGCGCAAACCTTGAGCGTCTTGTCACGGCGCATGACCAGTCTCGTCTTACCGTTCTCCTTGTGCTTCAGCAGCCTCACGTCGCCGGTTCCACGTTCCTTCCACTCGGTCGTCTCCTTAACGAACTTGAAGAGCTTGGCGCGCATCTTGAAGACCTGGTCCTCCAATTCTTCGTTGGTCTTGGTCTCGACCTTTTCGGTGAGCTTGATGACGGGCTCAAAGTGGACGTCCTCGCTCTCGGGGGCTTCTTCCTGTGGGCCGTGGCGACCCGTCAGTAGCTGTCATTGGGGTAGGCGGCGGGGAGGGGGAGCCGTGGATCGGCTCGCGCGGACATACCTGATCACCCTTGGCCGCCTCAGCAGCTTCCCGCTGGGCCTTTGCGCTGCCCGAGTTGTCGCCCCGGCCCTCGTCATCGTCCTTCTTCTCCTTCTTGGCGCCACCGCCGAACATGGAGAAGACGGCAGAAGAGATGACGGGTTTTGTTTCGTCGGTCGCCGCGGCGGCGGATGACTAGCGCATGGTGCCATGTCAGTTCAAGCCAGCTCCCGTCACTCGCATCGACCTTGCCAAACGCCTTCCCGCTGCTGGCGACGGCCAACTAGACGGAAAAGGAGGCCAAACGGCCGTAGCCCAGCAGCAACAATGGAGTTGGCGGCGGCGGCGGCGGCGGCTTTGGCTTTGCTCGGCGTTGGGGCGAGGAGATTCGTACCTCATTTTCCGTGGCCGACTTGGTCTCGTCGGCGGCAACAGACTTGGCCTCGTCGACGGGCTGCGTCCCCTCGACCTTGGGCTCGGTGTTCTCCGTGGAAGACATGGTTTCTTGCTTTGTTGTTTTCGAACCGCTTCGCCGTCGGATGCTTGATAGTCTATGTGACGCGCAGAGAGAGGGGTGAAAAACAAGAACCTGGTCAGCGTCGCAGCCCAAAAGCCAGTCATAAAGTAGATTTGCCATTTTACCCCTCCAGAGCAACAACGCTTGGCCGCCCCACCGGCCGCGCAACTGCATGGGTAGTAGACCTACAAGAGCTACCTACCTACTACATACAGTACCTACCTACCTAGGTAAGGTTGGTAGTACGTTAATGTGTAAGTTACTTTGTTGCCTTTTGACTGCGCGGTGAGCAGGGACCGGTCTTGTCGCGATACTGGGTCTCTCTGTCGGATCGATTTTTGTAGCATGCTTTGCAATGCTTTGCAGAGAGGGCAGGCGAGTGAGTGGTAATTGGCGAAAAGCTTCTCGTCCAGTCCTGATAATAAATGGATGTGCCCCCTCTCTCTTCCTTGCTGGCAGCACACACAGCTTTTTTTGACCCAAGGTCACTTTCCGCGCCGGGCCACCGCTTGGCTAAAGTACCAGCCAAGTACAGGGTACAGGGTATCTTTGCTTGCTTGTCTGCCCTTCGACCTTCAGGGTGCCACGACACGTGAAGGCCGCTTCATCTCGACACTGCGGCAAACAGATCGTGCCGTATCATTCAATCACTCGCCCATCACGCCCTTTTTCCGCCGTCCTTTTCGCGCTGCAAGGGGTGACTGGCGAGAATCAGGTGGCATCGGCAGTGTACCAAGAGACTGCTCCTCCGTACGAGAATCAAGATAACCGGTGACTCTACTAAAAGCAACTGTATTGATTGCGAGTCCTTAAAACTCCAGCCCATTCCTTGTCGTCCAAGCCTAGCTATCCGGAACCCCATGCATAAACCATAGAGATCAACCATAGTATGCATCTAGTGGCACCGGCCCTGCCGCAGCATTCTCGGCCAGAGCTGTGACCCAGTCTCCACCTTGACCTGGTGTCGTCTGGCCCGGCCCGCCTCCTTGGCCGCCGCGTGCTTCTTTGCTACGAATTCCTTTGCTTTGCGCTGATAGTCGTCATGCTCGTCCTTGCGTCCCGTTGCGTCGAGCCACCACAGCTTCGCTGAAATCCGGGCATCGAGCAGGACAAGCTGCAGCTGGCTCTGGACGTCTCGCACCCGGTTCAACTGTTCCTTGGCTTGCCGCGAGGCGGCACCAAGATTATTGGCAAAATCCTCAGTCGCACCCGCGATGCGACTCTGCGCATTGGCCTTGGCACCTCCGAGAGACTGCCGAGCCCCGGAGAGCGCGTTATCGAGCCGACCGAGCAAGTCGTCGGAGACGAAAACAACGCTGTCGGATACCGCACCCAGTGACCGCCTGGCTCCCTCGAAGCAACGTTCTGCCTCCTGCGCAACCGCGGGAACGAGACCCGACAGGTCATGCGCCAGATTCCTGGTCATTTCCAGAGCCTCTTCCATTACGCCCTTTCCAAAGTGGACCTTAACCATCCTTTGAACCCTCGGGCGACAAGTGGCCTCCAGAGACAGGCTGACAACGCCGTAAGCCTCCTTCTTGGGGAATCTGAGAAGGATGCCCTCGTCGACTGGCGATGACGACGTCTCGACCTGGCGGCCGTCTCTGACGGCGTTGACCGCCAAGCAGTCCCTTGCCAGCCAGGCTTGCTTGACATATCCGGGGACGTGAACCAGTATATCGGTTTGAGCTTGGGGGGTGAAGGAGATGGAGGGCTTTCGGGCGCCAAAGAGCCACTCGTCCGATGTCCCATCGCGGAGCGGTATCAAGCCCATTCCGCCAGCCGACGGGGGGCGGGGACGAGCTCGGGAAGAGGGCCTGGCCGTGGAGACGACGATGGACGTTGTCGTGGCCGTGACCGTGGAGACCACGGTCGAGGGGTGCGATCTGGAGTTCTCGGCGAGATTGTGGTCCATGACAGAGATCCAGGCGGCGAGGGCAGCCGTAAACAGCAGGGGAATGAGGGCCGCCGAGGTCGTCTCCACGACGTAGTCCTTGACACGAGCCCCAACCTGCCAAAGGTGGGCAAGCCTGTTGTTGGAGCGTGCCCGATGGCTCTCTGGTTTTCCAGCAGGCGGCTGTCCAGGAAGTTGAAAGTCCAAAGACGGGATGCCCGCGAGCTTACTCACCTCGGGCGTCGAGATGGAAGGTGTCCCGAGACTATGTTGGGTATACTCGAGGGAGGACCGAGAGCAAGCCTCATCTCTGATCTCGGGGTCGTCCGGGTTGTGATCCTGGGCGACGAGGGTATCGTCGTTTTCGTCAACTCGTTGGGCTTCGTCGTCGTTGCTCTCGTCGACTCCCTCGTATGACGGCGTGCGGGGCAGCACGTCGACGTCATCGGCGAGCGACTCGCCGTCGTGCGTGTATTCGGTGCCGTCGAGGCTGTGGACATCATCGGGGCGATGGGGGTCGAGGGAGCCGACCGAGTCGCCCATGGACTCGGTGTAGTTGCCATCCTGGGACTCACTGTCGGTGCCGGTGATCAGCTCATACGTGGACTCGGCCAGGCCAGTATCCTCTGTGGCAGTGGTCAGGCGCATTATGTCGGGATCGCTGGCGGAAATCCAGTTGGCCAGACGCCGATTTCCTTGCGGGCGAGGGAAACGAAGAAAGGGCTCTGAACTGGACAGGACGGGCTGCGGGGTGGGCGTCGGGCGGGCGGATGGTATATCACGACGGTTTGTGGGCGGAGGCGTCGACGCAGCGGAGGCCTGCTCTTCCATAACTTGGCGTCAGCAGGTCGACTTTGGATCGTCTTTGCCAGCGAGGCTCTCGTTGTCATGAAGCAAGTCTGAGGCGGGAGCGGCACGCATGAACGACGGTGGGAGCTAGTGACGTGACGGACGAGGCGGGGCAGTCCAAGGGGACAGACAAATGAGACAGGAAGAGCAGGCAAGGGCAAGGGGCTTTCTTTTCGGGCGAGGGTTGCGAACGAACTGACCACCATGTAGAAAAGGCGAAGAAGAGGCAAAGTCTAGCCAAGTGTCATTCGAAGCACGGCTCGCCGCTGCCTGGTGACGGCCCGTCGAAATCTAATAAGCCTGAGGCTGACTTGTTCAGGTAGGCTGGTAAGAGGAGGTGGGGTAGTTGGGTAGGTGGGTAGGCGGGCACCCAGAGGGGCGGGGCGTCATCAGGCGGGCGTGACCTCGGGGCCTGGATGATTCGTTCAGCGTGCAGGTTGCTGTTGTTGTTGGGGGAGATATGGCGTGCCGTGGAAACGTGACGGTGCGTGAAGGTGGTTTGAGAGCATGGGCAGGTAATAATACAGTATGTATGTATATACGTAGGTAGGTAGTTAAGGTAGGTCGGGAGTCTGGGAAGGAGAGACCAAGGCCGAGGGCAGGAGGGACAAGACGGACGGAACGACCCTTCTTTGTTGGGTCGAGGTAATAAACAGTACTTGTACGATGTACCTTACGTACTTACCTACCTCTACCTACCTATTTACTCGCCTCCAAAGACTGTAAAGTGCAAGAACTGCCTCTTTCTTTCTTCCTCTGCCTCAGGTCACCCACGTGGATGCTCGGCGCCCCCAACAAGGAAGAGTACAGTAGGTACCTCCCGACACATATCCATCTTCAGGTCCCAAGTTAACTTTGGGGGCATTTTCGAGGATTAGGATGGGCAAAGCACACAAAAGGTTGACACGCAGGCTGCCATCCAAAAAGTATCTCGACGACTGACTACATGCATGCCATTTCCATTAATAGTGGTTTCGCTAGGTGCAGGCTCAAACCTACAGTACCTCGCCTCTCCAAAGGTGCGCCCGTCCCGCCATGGCCTCTCCGTAAACGCAGCGAGTGACACGGCCGCCAGCCCTGGACTGGATTGTAGCAGCAGTCGTCCTCGTCACGGACTGGGCTCCCAGAGGTTGCCAGGCAAGTCGTCATGCCAAGGTGTTCTTTGGTGGCGACCGTGCACCGAATCTGTACCCCGTATTCTTGGCCCCCGCTTGGCTGCTGTTCCGATGCTGCTCCGATGCTGCTCCGTCACGATCCCCTACCCTACCGACACGTGCATGCAGACAACGCAAGGGGGATACAAGGTACACGCTTCACTCGCACGCCACATCAGAGGAGCATGTGAATTTGACAATGCATGTGTCATTATCATCGTGAATAGCCATCTTCGTCTTCCTTGTGTCGCCTGAACCAACGCCTCTCCGACTCTCTCATGCCCCAAACCCTTGAGCCCTCCTCCCCCATATCGGCGTATCCATCTCCTCCAAGCCCCCGGGGGCGCGCAACCAACAACTCGTCTATAACAACAAAGCAGGACGGGAGGACGAGAAAAGCGGTCAAGACAACAAAAGCGAGAGAGAAGAGTGCAAAGCAAAGGTTTGGTCGTACATGGTGATACACGAGCCCCACCAGGAAAAACATAATCGGGGCTTGGGGGGATGGAGGAAGAAGAAACGCCAGCGAAAAGATGGGCTTACGCCATGCCAGCCCCTAACCCATCCGCCAACAGAAAAAGAAGACGTGGGCGTGCCGCTTGAATCCAACGTCGACGGCCAGCCCAATCCATGCGTAGACCAAAAAAAAAAGAATGCAAGGACTGCTTCCACCATGCCATGACACCTCTATTCCGTCCCACAACTCCAGTGATTCGGCAAGAAAATACCCAAACAGCAAACAAAATCATGATTTGGCGTGAAAGGGATTGTAGGATGCGTGGTTAGAGGTAGGTCGCCAAGCAAAGACAAGGCGGGGTATCGTTGTAGTGAGAAAATGGTTGATGGCTTCCCGGCAAGGGGGGAAGAGGGAGCAGGCTCGTCTTGGAGCGAGCGATGCAAGACGCGGCAGGCTCTCCAGTGTCCCATCAAAGGCGCAACCGCAGACCCCAGGCCCCTGACTACAAGACGTGGTGTCTTCGCAGTATCCTCTTGAGCGAGTCGGCGGCAAAGGGCTCGTCATCCGACATCATCTCAATGATGCCCGTCAGGTTGGCAAACAGGTCTCCCTGGTTGCGGTAGGCCAGGAGCGACGGCACGGCGGCCGGGTCGAACTCGATTTCGTCGTAGTTGACCTTGACAAAGTGTATCGTCGGGTTCTCCTTGACGAGGGGCAGCAAGGCCGACTCGATGGTGGCGGAAACGTCGCACTATCGCGCCCGGGGTTAGCAACGGCTTGCGACGCCAAGTAGAGAGAGAGCGCGAGGCCTTACCTCATGGTCGGCGACAAAGACAACCACCTTTGTCTCCCTGTTGACCTTTTCGATGGCGTCGAGGTAGCCCATGGCATCCACCCGGTCGAGACGGCCGTAGATGCGGACGCTTGGGCTCGTTCTCCGGCTGCGGATGGCTAGGTTGGCATCCGTCTCGAGCTCGCGCCGCCGGCTCTCGCGCCACTGCTGCAGAAAGGCCTCCTCGTCCGACTCGTCGAGGCCGTGGGTGCTGCGGGCATCCTCATCCGTCTCGCTTTCGCTGCGGGAGCCATTGGCGACGACGCCGGCCATGCCGAGGATGCTGCGGCGGGCCGACTTTGCGCGGTCAATCCATTTGCTGCGGCGGGCCGTCTGGAAGGCCCGGGCGTCGGCAATGACGCCCTTGACGCCCGTGGCGCAACCGCTGTCGAAGGAGGCGGGCGGGAGCTTGAGCTCCGAGGAAGCCGTGGGCATGCGCATGGCGGCGTCGACGTGGGCGTTGCGGTAGGCAGACTCGTCGGAGTCGGAGTCGTCGCGGGGGTTGCGATCGGGGTCGGGGTGGTCCTCGGGGTGAAGAGTCTCGCGATGGGTGTTGCTTGCGATCAGGTCGTTGAACTCTTCTTGGGCGGCAGCGGCAGCCATGACGGGAGACGAGACGGACGGAGCCGAAGGCCAAGGGTGTGCGGGCAGCGGCTACTTTTTGTAGAGAAGAGAAGACGGACGGGGTGGAGCAGGGGGAGGGGAGGGGGGGGAGGGGCAAGAGGTTGGACGACTGGGGGGCGACCAGGATGTGCTTTGAGATTATGTGTATATGCGCAATGCGAGCGAGGGCTGTGAGGGCTGTGAGGGCTGTGTATGGTATCGGCTGATGTTTCTAGAAGGAATGGAACGAGGTGGGAGCGGAGCAGGCAGGGCATAAAGGGAAAAAGGAAGAAAAGCCGCAGCGACACCACGAGGAGGCCCAGGGGGGGGGGGGAGGCAGAGGCAGAGGGGCCGGGGTTTGAGGAGGAGGCGAGGGTGACCCACTCGCTTGGAATTATTCTTTTTCGTCGTGCACTCTTGATGCGACACGAGGTTAGTTTCAGGATCTCGCGGCAGAGAACAGGACGGGAAGAAAAGGGGCGTCGGAGGCCGCGGGAGGGCGCGGTAGAGGGAAGGGAAGGGGGGGAAAAGGGATGCAAGAAAGAGCTGGACGGACATGTTTGTTGGGGCGCCCGTGCTGATGCGACAAATGGACAACATGATGGTTTTTTCGGTCCCTTGTTTTATCGTCTGGATTCTATCCCTATCCGGACTCGCGTGCTCTTTACCCGCTTGGGGACGCCGCCGAGCGCGTCATGGTAAGGCTCGCTCGCCATTGACGTTAGTGGCCGCCTGTTAAGGGCATGGCCAGAAAGTCAGGACTCTGCACGCATTATCGACACTATTCATGTCCTCGTATGCGCGTTTCATGCCCAGCCCTGTCTGTTGTTTTCCATTAAGCTCGTTCTCGGCTCGCCCATCAGCCGGGCTGGCGGTTCATTCAAGCGTTTGTTTCCCTCTTGCCTGCAACCCTCCAACAGGCCAGCCGGCGGCGGCTGCACCGTATCATCGCCACGAGCCCCCCCGGCCACCCGCATCCTCCTTTTCCCCATGGACGACGACGGACCGACCCTGCAGGCCCCAAACACCGGTCCAGCTGCCGTTGCGCCCGCCTATTTGCGCGGGCAAGGGCAAGGCCAGGGCAAGGCCAGGGCAAGGCCAGGGCAAGGCCAAGGCAGGGCAGGGATCCTCCAGGCGACTCCATCCAGGTGACATCTGCAGAGGCCACGACGACTTTATTACTTTTATTACGTACGGATAGGCGCCATCATGTTGGTGGAGAGGAGGGACGAGATGGATGCACTTGGTCATGGATGGACTCGTCACCTTGGCGGCCGATCCCCATGTCGCCCGAGCCATGCCATGCCATCTCATGACCCTTTCTGTTGTACCATGTAAAAATAGCTCTCTCGTCTCCCGCCGGCCCAATAATACGAGTCAAGCCAAACAAACTCGTTCGTTGCTTCTGTGTCGCGCGATTCATTCACTCATTCATTCATTCATTCAAACCATTCATTCACTGTCCGTCCGTCACGGCCGCCGTTTCATCACCAAGCGCGTTTCATCCCCCACGCTCCAAACACACGCAACCACGCAACCACGACGCCTGCTCAGCCTCAGCTAGCCCAAACCTGTGATTACATGGTGCATAGTTATGGCTCGGCACATCGTGCACGACCCCCAACACCCCCAACTACCGGCTCGTCAGTCCACGCACGCACTCGCTCTAGGCCCTCTCGGCGAGTCCGGAACCCATGCTCCACCACCATCCGCGCGCGCCATGTCCGTCCGCCCCTGGCCGCATGCGTGCCCTCACCGCCAACACATTCTTTTCTCCTTCGTGTCTTGTGTAGTTACAACGTGCTGTACATACCAAAGCATGCGTGCAGCTACCGCTCGTGAGACGGCATCAAGCCAGTCCTGCCGTCTCTGCTTGTTTGGTCCTCGATTTGGTGGTCGACCCGTCGTAGACCTCTTTCACTTGGTAGCCATGGTCAAATCACTCTTCTTCAAAGCAAAGGCGCTAGAAGAAAGAGAGAAGCCTCCTGACCAGGGGAGCCTGCGAGGAATTCTCCTCTCCGCCGCCCGTCGGCTCATCACCGAAGCCCCATGACGGCCCCGTCCTTGTGCCTCTCTTCGGATATTTAATATGGGACAATATTGGTGCTTGACTCCATGTCATACAGGACACTTGTTGCTTGGCTTCAGCCACTCTGTGAAATAATCAGGCCCATCATCTCGGCCAATACCCAGTCGAATACGTAGTTGAAAATATCGTGAATCCATCCGCATTCGCCCTCAGGGGCTCTGCTGATCCGCGCTGACTCATGAATGACTAATGCCGCCGTGTCGTGCCCCCCTGCTGCTCCATGCTGCTCCATGCCTCGACGGCAAATGCATGGGGCGAATGCACTGGGCGAATGCACAGGGCGAACGCACATAATTACCAGCCTTCCTGCCTCTGCCCTCAACTCGACCATGACTTGCCACCATGCGTCTCCGCCTTCTCCTCGGACTCGACTCTTCTTCCAAGCAGCCTGCGCGCAATTCCCCGCAACGAGCGCTCCTCATCAATTTCCTCCCTGCGCAGAGTCAGCTCTTGTCCGCAACCTCGCCCCCTCGACCGCCGCCCCAGCTATCTACAATCAACCCGTCCACTCTTGAACACTCTCGTCGCGACGTTTAAACAATCTCGCCACGTTGCGACACCCCGGCCGCCCACGTATCTGCTCGCTCGCTTGCCCCCCCTCCCCATGCCTAGTCGTGCCCCTCGGCAGCCATGGCTCGGTGCCACCGACTACAGAGTACCACAGGCAGGGCTCGCTGGCCACCGTCTTGTCCGCGCGTGTACCTCACCGTCCCAGCCAGACAGCACTTTCGCGCTCAGGGCATGTTGGTGCAAACTCCAAGACTGAGCGAAGCCACGACGAGCTGGCTTCGAAAAGAAGCAAGCCTTCGAAGCCAGCCGTCAAGCGGTAGCATCGGCAGCGTGACCTCGGGTATCATGATTCTGCGATTCTGCGCTGGCCGTCTCCGGAGCGCAGTCCAGTATTCCGCCAACCGCAAGCTGCAAAGTAGTCTCGGGTCGCCTGGGCCTGGGCCCTTTGTCGGCCGAGATGCTGGCTGCGAACTGATGGCCAACCGTAGTCCATTCTTTCTGCCTAGTTCGGGAAGCATGCGTTGCTGCGCCTCGTCAACAGCATCGCCCATCTTGCCAGCCGCCGTGGCTTGGTGCCAAGCGCCCTTCAAGCCCTCGTCAAGCTCCGCTGAAGATTGGGACAAAACGAGAGAAAGTCGGGGAGCCCGGCAGGTCGTTGTAGCAGCATCATGTTGTGGAATGTCTTCTGCGTCAGACAATGCGGACACACCAAGGCCCAGACATTGACCAGATCCAAATCCCCAAGCACAGAAAACGGTTCGTCAAGATCCACGAGTCCGCATGTTGGAAGAAAGGTTCGGCTTTGGAAAGAAAGAGGACACTGATGCTTCCGTGTTGGTATCATCTCCCACTACCTCACTCCCGAGCCGACCTTCGCCCCCACCATCGTGAGCCACCTGTACATTGATGCAGCCCGCCAATGATGCGCAAATCCACAGCACTCTGTACTTTCTTTGACCAAGGAAAATGGTTCGCATCGGTTATCGTACATGGGTCGGACCATCAAGTGTATTATGACAGCTCTGTTCTTGGTATAGACTCGTCACCTTCGCTCCGGACCACCTCTCGACGCAACCTTCAGGCCACCACTACTCTCCACGTCGGTGTCGACCTTTTCCTTGTTCCTGCATCGCATGTGAAATCCGCGCGCTCTCCCCATCTGTCACTCTCTCCGTCGAGGGCCTCGATGTTAGCAGAGTCGAGTGAGGACGTCCTTGTCGAGCGAGAAGCCGTCAGACGCAAACAGGTCGCCGAGAGACGCAGAAAAACGTCAAGTAGTACATCCGCCCGTGACCAGCCACGCGAGGCACGTTGGCGGGCGGAAACATGTTGCAAAGGATCCTCCTGCTCGCAAATGAAAAAAAAGGGGGGGTGGGCAAAAAAAAAGAACTAGAACGGAGGTATCGCGTCAGCCAATCCCCCTCGTGAGCCCATTACCGCTGACAGCCGGCCGAACGTTCCGGGGTGAGTCGCCGGACGCTTGGTTGTCGGATCTTGAATAGACAAAGAATCCAGAAAAACGCGAAGAGGATTATTTATTCGGGAGGAGGGGTAGGCTTCGTCACTTCGTCCTGCGTACGCCGGTGCTCGCATGCTATATGGGCGTGGTCGGATTCTCCGAAAACTGGCGGGCTTAATAGTCGTTTTGAATGCAGATTCTTCAAGAGGTCGCGGCGGTGCTGGAATCAGTCTATCCAGGCAGGACATCCATCGTCATCGCAGACAATTCGACTTAATAGGCCCAAATTTTCAGCTGCGGCGACGTTAGCTCACGTTTGATCCAGACAAAGTCGGAGGTTGCCCAGTTTCGCGTCCCGCCGGGACAGCGAGCAGACCGCGGAGCAACAACGAGTGCACAAATCGAGTACTCACCAGAGAATCCCAAGAGCCCGTACACAAGCTTATGCCGTCGTTGCTCACACCCAAGCAGCTGACGCGATTCTCGTGGCCCACGAGAGACCCAACCTTTTCGCCTCGGGTGACGTCCCAAACCTGTAGGGTGGTCAGTCAGTACCAAGTCTCGTCGCCAGACGCAAGTCCTGCGTCGCCCAGCCATGTCGCACGAACCTTGCATTCGAAATCATCGTAACCGGCGAACAACAGTCGGCCGGAAACGGAGGTGGCTACGGAGGTGATGCCGCAGAGGATCGACTCGGACTATCAAATATCGGGGTCAGTCAAAGACAAGATATCTATGTACGCGCTGGTTGAGACTCACGCCGTAAACATTGAGCTCGCGATCCGCGCGGATATCGAACAGTCGGCAAGTGGCGTCGTCGGATCCGGTGACGAAGGAGTGGCCGTCGGGGAAAAACTGGATGGCGTTGATGTCGGACTCGTGGCCGGCGAACGTTTGGACGGCCTTGCCGGCGCGAATGTCCCACAGCTTGGCGAAAGCATCGCAGGCGCCCGAGATGAAGGTGTTTTGGTTGGTCGGGTTGAGGCTGATGCTCATGACGTCGCCGAGGTGATCGGCGAACTCGGTCACCTTCTGGCCCGTCTCGATGTCCCACTTCATGCAGGTCATGTCACCAGAAGAAGTCAGTATGGCGCGATCGTTGATGAATCGACAGCAGGAGAGGTAACCGGCGTGGCCAGAGAGCTCGCGGGCGACTCGCGTCGGGCCGTCGCGTTGCTGGTTGAGGTTGTAGATGGAGCAGATGTTGTCCAGACCACCGCAGGCAACAAAGTTGCCGCTGGGAGCGTAGGCGCAGGTCATGACCCAGGAAGATCGCAGGGGTATCGCATGGACCTTGTTGGTGGTGTAGGCGTCCCAGATGATGAGCTTGCCATCCTGGGAGGCCGAAACGAGATGTCTCCGGTCCGTGGACCAGTGCATGGCGTAAATCTTGGCCAGGTGGCCCTTGAGCGTGCGCTTAGCCTTCATGAGCTGGTTCTTTGGGATGGGCTCATGCGCCTGTTGGGCAACTGCACGAACTGTGAGGAGGTAAGAAATGGTTAGAGGGAAAGCTCGCACGAGCAGCATGGGAGCGGCATCAATTGAACACGTACGGGTGGTGTCAGACAGCTCGTCCTTCTTCCGCTTTATGCGGTCCTTGAGCGTCTCGGCCTCGCGACGCGCCTGCTGGATGCGCGCCTGCATGGCCTCGGGAGACACATCGTTGGCGCCCTGCGAATTCATCGTGACGCAGGCCTCGACGGCGAGACAAGAGGCGATGCGAGAGACGACAGGGGCAGGCCAAGGGCGAGCCAAAGGCGGGAGGGACGGAGAGTAGAGAGGGGGAAGCGTAGAGCGGGAGGAACGGCGACGGTGGGGGAGGGTGAGGGTGAGCGAGAAGGACTGTCGTCGGGCGATGGAATTGACAAGTTGGAGGTGGAGAGGCGGAGAGAGAGGAGACGGGGGAGAGGAGACCGGACGTCTGGTGTAGTGGTGATTGTTGGTCAGTTTAGGGGCAGGAGGGGAGGGAATGCGGGCGAGCCAGCCGCCAGCTCCAGTGGCGGTGGTTGACTGCACGGTACAGACGAGGTAGAGGCAGATAGCGTCGGCCGAGGTTGTGTCTTGCACGAGGGGGGAAAGGGGCGGAAGTCGAGGCCGAGGAGGCAGGATGCCTATCGCTCGGTACCTGCACGGCTGGTGGGTACGGAGCAGCTAGGGGGGAGCAAGAAGCCGCAAGCACTACCCGTTGATCTTGGTGTGGGGCCACAGCAGCCCAACTAAGTGTCTTCGCCACTTAGTTGGCCCAAAAAATCCGGCACAGCCCAAAAAATCCGGCACAGCAGGGTCCTCAATTTGGGGTGCAAAATCAAGGAAATTCTACGCTTCGCTTCATGGTGCCGTCAATGCGACTTCAAATAGCTAAAATATACATGTGATCAATAGCTGCGGATCACCTAAAGACGCAAGTAACAACGAAAAGTGAAAAAATCACGTCTTTGGGCCTATTTAGGAGCTGCCGCCTTCCAGTCGAAGAGATAGGAAGACCGCGTTTGTGAGTCCAAATAGACGTATTATGTAGTAATTTCGCCTGTTGTGCGTCTCTGAGAGCTATTTTATCCATACCTGTGTTCCTGGAGCGTCTGCTGTATCTTGTTGGACGATCGGGTGCGCGGTCGAGGGCATGGTGTATCGACTACCGCTTCAACCGCTGCTAACGGCGGCGATGAGGGTATATTCTCTTGCGTGTCGAGTAAATTGTCCTCGTCTTCATCGTCGGCGCCATCCTCACTATGTTTGTCAAGATCGAGGCCTGTGAAATAGACGGTATCGTCACTGCCGGGCAACGACGACATATCTGTAAGTGGGCGAGGTCGGGTCGCTGCGCGCGCCTGACATCTCTGGCGGAGTTATTTCTCTTCGTGGTATCATAGAAAAGGATTCCTTGGATGGCTCTTTGAGCTCCCGCATGAGGTATCGCAACTTTGCTCCAGAGTGTAGAACTCAACGTCTCGTCCCGTAAACTCTAGCCAGGGCTTAAAGTTCAATGTCTTGACTCTGCCATTGACTAACTGCTTCTTCCCGACTTTATAGTCTTCTCGGATCTTCTGCATCTCTCCACGAACTCGTTTAAGATGCATCCTTATCTCCTGGCGCGTTTGAAGCCGGGTTTGCTTTGCCTGGAGCTCCTCATACTCCCGGGTGATGTCGGCCATGCTGGAGCTCGTGATAAACTCTCCGCGCGGCCTGACAATCTTGCCTCTCTTCATTCGATTCGCATACGCCTGGGTTCGGCTATTCTTATCGCTGACTATGCCCTGGGATGTGACGCCATCGCGATAGACTCGGTGTTCACTTTCGCAAGAACCCGCAAGTTTTCTCGTGATGGCGAGCTCATGAGGGGCCCATACCGTTGCCGGATATCATTGAGGGCATCCGCGGCGACTTGGAAACGCGTCTCCGAGGGTAGGAGCGAGGCGTATGCAGGATTGATCGGCTGCTGTTGTCGTAGCTGCTCGTGGAGGATCTTGGTGATCACCGGCGCTGGGTCGACAGGAAAGAGGCCTGTTTTTCAAATGCCGCCATAATGTTATGCCGCGTGAAGCCAGCCTCATATACGTCCTGAAAAGCTGTGAGGAAGTTGACCCGCGAAAATGATATGTTGCCTTCTGCGAGCGACTTAGCAATGATGATATCAAACTTGATACAATACTCAGCAAAGTCAAGGGTGGTATGCCCTGTAAAGCCATCCACAACAAGCAATCGGTAGATCTTCTCGTCGTCAGGCCGTTGGTTTGGCGGCGCCTCCGCGACTCATCCCCATGTTGGGGCGCCGAAGATGCTCGTCACAGCCGAACCACTCTTCCAGCGAATTTCCTGACTGTTTTGCTTGCGCTGACGATGCCCAAGACCAGCAGTTGAAATGCCTTGCCCACTCAAGGTGTATCTCTGCGTTGGAAAAGCCAGTTGGCGACTGGGCAAACCGTACGCCTGTCATGATGTCGATGCCGGCCCAGTTGGTGGTAGGGTAATGTTGGAAAACAAGCCAGGGTGGAAGAGAGTCCCCCACTGCGTTAACTGAGGCAATTACCGTGCAGGATTCTCGGTTTGCTGGGTCTAAAACTCGGGGCCGGGTGCTCTTGACTCTAGTGGTGCGCGTGATGAGAACTTGGATGCGTTCTCGCAGGCACCCAATGCGTATTCCGGCCTCGTCTTCATTCCAGATCTCTGAACTGCCAATACGGTAGCTGGTGATGATTTCTCGAAGCTTTGAGTAGAAAAATTCGACTTCTTCTACCCGTGGGCTTCAAAGGACTTCCGGGCTCGTTCAACTGCTTTGAGATACGTCTTCGCGATCGCAGGATGACTTCCACGCCAATTGTCAAGCCAACTTGACGAGACCGGGCGGGCATTGGGATCTCGACGCATTCTTATTGCATTTGCAACAGCTTCAAGTTGCTCTCTCGTGGCGGGCATGCCGGTGCGTTCCATCCACTGTACATACGCAACCAGGGCGTCGTCTTCGTCCTCCGTCAGCGCCAATGGACGCCCTGGAGCACGGGAAAAGGGTTTCTTATGAAATTAATGGCTCTCTGTACGGATGAGCTCTTCACATTGTAACGGATGGCCGCATCTCGCACGGAAAGAGGCGTTCTTTTGGTGTTGTTGAGCGACGAACATCGGCTCTGGGGTCGCGACGAGACGCCAGAACGGCTTTGCTGCCTCCAGGGTAGCCATGTTATCTGTCATAATGTATTCCGGCAAAAAGATACGTAAATAAAGTCAAGTTGCGCGAGAAAACGCGGTTGAGATGCATAGGGTTGACGTTTTGGAGGTGGGCTGCTGTGCCGGATTTTTTGGGCTGTGCCGGATTTTTTGGGCCAACTAAGTGGCGAAGACACTTAGTTGGGCTGCTGTGGCCCCACACCAAGATCAACGGGTAGAGCCGGAAGTGTCGACCAGCCAAACCGAAGGTACCAGGTGCCTCTCTTAGGGAAGGTACACCTACCCACCTGCCTACCTAGGTACCCAGGTAGGTACCTGGCCTGTCTGTGCTAGGGCGGGCGTGGCCAGCGGGCGACGGCGGCAAGTCCAGAAGCCCATGACAATCGTGCAACGTGCCCAGACAAAGGAAAAAAGAAACATGCATCGAGGCCAAGGCAGCAGGCATCCATTGGCAAGATACAGTACAGCACCTACATGCATGCACCTACAGGTCAGGTGCTGTAGAGTGTCGGGGGAGGCAGTGGCAGAGCAGCCGAATAGCACCGAAAGCAGACCGACCTTACCTGACCCGACAGAGAGCCGCGAGGAAAAGACGCTGGGGGCTGTTCACCACTGTACGGATGCTGCTAGGGTGCTGGCAGAGAGTACTATAGGTACCGACCAAGTACTACGTCCCAGGTACCCACGCCAAGAAAGGCTTCATCTTGTGTACTGTACGGATACCTAGGTACCTACTTACCTTGGGCACATTTACGTTTCGACGATGGCAAGCAGATGTAGGGATGTAGGGTATCGCGGAGAGGCCGTGGATGTTCTGTAGGTGATTCGATGTTGGCCAAGTAGATGCGCTACCTTATTCACCAGTTGTCCAAAAACCGTGCATACCTTAAGGTACCTTACTTAGGTACCTAGGTCCTGTTATGTACCTATGTTCCATGACATTCAAATGATGCTTCAATCTGAAGGGTACTTGGTACCTTGGGCGACAGACATGGGAAGCTAGCAGCCCGCGTGCATCCGTGTGCGCCCCCCTCTCGGAGCTCCTGCTGGCCGCCACCCCATGTGTCACCCAGCAAGGCTGTCTGCAAGCAAGAGCAGTACTAGCGCCGGGTCCCTGCGCCAGCGAGCTGCTGCTGCTGCTCCTGCTGCCTGTTGACATGGCATAGGTATGTTTAGGGTAGGCAGGTAGCTCAGGTGGTGGGTGGGTGAGCTTATCTGGGTCAACAAGGCTCTTTGATGTTCGCATTTTACCTACAACAGCATACAACAGCATACAACAGCAGCATACAACAGCATACAACAGCGGCATACAACAGCATACGAACAGCATACAACGGCATACTACGGCATACTACGGCATACTACGGCATGCTACAGCATGTAAAGGAGTCATCTGGTACGCTCTGTCGGTGTTGCCGAAGCTCAGTCAGACTCTGCCCTCGCCGGCATGCACATGCAACCGTAAACACGGCGAGCATATGCCATGAATTGCCGGCTGGCCGTCTTACCCGAGCGATGCTGTCGAAACTGCCCCGTCCCAGCGTATACAGTGGGGTTTCTTTGCATCATCATGCTAGCATGGAGTTACGACTACTGTAGGGCCTCTCTCCCTCTCTCTGCCTGCCGCGTTTGCCCTGCAGATATACATACATATACATACTACGCACATACAGTTTGTCTGAATCTCTCAGCTCCCGCACATGGGACACGAGGTTTATTCTACTGTGCAGGGCATGTGTGTGCGAGCATGCAGGTCAAACCCCCCAATTCGGCCACATCAGCCAACCAGCATCACCTATAAATAGTCGTCTGGCTGGCCGTATGATTACAGCACAGGCGGCTATGCGACAAGACATCCAAGCAGGACAGTCAGTAGATTGTTGGTGAGCGTTGAGCATCGCAGTACGGAGTGCATCTTGTCCGGATCAGTACCCGCCTCTACCCACCTACCACCCCTCCAGCCCGCAAACTGCGACGTACCGGATAGGTACTGTTTGACATGTGCATGAGGAACCGCCGAACTACTAACTGGTGTAAGCAGCGAGATGGCGGACGAGATGGCGGACGAGACGGCATTGCCCGGGGAATCATAATTAGCAGTCCACCCGTTACCGTTAGTAGGGATACAACTTGAGGTTATCGTCGTTCTGCGCAAGTAGCACAGGTGATCGATCCGTCGGGCAACCTTTGCTTCCAGTCCCGTCTGCGAATCAACCACCGTGCAATATCGCCGCTCTCTGACCTTTCAACACTTGCAAGTCTAAAGATACGTCGCGGGTACTTCAACAACGGAAACTTGGGCCCCTGGAGGCAGCCCTGCCAAGTCAATCATGACTGCCTGCTCCTCCGATTCGCCAGCCGTCCCGCTCACCAAGCCGCACGGGGGCCGCCGCGGCGGGCACCAGAGTTTTTGGCCCCCCCCCCTACGAACCTGCCTCGCCAGCCTTCCTTTGCGAAGTCGACTAGTGCTTTGACCGATCTCATTTTTTGCCTGATCACGTCACCCTGGACAGAGAGCCTTGCGCGTTTGGCGTGCTGCCGCCGACGGGATAGTCCGTACGGGGGGAAGGGGAGGAGGGGGTCGCACGGGAATGGGCAGACAGATGGGGAAGAAAAATCAAAGAGGCAATTTTCGGCAACACGGCCCACTTCATCTCCTCTCCTGTTCCTGGCAACGGTTTGTCTCTGGACGAGGTGGAGGTGGAGGAGGAGGAGGATGGGGAGGAGGAGCCAAAGGGCCCCTGTCCCCCTTGTTGGCTCCTCTCTCCCGCCCGAATACTACACAAAGTTGCATGCCATGTCGTCGTGCTATTGGCACTTGGCCATGTACGAAATCCTGATTTGTGCAATGAGCCAATTTCGCAGGCGCCTGCCACTGGTTCAAGACAATGGACCAGATCCTGCTCCAGCCAGCACAGTCGCGCGTGGCTCCGTCGAGAGCGAAGCAGCTGGGATGCGATATGAGCACAATGTCTCAAATGCCACTCCGTCTTGATCTGCCACGAAAAGAAACTAACCGGGTCGCACAAGGTTTCTCGGCTTTGTCTCCTCTACCCAAAAAAGCCCCGACCTGCTGGGTTCATGCATCGCAGAGAGTCCGACGATTGCATCCATGAGACGAGACCAAACCGCTTCCGACGGATAGACAGAGAGCCACCACGCGGCACTGTTTTGTCTCAGTCGCCTCCGACGGGGCTAAACTCTCCAGACGCACGCGGCCATCGAGGCCCTGTTTTCTTTGCCCTGTGGGTTTTGGTTACCTTGCCGGAAAATGCCAATTTGGTTGACCACCATTCGCCATTCGTTGCAAACTTGCATCATGCTGCCCGGCTCCAGCACGTGACGTCGTCCGTGTCCCTCAGATGCGGGATACGGGATATCGGTTGCTCCTTAATAGCTGTCGGTGGCTCTGCGCCCAGACTACTAACCTACCATACGTAGGCTCTGGTGTCCCCTGCCTTCTAAAAGTCTATAGCGCCCATGCAACATTTACTGTAGGTACCTGACCGCCTCCTGGCATCCCGTCTCTTGGCTTGGCCTGGCCCCATGACTGGTTAGATGCAAATAGGAACTCGGTATTAGTGGCTCTTTGCCCAGCCCCTGAACCAGTCCAGGGCCTCGGGATTGGCAACGCTGGCGTTGGTCTGGACGCCCATGCCCGAGAGGATCTGCTTCACGGCAACCTCGATTCTGCATATCCGTATTAGCCTACTGTTCACCATGGCCTGATGTCGACTTACTTCTTGCCGTTGCTCGTCTTGGGGATGCCGCTCCCACACTCCTCCACAACGCCCGGCACATGCCTTGGGCTCAACTCGCGCCGGATCTTGGCCTTGATCTGGACTCTCAGCTCGTCGTCAAACGTCTTGCCTGGTGACATGACGACGAAGAGGCAGACCGTTTCGTCCGTGTCCGCCGCTCGGCGTCGCCCCACGCACACGGCATCCTCCACCTCCGACGCAAAGAACCGCGTGAGGATATTGTAAACCTCTGCCGACCCAAACCGCACCCCCGCCGGCTTGAGGACCCCGTCGGACCGGCCGAGCATCACCAGGCTCCCTGTTGCCGCATTGGGAATCTTGACAAAGTCTCCGTGATGCCACACCGGCCCCTTGGCCCCACAGATGTCCCGGAAGCGTTCAAAGTACGCCGCCTTGTACCTTGAATCGCCGTCGGCGCCGAAAAAGGTCAGAGGCTGGCAGGGAAAGGGCTTGACGCAGACCAGATCGCCGGGCTCGCCGGGCGGGACCTCGTCTCCCGACGCCGAGTCCACCGCCCGGATATCCATGCCGAGACCGGCGCACTGGATCTCGCCGGTGCGCACGGGCAGCAGCGGGCAAGGGGCCCCGAAGAGCGAAATAATGTCTGTGCCGCCTGTGATGGAGGCGAGGTTGACCGTCTTGGGGAAGGCCTCGTAGACAAACCTGAACGTCGAAGGAGGCAGGGGAGAGGCGGTGGAATAGATGGCTTGCAGATTCGAGAGGTCAATGCCCGGTTCTGAAATTGGACGAACGTTGTTGGCCTCGAGAGCCGTCAGGTAGGCGGCCGAGGTGCCAAAGTGGGTGATTTTCAGGTCAGAAAGCACCCGAGGCAAGGACAGGTGCGAGTGTGGCCGAAACGGCGATCCCGAGTAGAGCACGACAGTGGCGCCGACGGCCAACGCGCCAACGCTCCAGTGCCACATCATCCAGGAGGTGGTGGTGTAGTAGAGCATGCGAGACGAGGTCGACAGCGAGCAGTGCAGCAAGTGCTCCTTTTTGTGCTGGATCAGGGTGCCAAGGGCCGTGTGGATAATGGGTTTGGGCAGGCCAGTCGTGCCGCTGGAATAGAGGATGTAGAGCGGATGGGACGGAGGGAGCTGCTCGAACCTGAGGGGCGCAGATGAGGCGCCGGCCAGGAAAGAGGTATACTCGTAGGCCTTGATGGTCTGCGACTCGAGCTGTGAGATGCCCGTGTCGCCCTTGATGTTGTTGACGACAATGACCGACTGCAGGCCCGTCTTGACGAGCTCGGCAACAACTTCACACGTCTTGGCGGTGCTGGACCACTCCTTGCCATTGTAGACGGTGCCGTTATCGGCGAATAAGACCTTGGGCGTGATCTGGCTGAGCCGGTCCAAGACGGCCGAGACGCCGCTGTCGGGGCTGATGCCGGTCCAAATGGCGCCTGCGGAGGCGGCGCTGAGCATGGCAACGAGGGCCTCGACGTGGTTGGAGACGTAGCCGGCAACGACGTCGCCGGGGAGAAGCCCAGAGTCCCGGAGGGCGTTGGAGCACTGACGGACGGCCTCGCGGAGCTGGGCCCAGGACGTGGAGCGCAGATGGCCGGGGAGCTCCGTCATGGTGATGACGGCCGGGTCGGAAGGGTCGAGGGAGGTGGAAACGGAAGGGAAGAGGAGGTTTTCAGCAAAGTTGAGGCGGGCGGAGGAGAAGAAGTCGGGGCGAGGGTGCATGGGAGCGTCGGCAGAAAGAGCCTGGATAGAAGATAGTGTTAGCCGCGCACAGCCAGCATGAGGTGATGGCCGCGACAGGCAGATGTTGGGCCTGGCGAGGGAAAAGCATTGAAGGAGCGCGACGCACCCGATGGGCCTTTTCGGAGGCGACGATGCCAACAAAGTCCCAAGTCTCTTCCCAGAAAGCCGAGACGTTGTCGACGGACCACCTGTACAGGTCGGGATAGCCACGCAGCTCCAGGCGGTGCCTGCTGTTGAGGTGCTGGATGAAGTGCCACATGGGGGTCGAAGCGGGCTGCGGATGGCACCACAGCACGTCCGAGGCATCGCTGGTATCGACGACGTCGCCCATTGCGTCGATTTCGGATCGTTGTCGGGTGGGAGGACGGGACGGGAGAGGGGGGAGGAGGAGAGGGGGCGGAGAGGCCTGACGATGCTTTTCGGGGGTGCGTTTTGCGAATCAAGGGTTCGACAGGACCATGGCATCCAGACAAGAGGAGTGAAGCTGTGGCCGGGAGTCGAGGAGCAGTTATTCGCTCATCGTCAAAGCCACGAAGCAGACAGTGGCTGTCCCGGCGCAACCCGAGGCCGGCGGGGCGGCGGGTGTATGCTTATTGAAGTTATTGCCCAAGGCAGCCAGGGCCATGTGTCGAAAAGACATTCGCATGGTGGAGCTGACCTAATAAGTCACCAAGTATTCGAGTTGAATGGTGAGGGTTGCACCTGCTTCTCTTTAGCGCAATCTGTCCAACAGACCAATCCTTGCAAGCACAAAAGCTGCACCTATCGGCTTCCTTGGGTACCTTGCCTTAAAACGACCTGTACCTGGCAGGTCTCTCTCCCCCTTGTCTCGTCTCGGACGCGTGCCGACCGACAAGCGCCCACGGCGCCGACACCCTCATAACGGACAGGGAGAAGCGGCCAGACGCTCGTTGAGGGACCCGTCGGCCATCATGGGGGCCACGCTGGGATCCACGACCACCTGGGGGGCGAGGGCCGGTTTTGTTGGCGGCCGCGGCTCACCCGGGAGCAAAGAGAATGGAGGTACGGGGTAGGGGGGAGAAGAAGAAAACAAAGCAGTCGTCCCAAACGCCAACAAAAGTGATAATAGGTTCACCGCAAATGTGTGGCAATTTTTGGAGGAGGAGACTTCTCTTTCTGGAGTATGGTGTGCCGTTTTTGGAGGACATTTCGCGGCGGCTTCAGGCCGGGCCACCAGTACATAACCGCCGGCCTGTTATTGCTTCCATTTCTCAATTCTGTCGCACAGTCAATTTCAATCGCTGTCCCTTTCGTGGTCGCCCCCATTGTATATCGGCTGCTTTTGTTCGGCTCTTTTGCCACCTCATCAAGCAACTTTCGTTTCACGACTCGACCGACCCCCTAAGTTTGTGAGCCAAAAAATGTGGTTGGGTGCGTGGGCATGGTCTAATGGGTGGGTGGGTGGTGTGGGGTACCTCGTCATATACCCATTCTAGGCGCTCTTCTAATGTATCCGCCGTCTTACTCCGGAGTCACATAACGGATGGCAAAGTTGCCAGGCGTATATTAATTATCTGCTGGGTACTAAAGCTTGTGGGCCTTGGACGCCGACGAAAAGCTTATGCTCAAGGCATGGGGCCAAGTTTCTTTGCGAGGTTTGCGGTATAAAAAGGAGTCTATCCCGAATCCTGCCCTCGGCCTTGATTATGGCTAAATTGCATGCATGGCCTGGTGCTTTTAAAGACGTCGCTGCTACCACCACATTCATCACTGGTTCGTTATTCTCGTTTGGCAAAAACGGGGTCATCACTGAACACCCGGTCTGCCGCAACAGATAACCCTCAGATAAGGCCTAATGGTGCACACGTGGCCGACTGCTGCTAGCACCGACGGGCTACTGATACGAACTGTGATGAATCTCAATTGCTCTTCTCTACATGAAATCTGAGCCCAATTTGGAGGGAGACTGAGCTCGCCTGTCTTGGCGGCCCTGCGCAAAAGGTAGGTAGGTACATGTAGGTAGGTAGGTAGGTAGGTAGGTAGGTAGGTAGGTAGGTAGGTAAGTTAATAATGCCTTAATTTTTACGTTCATTTCTTTTTTCATTTTCAATTTTGTTCATTTCATCTCCTTTTCGAAGTAACTTAGTACTCCGTACCTCTGTACTACTCGAACCAATATGACTACGACGTCTTGTCTCGGATTACCGGCCAGGCTTTTATAATATCGAGAAGCCGTAGTAGGCACTGTTAGTGATAATAGTGTAAGGAAGGCACCAGGTCACACCATTACTTTTTTATCTTAAGTTCAATATGATTCACTACTTAAGATATAAACCATCTATACATATCAAGTATTATAGGTTTATAGTATAACAAATAAAATAATTTAGTTTTAAGTTTCGGTATAAGGAATAATTCACCCTATTTATATTTACCTATTAGGAGTAACAATCCTACTAAAATCGCGTTGACCCTAAGGAGTAACACAGGATAGTGTGGTTTCTGTCCTCATTAGTGTAACTATAAAATATTTAAAAAAGGCTACATAGGGATATGCAGCAAAGCAGCTCTTATAAAAAAAAATATTTTTTCTAATCTACGTGAAGGCATTATTATCTATCTTATTAATTATATTATGCCTAAATTCATAATGATGTGGTAATAAGAAACTTATATCAAGAACTTATTACCTAAGTGGAGAGTTAGAACTACCGGTTTATGGTGATATTAGAGAAGGTGTTAGACCACCTTGTTCTGGTTTATTATAAGATTGCGCTAGAGGTAATTAAGAGTTAATAGAATAACTACCTTGTTGTGTATTAAATGATTGTGCATTCATTATACTACTTTTTTTTTGCATATAATTATGGATTATATAGACCACTATATAATGTATTTGTATTTATAGATCAGCCATAAAAACCTCCCCTTTCTTTAATTATCGCCTCTATAAAAAATTTATATAAAAATCTAGATACAGCCGTAAAAGTTGTATAGCCGAAGAAAGGATTATTCTTAATATTCAATAAATTTATATCTATATAAACATAAACTAAATATTTAATAGCAAACAATAATAGTAGGGTAATAATAAATAAAAGTAAAGAAGCGAATAATTTAGGTTATAGTTATTATTAATTTATTCTTTTTTTACCTTAGAGCTAAACTTTCTTATTATTGATTTAAAAGTATTATATCGGTCAGCTGCTGCTTTTTGGGTATTTTATATTAACATATACCTAGGGATATATAATCGTTATATAAACAATTAAGAGATTATAGACTATAAAGCATATTAGTACCAGAATAATGTAATACGTCTAAGATTATACCAGGGTATATACCTAATATTACTGTGAAAAGAACAAATCCAAATAATATTGAGAATTCTCTTTTATTTACATCTGATATTGATTGTTCTAGGAATCTAGTAAATGAACCTCCGAAAGATATACGATTAAATATATAAATCGAATAGGCGGCAGATAATACAATAGATGTACAAGCCAAGAATCCCATCAATGGTAATCTTTTAGTAATACCAGATAAAGACATGAACTCCCCTATGAAATTGAAAGTTAAAGGAGTTCCATAATTACCTAAACATAAGATAAAGAACAATAATGACAACATAGGCATTAATTGTGCTAAACCTCTATAGAAGTATATAGATCTAGTTCCAGTTCTATCGTATAAAACTCTACCTACGCAAACAAAAAGACCACTTAATACAAATCCGTGTGCTAATCCTAATATTATAGAACCTTCTATACCTTAAATAGTGTTACTAAAAGCACTTATTAAGTATACTAAAGCATGAGCTACTAAAGAATATGCAATTAACTCTTTAATATCTATAGTTCTAATAGTACTAAAACTAGCATAAAGAACTGTTATAGTTCCTATAACATAAACTATGAAAGTGTAATCTAATATAACTTTAGGTAGTATAGGTAAAATTAGTCTAAATATACCATATAGACTTAATTTAAGAACAATTCGGCTAAAACAATACTACCACCAAGGTGACTCTACGTGTGCCTTTAGTAGTTAATTATTCAGGCCATAAACCGGTGTTTTTACAGCAAACGCTATAAATATCCCTATAAATAAGAATATTTGTGTTTTATACTCTAAGTTTAATTTAAATAAAGTATTAAAATCAGTACTACCTATAGTAGATAATGTACTTAATATAGATAATAATAAAAATAATAAACCTTATAATGTATATAGAAATAAATAGTAACTAGCACTTATTTTATTATCAGACCTAAATAATCTAATTAATATAAATAAAGGAGGTAAGATACTTTTAAAGAATATATAGAATAACATTATATCTAATATTATGAATACGGCTAATAACAACGTCTCTAATAATAGCATTATAACTAAATAAGATTTTTTATTTTCTTTTATAGAATCTCAATTTAATAATAACGCTATAGGTATTATTATTATAGTTAATAACATAAAGTATATCGTTATACCGTCTAGACCTAAATAAATATCAAATAATTAAATGTTATAATGTTCTTATACGTATTGAAATTGATTAGTGCTATTATTAAATATTATAAAAATAATTAAAGATATAATCAAGTTTATTACACTAGTAATAAGTACTATAATTTTAGTATAAACTAATTTTTTTTTCAGAGTAGGAGTTTATACTAGTTATTATAATTGCACCTATAACAGGTACAGTTAATAAAAAGGATAATAACATTATACAAAAGATATTATCTTGGAATTTTAGATTTTTAGCTTTAGCTTACTACTTAGCTAAGCCTAGACCAATGGACATGCATTACATGGTTAAATATTCAAAAATAGTGAGCTCTAAAATATACGCTGACTGGCTGGCTTCTTGCCGACTAAATACATACTACTCCCGGTTATTCTTAATCGTTTTAGCGTCTATAGACCTGATGAGACGTACTTCTACCCGATACATTACGCAGTCTGCAGGAGGTCAGAGAGCCAACCGACTCCAAGCAGTCATTAGTCGTCACCTCATACGCCTGAGCGAGGGGCTGACAGAACTGATGCAGAGGGAGAGATGATGGCGTGGCCTGCCTGGCATATTTCCGCAAGGGGCCAACCTTGCAAGGCGCCGTGTAGACTCGGCCGGGTCACTCGGTCCAAAGACAAGGTGCATCCTCATGGAACTACTTGGAGGAGAATGATTCGGCCATGGCGCTTGTCAGGTCAATGGCGCGACTCGAAAAAAAAAAAAAACCATGACAGCCATGACCGTGGCGCCTTGTTGCACAGGCATTGACCGCGGCAACTGGTCGGATTTTGAACAAGCTTGGCGAGCAATAGTTCGTCTAGATCCAGTACGTCAAAGGGGAGGGAGACGGGAGGGAGACACTCCGGCCGTAAAATGAATAACAATTAACGATGCAGCATACGAAGAAGCCGACGAGTGTAATGTGTCGGGATCATCCTCTCAGCAGCACATGCAGTGGCGAGAAGAGGGCATGGGCCGTGAGGCATGGGCCGTGCGAGAGGTCGCAGGCGGTCGAAGAAGGAGAAGAGAACATTATTGGATCGAACATGTCGGGACGGGAAGGAGAGGAAACGGGAAGAGTGAGGGAGGGGGGAAGTGTATAGAGATCGAGTTGAGGAGGGAAAGGTGATGGGCGTTATTATAGAAAAGCCTGAGGCAGCAAGTTGGCTGGCCCAAAAGGGGAGGAACCTGCCTCAAAGGCAAGGCGGTGGAGGGCGGCGTGTGGAGTTGCGGCCGGCAGCAGCATGCCCGTGTACCTTGGCCTTGGCACGTCAGCTCTGCCCAATTCATAGTACGTACTAAGTTAAGGTAATTAATCGCCTGCACAATAAACAGCGCATTTCGCCTTAATTACCTCCTGGCGGTTGGCTCGGGCAGGCAAAAAAGACTGGTTGGCTAGCGCCCGCGGCAGACCCGGGTACCCAGACACCGCCACGGCCTTGTACCTCGGCTATGGCTTGGCGCCAGACGGGTACCATGGAGTCAGCCGATGTTGATGTCACCAGTACCTCCCCTTGCATGTACCGCCATCTTGCCCCGGCTGGCCCGTTCGCCTTATTACCCAGCGCGTCGAGTCCCCGTTTCCCGCCGCCAGAAAACCTGGTCTGCTCCTTTCTGTGGCGCGCTTCCTCTGCTGCCGCAAACGCCTCTCTCTCTCTCTCTCTCTCTCTCTCTCTCGCCTCCCTTTCCCTCACCTGCAGACAGCCCTCGATCCAAACACGGTGCCGCCGCTGGCTTCTGCTCGGCCATCATCTGCTTTTCAGTTACTTATTGTTGTTGCTCACACACGACCATCAACACGCCGCCAGCTGCCCGTAGTCACCGTCGACGACACCCTCGGAACCCGCCGCCGCATGCTCTGGGTAAGTCAAGCGCTGCCGCTTCCGTCCATTCCATTGTCGTCACCATCGACTAGCTGCCGCGCCTTCTCTCTTGTTCCCCCGTGGCACTGCGACGCCTCATTCTTAACCTGTGGTGGCTGCGTCTTGCCTCGTTAGCCCATGCCGGATGTAGCCCATCCCACCACGACCTCTATTGACTTTTTCCAACTACCCGGTCATCTTCCATCTGTCCATCTCTCTCTACCTACCTGCCTGCCTACCTACCTACCTACCTACACTACCTATCCCCCCATGGCTGCATGCAGTTCGCGTCCGGCGTCGTCTCGACCCCGATCTTGATCGCCTCGCTACCCTCGTCGATGGCTTTCCGGGACCCATCCCAAGGCCCCGCAATCAGACCGCTGACCCCCTCGCGACCTGCAGGCCCGGCACCCGCTGCCCTCGCATCCCAAGACGGTTTCTCAGAGCTCCGCTCAGCGTCCCACGCTTCGCCCGGCCAGCCTCTACCGCCGAGTCCTCGTTCCACGTCCGCACCGCCAACGGCTCGGAGACATGCCCCGCAGACTGGCAAACCCCTTCGCCGCCTCTCCCGCAATGTCGCTGTCAGAAAAGAAGAGCGACCGACGTTCCTCGACTTCAACATCAAAGGGTAATCGCCTTACCCACTTCTTCTCTTCGAGCCCCAAGTCCAAGGAACACATGAGCGCCCAGCAGGCGCTGCTTGCCATGCAGCAGCAGCAGCAGCTCGGCGCCCCCTACTCGGGCATCTCCCCGTCGTCCGTCTCTCGCCCGACCATATCCCTCTCCACGGCCGTCGCCGGCGAGCACAACAACATCGAGCCGCCCTCGACGACCCTCTTGCAGTCTCAGACGGCCGAGGACGTGGACCGCCAGAGGCGCGTCGAGGCTCAGTTCGGCCCTCTTGTCCATCCTAGCCACCTGTACATTAGCAAGTCCCACGGTAAACCCTTGGAACCTCCCGTCGAGGACGAGCCGCCATATTACTTCCTGCTCACCACCTACGTCAGCTATTTGCTCCTCATCGTCCTGGGCCATATCCGCGACTTCTTCGGCAAGCGGTTCGGAGACAGGAAGCATTATCAGGCCCTTAAAGAACACAACGGCTTCGCGCCCCTCAACGACGACTTTGACAGCTTCTACACCAGGAGACTCAAGATGAGACTGGACGACTGCTTCGCCCGAACCACCATTGGCGTTCCGGGACGATACATCACCCTCATGGATCGCAAGTCGGACGACTACAACCGCACCTACCAAAACACGGGCACCTACACCGAGACGCTAAACATGAGCTCCTACAACTACCTCGGATTTGCCCAGTCTGAAGGCCCCTGTGCCGATGCCGTCGAGGAGTGCGTCCGGCGCTACGGTGTCAGCTTCTGCAGCCCACGGACCGATGCCGGCACCTCGGACCTTGCCCTCGAGGTCGAGCGGGAAGTTGCAGCCTTTGTCGGCAAGCCTGACGCCATGATTTTCTCCATGGGCTACGTCACCAACGCCAGCTCGTTCCCGGCTCTCGTCTCCAAGGGCTGCCTCATCATCTCCGATGAATTGAACCACGCGTCCATCCGCATCGGCGCCCGCCTCTCCGGAGCCGTCATCCAGTCCTTCAAACACAACGACATGTGTGACCTCGAGCGCGTCCTCCGCGAGGCCATTTCGCAAGGGCAGCCGCGCACCCATCGACCCTGGAAGAAGATCCTCGTCGTCGTCGAAGGACTGTACTCGATGGAAGGCACCATGTGCGACCTCCCTGGAATCCTCGCCCTCAAACACAAGTACAAGTTCTACCTCTTCATTGATGAAGCTCACTCCGTCGGCGCGCTGGGTCCTCGCGGCCGTGGTGTCTGCGACTACTTTGGCGTCGACCCCTCAGAGGTGGACGTACTGATGGGAACCCTGACCAAGTCGTTTGGTGCCAATGGCGGCTACATCGCTGCCGAGAAGCACATGCTCGACAAGCTACGGAGTACCAATGCCTCCACGCTGATGGGCGAGTCTCCTACCCCGAGCGTCCTCATGCAGATCCTGGCCTCCCTGAAGCTCATTACGGGCGAACTCTTCCCCGGCCAAGGCGAAGAGCGTCTCCAGAGGATTGCCTTCAACTCTCGCTACCTTCGCCTCGGCCTCAAGCGCCTCGGCTGCATCGTGTACGGCCACGACGACTCGCCCATCATTCCCATTATGCTCTACAACCCCGGCAAGATGCCCGCGTTCAGCCACGAGATGCTCAAGCGCAAGATTTCCGTAGTCGTGGTCGGGTACCCAGCCACCCCTCTCATCAGCTCACGAGCGCGGTTCTGCGTCTCGGCAGCTCACAACAAGGACGACATGGACAGGCTGCTGGCGGCTTGCGACGAGGTGGCAGATCTTCTACAGCTCAAGTTCTCCACCGGCGTCGCTGGTGGGCTCGAGCCACTGCCCGCCGACGTCCCCCCCGAGGAGGAGCGCGAGTGGAGGAAGGCCAACGGGGTTGCCATCAAGCCGCCCCGATGGGCTATCGAGGACATCATTCGACGAGGCGTCCGGGACGCCAAGCTGCCCCTGCGGTAAAGCTGCATTTCTGGGTCTGAAAGGAGGTCTGAGGCGTTTGTTTTACGATCAAGGCATGTACGCAACGGGAAAGCCGTTTGGATGTTTAGAGAAGGCGCATGAGGAGTGGATCATCGTTGGGAACATTACCAACGTCGGGTTGCATCTTGTTTCTTTGTCGTTCTGGTGTTCCATTCTAGAGCCTGTTGGTGCCGGCAAACAGGCGGCTCATGGGGGGTTTGTCCCCCGCCGGATTATTTATATAGGAACTTTATTGATACTGGACCTCGAGCCTTGAGGTGTCAAAGATGGAAACATTGATGCTTTGCAGGCTGTCGCTTCACCAAAACGCGGTTTAGAAACCAGCGAAGTTACTGAGTGGTTTCCAAATTCGGCATCTCCATGTGGACGGACTGGAAGCTGCAGAGGCTCATGGGTACCGTGTATGGCATAGAGGGCAGTTGTAAAGAGCCCGTCATTTCATCAGGAGAACGAAACGGAAGATCATGGTTCTCCCTTTGAGTAAACAGATGACGGCAGCCGCCGAAGGTCCGGCCTTGATGAAGCAGGCGGAGAAGAAGTCTCTAAAACAAGTGGAAGAGGCTGAGACAGGGATTGATTGCCTGAGACGAGGCTATCCATTAGGCGGGCGATGCTGAGACACTGGCGCCACGCCAGGATGCAATACAATGCAGCGGAGGGTATAGAGCTGATGGCGGATGGTGTGGATTCGTGCGCGGCACGCGGCAATGAGCTGTAGCGTCGGCCTCCATTGGAGGGAAGGGAAGGAAGAGCAGGTACAACAGAGGGGCGAGTGACGGGAGCTGGGTCGGATGGGCATGGTAGTTCTCTCATACTTGGGAAGATTTATCAGGATTGGGGGTGAGGAGCTGAGGCGTCGTAGGGGGCGCGCAAACACATGGACAAGAGGTTGAGAGACGATGTTTCCGACAAGGGACCGTGTCCGGGATGTGCGATGCAATCGGGACGCAGACATGAGATGGTTTTGAAGATGACTGTGGTCGGTTGACGTCGTACGAATCAGGAACTCGACACAGCTACAAAGTGCTGTTTGGATCTCAGACGTGCTCGAGCAAAAACGACGACGACGAAGGATGACGGGCAATGGATGTGGATCAGGTAGGTGTCTGCCTGGACAGGCAAGATGCCTGTAGCCGTAGCGACGAGGTTTCCAGGTGAAACAGGCGGGGTGAAGGGACAAGAAAGAGTTCTTCTGCGCGTATTAATAATAATGGCCTCGTTGCGAGATGCCGCGGTTACCCAAGGTAGGTACCTAGGTAGGTAGGTACCTTAGGTAGGTATAACCTTAAGGAAATGGGAGCTGATCTCTTATAACTTAGTAGTACCAGTACTTGCAGCGGGGGCCTCCTCTGTGCAGTGGCCTGGAAGGCCGCTCGTGCTCGGGTATGTTCTGCAGGTATCTCCCTGTAACAAGGACAGGACCATTGTTCGTCTTGTCGGCTGCTGAAGGTGCCCTGAAAGGCGCTGTGCCGTGCCAAGCTGCCTCTGGCTAGGTAGGTATGTGAGTACTTACTTAGGTAATATGGCGGCGCTGGAGCCGGCACAAGGGCGAAGCTGGGGAGCGCTTCTGTCCTGTACCCACCTAGGTACCTTACTTACTTACTAGGTACCTGGTATTGTAGGTACCTACCTACTCTACTGTCTTCGGACTTGTCCAGTGCCTTATACCTCGCATCGTACACCAAAACGGAACTTGCAGTCGCCTGTCCCTTCCAGCAGCTAGATACCTGTAGGTAGGCAGGTAGGTAGGTACCTACCTAGGTACCTAGGTACCCAACCTGGCCCCGGCCTCTCTTGGCCGTGCGTCCGCAAAACCAGGAGCGGCCTAGACGCCACAATACCGGACAGCTCCCAATCTGGAGGACATCTAGTTTTGCTTCCCGTCACTGTCACCGTCGTCCATTCTCGCCCTCGGCAGCGCCCATCGCGTCCTCAATCACGACACCCCGACTCTTCTCCTCGTTGAATCTCCTCGTCGACTCTCCTCGTCGCTGCCGGTCCCGCCGATTGCTCCCGCTGCTTCCGCTGCTCCTCGAGCCCCCCCGCTGTCCCGTGTCCCGACCGAAACGCCCTCTCCGCCTCCCCCAGCAACCCGTGCTCGACCTTGGACGACTGTCGAGCGCCGATCCGCCATCGGCTGGCTGGTCTGGCGAGATGATGAGCTTCGATGGAGGCACGGCATACGCCGAATCAGACGCCGATGACGAGTACGAGCGAAGCATCGGCGACAGGTCCCCCGTCGGAGACTCGGAGGCATCCCCCATCGATTCCGAGCCATCGACATCGGCCGAGCACACCCCCACGACCTACGCACACCGTGGCAGCGCTGACCGCTTGCCCGAGACCATAATAACCAACTGGACGGCCGATGAGTGCGCCGACTTTATCGGCTCCGTCGGCTTGCCCCAGTATGCCGATCGTTTTGTTGGTACGTGCTTGTCCTCGTGGCACCGACATTGCCTTGCGTACCGCCTCTGCCCTGGGCCCTGGTTGACTGACGAGAACCTGCGTCTGGCTGCAGAAAACGAAATCGTTGGTGAGGCGCTGATAGCGCTACAGCACGACGACCTGAAGAGCATGGGCATTGCCAGTGTCGGTCATCGGCTTACTATCCTTAAGAGCGTCTATGATGTCAAAAAGGCCCAGGACGTGCCCTTTGAGAGTGACCACTATCTACCGCTGTGTAAGGCATCCACCCATCCAACTCGTGCTCGCGCTTTCCTCGGGCCAAGAGGCTGACGAGAGCAGCTGCCGACGCCGAAGCACAGTATGCCACGGCCACACTCAAGGATATCAAGCATCTGGTCGAGCAGCTGCGCCTGCGAGATGAGCGGATGAGTCTGCTCGAACAGGACCTGCGGCGGACGACGGATGACTTTAGGCGCCTCCGGGAAGACATGCTTCCGGCGTTACGCCTGGTCAAGGATGCGCAGCAGCCGTTGCCCAACTTGAGCGGCAGCTCCCAGTCTTATAGTTACGAGCCGACACTATCGCCGCCTGTTCCGACGCCGCCTCCCGGCCAGGGGCCCGGCCCCGGGGTCATGCGGTCATATTCGCAAAGGAAGATTTTGATTGGGGCGACGCCAAAGGGAACCTCACCCACGCAAACGTCGCACGAGAGGACGATAGCCGAACAGACGTTGGATCCCGCCAACGCGGCGGAGCGGGCCGTCATGTCGTCGTCGCATCTCGCGGCCATGAACGGCTCCGCCCTGAACTCGACGGTTTCGTCTGCCTATCCCTCGCCCAACATCCCCTCGCCGACGTCGCCGCAAACCCACTTGACCGGCACGACGCTTGCTTCCCGATCATACCGTGGCGAAACCCCCACGCCATCCAACCGTGGAACGCTCACCGAAAGCGATCACACAAACTATGGTGGACGCGACAAAACACCCGGCACCGCGCCGCTTCGACGGCGAGAAACCCCGGTGCCCGACACGCCCAGCACTAGCAATGCGTCTGTCGAGATATTCAAGTCGTTCCGCGTCAGCATGGACGACCCGTGCCACAAGGTTCTCCCGGCTGCGCTCAAGAAGTACCAGATCAACGCCCCTTGGGACCAGTACGCCTTGTATATTGTTTACGGCGACCAGGAGCGCTGCCTGGGCATGGACGAGAAGCCCCTGATCTTGTTCAAGCAGCTGGACAAGGAAGGCAAGAAGCCGATGTTTATGCTTCGCAAGACGAACAACGCCCAGGTCGACGGCGACCCGGGAAGCGCGGGCATGGGCGGTGCCGCGAGGGGCGCGTCGACGGGATATGACCCACCGGGAGGCATTATATGATGAGTCTGCGGCGAAAGCCAGCGCAAGTGGCCCCATTCCACATGATGGCTTTTTTCGATATCAACTCGGAGGCGAACGGGGGAGATGCTTCTGGGAGGCTGCAGCACACAACTTTGGGTGCGTGGCTCCGCCTGGAGCCATGATGACCGCGCACGAGATGACGGTTTGCACAATCGACGACCGGCCAAGGTCATGGCCACGGCTGCTCGAACATGGCGACCGTGGACCAGCGTCTATTTGTCCGGTGGCAAGCCTGTAAATGGACGGACGAGGCAGAAGCAGAGGCAACCCTGGTACCTGGCAAGCGGCACCATGACCTGAAGAGGCGTCCTCGCTGACGACACGAAGAGGAAAAGCGGTACCCTTGATGGTGCACAAGCCAGATGGCGGCCTGGTTGGACATGGCTCCGCTCGACTCCCATTTCTCATCAATGACTCTTGACGAGGAGCCTTGGACTATGATGGCTCTCGTGGCCTCGGGACGGAGACTTGGGACAGGGAATATGGAGCGATGGAGACAATGTACATCTAGAGGGGCCTTGGTGTGGCGGAGAGATACGTGGCAGCCGAGTCTTGGAGGCGTGAGACGAGGGTGGCTGGCTGCGGCATCATGGGACGGCGGCTATGGTGGCGGATTTCGGAGAAGGGGAGATTTGCCGCTCAGCGGTGCGACACGAGTGAGGGTTGATTACTTTCTTGTCCTTTTCTTTAGTGGGAGGGCTTGCACGGACTGCGACGCAAATGGCTTGCTGGATGTTGAAAGGTGGCGTTGAACTTGGGCTGGGGAAAATAGCAGGGTGCAGAGAGAGTGTGTAAGTGCAGACGACGGGCTCCCGATGTTGGCGCCTAGACATGTTTGTGTGTTTGGACATGATATGTATACTCTATTCTCTGGCCGACATGGTCAAGACGTGCGTGGTCAAGGAGTCAGTCAAGACAGGCCATGTGGATTGCGCCTACCACGACTGCCCTACCACGACTGCCCTACCACGACTGCAGGTAATTATATCAAGTGACTGGAATCTCGGGGACAATCATGCAGGGCGGGAAGGGTGCCGCAGTACATTTCGTGTGCAGCAGGGGAGCATGCGGAAGCGCGTACTCGATACATGGCTGAGGGTGGTTGGAATGCCGGCGGCCCTCCGTTTGGCAAGATTGACGTTGGGCCAAGCACCGCAGACAGACATTCTCCCTCTCCCTGACGAGCCGACGACGCATCCCTCGTGCCCCGGAGCGAGACAGGCAGCAGCCAGTCCCATGCGCGGCGCCTTGTGCAGCGGTGGCCATTGCCCGCCGCAGTTTGCCCCGAAGCCGGGGCCGTCACTCTCGCGGCTCTGATCAACTCTGCACTGCTTCATTGTTGCCAACGCCCGCCAGGCGTCTTGGATATACCGAATCGCCTCATCGCTCTTGACGCCATCCCATCAGCTCGCTGCTGAATGCGAGTGCCGCAGCAAGCGCACATCGAACTCTGGCGGTAATCTGGGCTCGCGCGACGGACAAAGGGCAGCCACGCACGACGTCGGCAACGATCAAACATACATACTTGCAGCTTTTTCTCTCCTTGACCTCTGCTGGGCGTCGTTTGCGGCGGAGCTGCGCGTGGTTCCAGTGGGGAAGACTGACGGAAGCCAAGCAGCCCTTGGCTCCGCCTCGTCTGTGCCGTCGCCGGCTCGTACCACCATGAGCGGCGGCTCCCCTTTCTACCCGTCAGGAGGCCCGTCGCCGATGCCACCGACGACCCTTACGACGACGCCGTGGTCCTCGTCGTCATCTTCCGCGACCCCCCCCCTGGAGCCGACGCCGACGCCGCCGCCCATGGTGACGCTGCCGGGCGACGTCAACCTGCGCGATCGCGTCATCGAGCTCATCAGCGGCGGGTCGGTGGGGGAGAAGATTGTGCGCGGCTTCCTCATCGGCGTGGCCTTGGGGCTCATCGTCGGCGGGCTGTGCTGCTGCTGGATGCCGTGCTTTGGGCGGGCCGAGCGGGCGCGGCGGCGGCGCGAGCGGGCTGAGAGGACCGCCTTGCTGAGAGGCGAGGCGCCGCTGCCGCTGTCGCCGCGGCCGTCGCGAGCGGGGAGGAGCTTGAGGGAGACGATGCCGTGGCTGCGCAGGCAACGGGGGCCGGGGACATGAGAGCGTCGACGCCGGGACGAGGAATGGCTGCTGCAGACTGACGCGGAATCGAAGCCTTTTTCTTTTCCCTTGGCCGCGGGTGACTTTTGGAGTTGGGCGAGGGATCGCGCTACCGGGACCGGCGTTGGGCGTAATTAGTGGTCAATCATCTTCTACAGGACGGCAGCACCTTGCTTTCCTTTTCATTTCCCCCTCCCTTCGGCTTCTTTAGTGTGTGAACCGAGCGATACAAGCCAATACAATCAAGGGTTCATGTCCCAGTCAGTAAACGACCAGGTCCATGAGCAAAGCTGGCGGGCACGAGGAGCTCTTCTGCTGAGGTTGTGCAGAGATGCCAGCCAGTCCTTTCTACAGTATTGGGTTGGATGACGAGTGACGGCCGTGAAGCTCGGCGTCTGGTGGAGAAGAATGAGGGCGATTCGGCGCGGTCTATGCCTGGTTACTGCTTTAAACAGGGTGGCTCACAGGGGTGGTAGGTAATTACAGCGGACTACCAGTGGGTTACCTACCAGAGCTATATAAGCGTTATGCGAACCCCTGCTATTCCTAGAATCCTATAAATACTTCCTTCATTAAGACGGCCTATCCAAGTGAACTTGAGCACAATCTCTCCTTCTATGTACACACACGCCCTCTCTAATTTGATGAGTTTCTACGATACTTGTCAGTTTCTATACCAAACGTTTATGCGTTACGAAATCAGCTTACGTATGACGGTCAAAGCATGCTTTCCTCGTTATAATGCGAGGAAAATGTGTTCGTAGCGGGCTCTAGGCATCAGTTTCTAATTTCCCCCAAACGTGAGTTGTTATGCATCTGAAGTTGGGATTCGTATACTTAGGGCGTGCAGCTCCGATAACGTCTGCAACTGCCACACTACCTCCTTTCTCTCCAACCCGTCAATTCATCAAGAAGCTACGCCTTAACTTGGTCACTTTCTAAGAACACGCAAGCCAATCAAACAAACAAAATGAAGCTCCATCCTCTCATACTTGCTACTTTCGCAAGTCTGGCCCTTGCGGGACTACTCGGCAAAAGACAAGATTCCAATTCCGGTAAAATCGGAACCAATGGAATGATCACAGCGAATGTGGTTGAACAGCTCTGCAATGATGTCTATAGCAGTGACGCAGAGTGCAGGGAGGAAGGAAACCGATGCATACAAAATTCTAGGTTTCCTAAACTTACATTTGATGAAGCTGTCGACAAATTTACGTTTCGACAGCTCAGAGCAATCGGCAAATGTCTCGACAGCTCTAGAAAGGGAAGTGGAGAGCTCAAAAAGAGCTCTGGCCCTGGAAATGCACCGCCGGAGAAGAGCCCTGACCTTGGAAGTACACCGCCAGAGAAGAGCCCTGACCTTAGAGGTACACAGCCCCTAAATGAGATCAACTCTTATATCGAAATTTTCTGTCTATACCAACACAAAAACGAACTAATCGACCCTCATTGCGGGCCTGTTCTACAGTGTAGGATGATATTTACAGCTAGTATACGTCAAATGCCAGAGAGCAAACGTCAGGAATATAAGGATTGTATGGAGAAAATAGGGTATGGTAGTACAGTAAACCTAGGCTATAACGATTAGGGTATATTACGATTATCGGGATATAACGATAAGATAAGCGATAAGTCTATATAATTAGCTAGTAAAGGGCTTATCTCTCGATAATAATAATATCGTTTAGAATTTACTAATAAAGCTATTTATTATACTAAAGTATTATTAAAGGTATATACTTAGTAGTAATTTTTATAAGTATTACTAACTATATATATATATATTACTATCTATATATTCGCCTTATTTTTAAGATATATACTAACGCTAGCCCGCCCCGCCTATTTATACCGCGCGCGCCTAGTAAGTACCTATACTACTTAAATGCCTATACCCGTGCCTACGCCCGCCTATATATATATATAGAGGTAATAAAGGCTATATAATATATGCCTCTTAATTTGCTTAAATAATATATTTCCGAGCCTTAAGCTTAAAGTTATAATAATCGGCCCGTTAATTAATCCGGCTCCTCCTTTAGCCCTTATAGCTATATAGGTGGCGGCGGCGCCGCCTTAATTATATCCTACTTAACGATCCCTCTAACGCCTAACGAAGCCGGCTATCCTAACGAAGCCGGCGGCGCGCCCCTCCTACCGCGTCCTCCTCTTAATCCCCTTCCCCTTATATTTCCTCGAACTAACGATCTTTGTTATAACGCTATAAGAGAGCGCGGGCTATAGCTAAGTTTATCGATCTCGTCCCGCCCCCGGCGCCTTCTAACGCTCGCGTTAAGCCGCCTTAAGCTAGCTTAACTTAAATTAGGAAGCTATAACGCCTATATAGCCGTAATAGGCGGCTATACCTTTAGTACTAGCTATAATACCGTCTATAATACCGTCTATAATGCCCTCGCTATAAGGGAACTTAGTATAGGTAGCTTATTATTATAGGGCCGGCTATATATAACGGTAATAATATTAGGATTATAGATTTATAGTAATAGCTCCTTAAGGTCTTAATAGTTATAATTAATATTAAAATTACTTAAAAAGGGGGGGTTCTTTACTAACGGCTTCTTAAGCTACTATCGTAAGAGAATATTACGCTTCTTAAGTATTAAACTAGCTTAGAAGCGTTAAAGGATTATATATATATAAGGGAGCTTAAATTAGTATTTAAATCGCTTACTATAAGGTTATAATAGCTATAGTTAGTAGGAACACCGTTCCTTATAATTATAAAGAAATAATAAGTATAGGGAGGCTCTATAAAATAAGCTAGTAAAAAGAAGCTCTATAATATAGTCTAAGGGAATAACCCTTAAAGATAAGAGTATTACTATTTATATAGATAAAAGTCT